TTATTCTCACACTATTTCATAAACAATTAATTTGCGTTTTAAATAAACCCATACCATAGCTACTATACTGACAATAGAGAATAATTTGTAAAGATAAAAATGTTGTTTAAACCATCTTATTTCTCTATTCCTTGTCTATAAATTTTAAACAATGTCGCAACGACGATATTGCTACAGTGTATGTCATTATGTATATAAAGTATTTAAACGTAGAAATCAAACCTCAATCTAATAAGGTATTACAAGACAAACTTCACATTTTATTTTCATTTTTTAACATCTATATATTTTGAAATAATGTTTCTGATATATATTTTCACTTTTAACACGAACCTGTATTTCATGTTTCGTATTCATATAAATATATATGTAAAATATGTACATTGCTATTTATTCTATGTTCCTTATGTCATGTATATGAATTGTATGCGGACTGCAATGGGTGTTATGATACAATAAAATCTTATCTTATTTTACTCTGATGGATAATTACCTATATGAGTAGATTACTACTAGTTTCATTTCAAACTTTAACTCTTGTAATCCCCAAGTGAAAGTTTCAGAAATTAGCCTTGAAACACACTCGCAAAAGGGTCTCTGGATGGACTTAATCTATTTTCTCACCGATTGCTATTTAGAGACCACTTAGAGGCATAAAGGTGTCAAAAGACATACGTAGGCGTTACTGAGTTGATAAGGGGGTCAAGTTGTGGAAATATGGACTTTAAAGTTACCCTACTTATCATAATTTGAATTATGGACGCAATATTCAAGCGAACTGATCAACTTTCAAAATCAACACAAGATTATGTGCAATCAGCTCATACTTCAAATTATTTATTTTCTAAATTTGCCTGGAAGCGATGAATTTTTCACCAATGATGGTCTGTGGCCTAGTCCTCCGCTGAAGGTTTGTGTGCCCCAGTCCGCCATGTCTATTGTATCATAGTCCAGCACTGATGGTATGGCTGCCCTAGTCCACCACTGTTAAGATGTGGGGCAGTCTACCACTGATGGTGTGTGTGTGCGTGTTTCAGTCCACCGTTGATGCTACGTGTGCCCCCGTCCACCACTGATGGCATGTGGCCCTGTCTACCATTAATGGTGTGTGTGTGTGTGTGTGTGTGGCCCTGTCCAGAACTGATGGTATGTGTGGCCCAGTCTACGGATGGTATGTGTGTTCCAGTCCACCAATGATGAACTGTGATCCAGTGCACCACCTGATGGTATGTGGCCCAGTTGACTACTGATGGAAATAAATGAAATGAAATGGGGTTTAACGTCCTACTGTTCTGCTCCGACTGGGTAAATAAAGACGGGCATACGCCATACAGTGTGCTATGAGGGAAATTCAGCTAGGACAGCGGCACTACGACCTACCCTTATATAAAATTCCAACTGCCAAGGGATCCTTTGCGTGCACGCCAATATGTACACGACACGGGAACTAGGATTTTCGTCCTATCCGAACGACTATACGTTGTTCCTTGCCAGACCCTCTGTTTTGCACCACTGACATCGCGATGAACTTTCTCGGCCAATCACTGATGGTCTGTGTGTACCAGTCCACCACTAATAGCATGTGGGCACCAGTCCACCAATGATGGTTTGTGGGCTAGTGCACCACAGATGGTCTGTGTGGCCTAATCCACCACTGATGGTTAATGTGGCCCAGCCCACCACCGATGGTCTGTGTGTCCCAGATGGAGTGTGGACCAATCCACCACTGATGGTCTGTGTGGCCCAGTCCACCACCGATGGTCTGTGTGTCCCAGATGGAGTGTGGACCAATCCACCACTGTTGGAGTGTGGCTCAGTCAACCACTCATGGGGTTTGACCCATTCCAACAATGGTGGTCTGTGGCCCAGTCCACCAATGATGGTCTATTGTGTGGCCCAGTACATCACCGATGGCATGTGGGACAGTCCACCACTGATGGTGTGTGTTTATGTCCCAGCCCACCACTGATTGGATGTGGGACAGTCCACCGTTGATGGTGTGTGTGTGTGTGTGTGTGTGTCCCAGTCCACCGCTGATGCTACGTGTGCCCCAGTCCACCACTGGTGATGTTCTGTGACCCTCTCTACCTCAGATGGTGTGGTGGCCCTGTCCAGAACTGATGCTATGTGTTTCCCAATCCACCACTGATGGTTTGTGGCCCTGTCCACCACTGATAGTCTGTGTGGGCCAGCCCACCACTGATGGAGTGTCGCCCAGTCCACCAATGATGGTCTGTGGCCCAGTCCAACACCGATGGTCTATTGTGTGGACCAGTCCACCAGTGATGGCCTGAGCTTCAATCCACTATTGGGGGTCTGTATGTCCCAGTCTATCACTGATGGTTTGTGACCCAGTCCACTATTTATGGTTTGTGACCCAGTCCACCACTGATGGAATGTGGCCCAGTACTGCATGATTGCCGATTGTGATACAGTCCACCAATGACTGTCAATTGTGTCCCAGTTCACCAATGATGGTCTGTGTCGCCCAGTCCACAAATGATGGTCTGTGGCCTAGTTCATCAATGCATGTACGTAGCCCGGTTCACCAATGATGGTCTGTGTGTCACAGTCTTTGTAAAACTTGAACAATGGACGAATCTTCTAAAACATTCACCGAATATTTTACACTAGCTTTTAAATATTCTGTTAGTCTTTTAATGTCCTCCATCAATTTCCTTAATTTGGATTATTTCTCTCCGCCAGTTTTCTGAATTTCCTTGTTAATATTTTCTTTCATTTTATGAAACTCTGCGCAGATTTTCTCAACCTGCGCATCTACTTTATCACATTCAGTTTTTGTGCAGTTTTTGACTTCAATTAATCTACTATTTAAATTATCATAATGTTTGTGAATATCAGTAATTTGCTTTCCTAATTCATCATTCAGTGATTTTAAGTCGTGTCTGATACTTTGTCTGACTTCGTCTTCTTGTAAATCTAAATAACGGTTACCATTATGATCGACCAAGAAACATTTTCAACATAAGGCTAGTAAACAATCTTTACAGTAGATTGTAACTTTCTTTCTTTTGTGGTGGGTGCAAAAACCTTTAGGATTTGTGATAGAAGAAGCTGAAGTTTTTTTTTCCTTTATTCGTTCGCGTGAAGTAGACGCTTGATAGATTTGTGTTTCATCATACCGACAAACAACATGGTCTTTGCAAATTTTCATCTTATCATGCATGTTTGTGCATGATTTACATAAATACTGATAACAGTCTCGACAGCAATATTGACATATATCACCAGTACAAACATCACATAGAGGAATATTGATTGGTTTTGGTCTAAATCGCTCCAGGTCCCCGTCACTGACATTTATAAAACTTACGGCATAATGGACAGTTGGAACTGATCTTTAGTGGAGGTTTTGTTCGCATAATCTTTTAAACTGATGAAGCAGAAAGAATATTGATAGCCGATTATTACAGGTTGTTGAAAGTCGTTCAAACAAATACTACACGCTTCATTCTCTGCCAGCTTGAATTACTGTCTGTTACACTGGTTCTATAAAATGGCAGTTGAAAATGGAAAAAAAATATCAAACAGTTAGGCCAATGTATTATACGATATCGAGACCGATTAACTAAAAATCAAAAGTGTTAAATTTAGCTAAAACGTTTAAATCCCATAGAAAACAGTACATGCATAAACTTGTTACATTTTTTTTAGAAATTGTAGCCGGAACTTCTAAATTACATAGAAAACCATGTCTGTCATCGCCTCGCACAATATTTGAGCTGTTGGTTGACTGTACATGCAAACTCTTGTCACAGGAAACCGGAGAAAACCCACAAAGTTCTACATGCAACCCTACTCCTTGTCACGTATTTTAAGAGATTTTACACAAATTGATATCATCAACAAAAAAGTCATATATGACCAAATGAATATTTATCGTGTGAGTATAGGATTGCTTTGTTCTCTTTCTATTAAAATATGCTTTTTTGGTTTGTTTCAAGAATTTTACCTTGTAAATAAACTTCTTATATGATAACGATTTGCATTCAGTGCTTTCTATATAAATTGTAACTGTATTGATAAAGACTGACAGTAATTTTTTAAAGGTCAAACCCAGCCAAATATATCCTTACGTTTAGTTAAAGAATACTGGTCAACATTTGAGGGATTTTGCAAACTACACCATATTAAAAGTTGTATCTTTAAAAGGATAGCAGTCCAACAATTGTTCAACCCCGTTCATTGTTAGCACACATATGATGAATTAAAAAATCTTGGAGCATTCTTATTTCTTTGTAGGCAATATAATAATACAATCTTTTGGTGGTCAAGGGGGTTGGCTGGAGAATGGTTAACGTGTGCGCGTTTGATCACATGGTCACCGCTTGTACGTGCCAAGGAGTAGGGTCGCCTGTCAACCTCGTGGGTTTTCTCCGGATCCTCCCACCGCTAAAGGCTCCTCTGCGCTAGCGAAATTATTGAAATAAGACTGAATCATTTGTTACGAAATAGTTTGTGTCGAGTGGATTATACCCCCCCCCCCCCCCCCTCATGATGGGCACTATGCCAGTACCACGACTATAGTAATACATAACAGGCTTTATGTTACGCTAGGACGTAGAATATATATGTTACTCTAGAACGTATAATGTCGCTCTAAAATGTATAATATGATTTTTACATGTGGTTTATGTTACTCTAGGACGTATAATATATGTTACTCTAGAACGTATAATGTCGCTCTAAAATGTATAATATGATTTTTACATGTTAATATGGTTTATGTTACTCTAGGACGTATAATATATATGTTACTCTTGAACGTATAATCGTTAAATCGTGAAGGAAAGTTATGCAGTAAATCGGCTCATAATCCACTAAATATCACAGGCTAGCGATGCCATCTAGAGTTGATTATGGTCTGGATAGGTTAATTAATAATTTAGATAACATTTCAAGCCTAAAGAAAGACCTGTAATAGACAGATTTAGCTCTTGCATAATGCATGTTTAAATGGGCAACAAAAATTGTCAAAGTTGTTTGTATCTATAAAATACTTTATTCAGTAATATCTTTAACATAACACAAACATAGCAACACCAGGAGCGAGCCCGGGACCTCATGGTTAGCAAGCCAGTGTCTTACACACTTAGGTAGTGCAGCTCTCGAAGTGATGTATACTACATAAATATGGAGGACACTTTTTTCTCCATGTTCTCCAGTTATACATGCTAGTATAAGGTATCTCCAACCATACAGTGCCAGTATAAGGTAGGTATCCCCAGCCATACTGGCTAGTATAAGGTATCCCCGGTCATACAGGCTAGTATAAGGTATCTCCAGTCATACAGGCAAGTATTAGGTATCTCCAGTCATACAGGCTAGTATAAGGTATCTCCAGTCATACAGAGCTCCAGTGTATATGATTAAAGCACTATATTATTACATATCATTAACATTAAATTCCAATATATACATAATTGAATTAAATGTACATGAAGATTACAATTTTCTACAACTATAAAATGGAATGAGTTTTAACGTCCTACGGCACCAACCAGGCTAGTTAAGACGAGCATATGAGGGATATTTCCACCTAATCTTCATTGATTCCCAACTGTCCAGGATTCTTTAACGTGCACATCATCCCAAAGCTAGATGCTTTTTTAGTTGCCAAAAGATGTGCAGTGTGCTACGAGGAAAATTATGTCCAGACAGCAGCGGGCGGTACAGTCTACTATTATTCGTGATTTGACTTAGGTTATTTTGTTCCATCCCAACGACTCGATACTTTTGCCTTGCCAAAGACAGGCATATGTCATGCAGTGTGCTATAATGTGGACAATTTTGTTCAGACAGTGGTTCTACAGTCTACTCTTATTAGAACTGTCAAGGATTATTTAATGTGCACGCCAATACAGGACCTTGGTTTCTTGTGCCATTAAACATTAAATACAGAACTCCTACATGATATATGGCCCCTAGCTAGTTACAAAGCATTCTCAAGACTTAGGAATTTACTCAACTTTTATGAGAAATATCTTTAATCCAGAAACACAAAACTTTGCACATAGTTTCTTACTGATGTATTTGATACATCAAAAGTTTTATAAAGGGCTATATTTTAATTAAAATAAGGCCAGCAATTTTGAGTAAAGTCTTAACTTAAGGCTGAGAATGCTTTGTGAAACTGTGACTATGTGATTTATAGTATTTGCTGTATTTATTGACCAGACAGGGTTTGTTTTAGATAAATCGTAATGTTTATGGGCGTGTACATGATTTCTTAATATACACCAGGTATCATGCATGGTTTCAAGAATCGTGAATTGAGATAACCAAAGTATCTTTGAATAATGTTATAAATTAGATAATCCCTGAAACTTCAATAATTTCCTAAAATATGTGTAATAAAATTATATCAAACCAAATATTAAATATAAAACCATAGGACAATATATAAATGAATAGATGATTGGGAAATCAAAATTATACAGTCAGTTTTAAACTGGACATAACATCAAAATTATACAGTCAGTTTTAAACTGGACATAAGTACAAATTAGATGATTTGAGGTGCTTTTTACAAATTTTCAAACAGATATTTGATATTGAAAAATGTGAATGAAATTATGGCTAAAAACACAAGATTAAATGATACTTGGATTAAAGTGTAAAGTACCAATTCATGAATTACAAATTGGTATAACATGGTTTCAAGAATCGTGAATTGAGATAACCAAAGTATCTTTGAATAATGTTATAAATTAGATAATCCCTGAAACTTCAATAATTTCTTAAAATATGTGTAATAAAATTATATGAAACGAAATATTAAATATAAAACCATAGGACAATATATAAATGAATAGGTGATTGGGAAATTAAACACTTGTAAATTGGATGATCGTTATCAAAATTATACAGTCAGTTTTAAACTGGACATAACATCATCAAAATTATACAGTCAGTTTTAAACTGGACATAAGTACAAATTAGATGATTTGAGGTGCTTTTTACAAATTTTTAAACAGATATTTGATATTGAAAAATGTGAATGAAATTATGGCTAAATACACAAGATTAAATGATACTTGGATTAAAGTGTAAAGTACCAATTCATGAATTACAAATTGGTATAACATTTTGAATTCGTTAATTAATAAATATTACCAATATAATATTAACATTTCATAAAGTCATAAATCACAAATTATTACCATTTTACAAAAAATTACAACTTCACAAATTACCACTTTACTTAAAATTGCTAATTCATAAAATATCACTTTACATAAAATTGCCAATCAACAAATGACCACTTTACATAAAATTGCCAATTCATCAATGCTTACTTTACATAAAATTGTTAATTCATAAATTACCACTTAACATAAATTGATAATTGATAAATTACCAATTTATATAACATCCATGAATGATAAATTTGTGAATAATAAAAGTAAAAATGAAATTATCTCAGTCACAAGATATTTGAATACTACATACAAATTTGTATTAATACTATTCATGATTCATGAAACTGTAGTTTATGGATATACATATAATTCAATGCTGCATTGGACAAATAATTTGAAATGGGAGCAATGGTGTGCACAGAATGAGAAGTTGGGAGTGAAATTAAAATGATTTTCTTTTTTAAATTTGAAATTATCGCAGTTAGCAAGTGGTCCAACAGCCTCGCCAACTGGTGTGAATGTGGATCCATGTTTTAATAAGTGATACCAAGAGTAGACAACCTGTGTGAATATGAATCCATATTTTAATAAGTAGACAACCTGCTAGATGTAACTTTTGCACCTAATGCTTATTTATATTTAATTTAAATAAAAAATTTTATTTCATCAATTTTACATAATATTTAAAATGTCTTCCTTTCTCACATTTTTCAGTACTAGAACTTACACTTGATTTACATTTGATTTAATAAAAAAAGGCGTATTTCATTTTTTTTTCTTAATTCTCAGTACTAGACTCTGTACTTAAGTGATGGGTGAATACAAAATATAGTAGACCTTGTACTTGAGTCATGGTGGCGTACAATATAGGAATTGGTACCAGGGATCATCTGCTTGACCAAGGTTCACATAATACTGTCCATTAAATAAATACTGAATTAAATAAACATATATAATTTAATGTTGTCTTTGTCCATTATATTTGATATTCGTACAAGTCGAACATTATTACTTGTACCGGCATTAAACAATCTGTATATCTCATAATTCTGACATTGGTCCATCGCAAATTTAACTTCTGGCATCGATGTCTCCAACATTCGTTTAGCATCCGAGCGAGTGCTCTTAACTTCACTGTACAGCGTTAATTGTTCCCCTTTCTCCGAACGATAAGTGATGATAAAATCGTACGGATCGCCTGACTCGCATTTCTCGTTGACCCAATTCACATCCAGGATGTTTTTATTGGCTGCCTTCTGTTGTAGAAGATAATCGTAGACCACTTGTTCTCCCCAACGTCCAACTAAACGTTCGTTCTCGGGGTCGTCTGATACGTCAATATTCAGGGATGGTCGGTCGCCCAATGGTAAATCTTCATACGGTATTACACTTGAAGATTCCTGCCACTTAGGTGCATCTAGAAAAGAAAATTGTTGAAATAAATGAATTTGTGTTTGCATGAAATAAAATAGGGTTGATATAGTCCTTCTGTTCTACACGATACTCCTCCCAGTGTTTCGTTTGATTTGACCTAATCCTACTAACACTGCTGTAATGGAAGCAAATTTCTGTTCCACATTAACAGTCCGATTAACAACCAATACCTAACTGCGTAACAATATCATTACGCTTTCTATAGAGCTCAAAATTGGACCAAATATGTTTACATAATCTTACGTTACGACTCATGATTTTATTATGCCCAATTAACCAGTGCATTGCGTGACAAACAAGGATATCAGAACGGATACAATGTAAACAATACTGTTTGGCGACGAACAATACTTTTCACCGTTTTTAATACCTTAAATCACTGTCCAAAGTTTTAGGGAAGATCCCAGATTAAACAAAGGGCTGTCATGTTGCTGTACTTAGGATAGATTTGATTGAACAGGAAGAATGGACACAATCCCTCAAAAGCTCAAGTATCAGAAGCAAATCCAGCAATGGCCAGAGGGGGATTTCTCGGGCCATTGCTACAGGAAGGGTTCTTTTATGTTCCCAGGGCTAACATACATAATCTATTTTTTTTGATAATACTGTGGCCCTCAGTAAGTTGGTTGGGGGAAGTGCAATAGTCAAGCTGTAAGAAAACGGGACTCTATAACTAAAATATCTTGGGTTCCAATCCTGGAGTGGGCCAAAGGCATCTGATTTTTTTAAGACCAGTCTCTAAGTAAAGCGTGTTAACTAGTCATTCTGTCAGATGAAGTGAAAAACTGACGTCTACCAATGCACAGGTTGGCATGAACGTGAATGAAACTCCTAACAGCAGGAATTCAGTGCAAATTATCCTGCCTCTATGGCACACATGAACACAGGGAAAACAAATAGGACCTTCAAATCGATTCCTTTCTATTCATGTTACGATATAATTATTGTTCTATTCAGGATATGAGATGATTATTATTCTATTCATGTTACATGATTATTATTGTTCTATTCATGTTAGGAGATGATTATTGTTCTATTTATGTTAGGAGATGATTATTGTTCTATTCATGTTATGAGATGATTATTGTTCTATTTATGTTACAAGATGATTATTGTTCTATTCATGTTAGGAGATGATTATTGTCATATTCAGGTTATAAGATAATTATTGTTCTATTTATGTTACAATATGATTATTGTTCTATTCATGTTACAGATGATTACTGTTCTATTCATGTTATGAGTTGATTATTGTTCTATTCAAGTTATGAGATGATTATTGTTCTATTCATGTTATGAGATGATTATTGTTCTATTCATGTTATAAGGTGATTATTGTTCTATTCATGTTATGGAATGATTATTGTTATATTTACGTTATGAGATGATTATTGTTCTATTTATGTTATGATTGTTGTTCTATTCATGATATAAGGTGATTATTGTTCTAATCATGGTACACGATGATTATTGTTCTATTCATGTTATTAGATGATTATTGTTCTATTCATGTTTAAGAGATGATTATTATTCTTACCAAAGTTAAAAGGGCGTTTATGATTTGGGTCGAGAGGACGAGATGGGCTTCTATGCTGACGGTTTGTCTCCGACTCTGGGCTTGGGGAGGTTTCTATTGGTTGAGTCTGATCTTGAGCTTTTTCTGGCATGGTAGCTGTTACATCCACGTTGTCCTCTGGGGAACTGGGTGCATGACGTTTTGTTTCGTTGTTATCTTCTGTCTCATTGCTGTCTATCTTCCGTTTGCCTATAAAATTAAAGCCACATTTGTCAAACGTAAACCAAGAGGTTGGGGACTAGCAAGTTCTGAAAGTCTTCTTCAGAAAAGTAGAACATTAAAAGATCTTGATACTGTATGTTGAGGATGAGCAAGACATTCCATTTAACTTCATTTCATTTTTTTTGGGGGGGGGGGGGGGGGGATGGCTGAATGGTTAGCGTGCGCGCTCTGTATAATAAAGTCTGTCATTGAGTCGACTGGCTTGGTTTCGAATCCCCGGTTGTACATGACAAGAAGTAGGGTCGCCTGTCCAACCTTGTGGGTTTTCTCCGAGTCCTTCGGTTTCCTCCCACTGCTAAAGACTCCTATGCGCAAGCGAATTATTGAAATAAAATTAAACCATATGTTAGTCCTGAAATGACCTAGTTTGTGTCGAGTGGACGTTAAACCCCATTTCTCTCTCATTTCATTTTGCAAATAATAACAAAAATATGGTTGGGGTCGGGGCGCACAGGCAATGTGGAGGATTATAAAAATTGGGCATGGTTCAGTTTTATAAATAAATAAATAATAATATTTTGACTTTGAAAGTAATCATAGATTTGACATTGTGCTTTCTAACTGAAGAGATAAAGATTATAAAAATTATATGAATACTAATTATATAATTAATAATTACAAATTAATAATATTTTCAATATAAAGAAAGTAAACTTAGGTATTAAGATTCAGAACAAAAATATTACTAAAAGCTATTTTAATTCATTTAATTTTTTTTTTGTTAGGGAGGAGAGTTGGTTAGTGCTTTTAAGCCATGACATGATTTGAGTTAAAATTTATAAAAATAAAATAAATCGAAGGTTAATTGTGTAAAGAAAAAATACTAATTAAAAAGAAAAGATTTAAACATTCTGCCATTTAAGAATTGTAGAAATTCATGCCACAATAAAAGATATATAGTGATATAAACATGCTGTATACGAAGACAACATTTAATCTAAAAGAAAAATTTATTGAATTTTACTGTTTAGAAAAAAAAATAGTTAAAATTAAAATTATATTCAATATTTTTTAATTTTTTTTTTTAGTTTTTGAGCCCTTGTTAAAACCTGTACAGCACAACAGATTTACAGATAAACTTTTTTTATTGAGTTAAGTGGTTTGGTTTTAATCAAGCTTGCTTGTGACAAGGAGTAGAGTTGTCTGCTCAATCCAGTGGGTTTTCTCAGAGTCCTTTGGTTTTCTACCCCTGTTAAAGACCCCTACACGCAATTGAATTTTTTAAAATAAAATTGAAAAATATGTTAGTCTGACTATAGTCTCTCTGACCAGTTTTCATGGATTGCCTGTTTTCCATACCATCCAAACAACTGGACACAATTTACTTGTCTGCCCCGCAGGCAAATATCTCTATCAAGTGGAAGCCAGCTTGAAATATCCCAATATTCTTCTTGGTCAAAGCTGGGATTCAATTCCACAAGATTTTAGTCGAGAGTACAGTGACCTCATTGTTCGATTAGCAAGACATCAAATCTATAAAGACTTTTTATAGAACATTGCAGATAGATAAAGTGAACATTAAATAATGGTGCAACAGTCAATGATACGCATGATTTAATGCTTCTCAGAGATTCTCCTAGATTCATTTTTATTAAATTCCAAATGACCTATATGTTGATGGTTAATATTCACAGTAACCCCTGTCCTTCATCACCATCAAAGGGGAAACCAAGAGGAGCTTTCTTGGGGCCAACACCAGGATCGAAATACAGACCTCCTGAAAAGTAAGCCAGTGTAACAGACCGTTACATTGGCTAATTCCTCACACCATTCAGAACACGTCAATGATAACAACTCTTTCAGATCCTAGTGTAGTATAGACAAGTAAAACGAAATTGTGAACTATAAAAACGAATCGAAATGGGATCTGTGTTTTAACCAGATTGAAGTGGGGTCTCCTCCATCACCCTCTTTCTCAAATTTTTAAAAAAGAAAATAGGAAAACATCTGAGAAAGCATTGCAAAGTAAATTTTCAAGCAAAAGCGGGGACACATACGACTATCACCTGCAGAACCATCAGACTTCGACAGGTCTTGACTCGTCGGTCGTCCGTCAACTTCACGTGACACAGGTCGACTTCCTCCTCCTGTTGAACTAACAGTTGAGCTCTGTCTCGATGTTCCAGAAGGACGTCTAACCACCCCATCTGTATCTGTGTTCATTGGTCCTTCTGATGAACGTGGCCTTCTTGCCGCACCGTCTTCGTTTGCCATTCTGTCTCCGCATGGTCTCAGATTTTCTGAATTTTTTGATGGGTCAGCAGCATCTGTGGTTTTCTCATCTGTTTCGGCCGCCACAACTTTAATGTTTGATGGAAGAAAATCTGTGCGGGATTTGGCAACAAAACCTTCTGGAGCTGGCGGAGGCCATAGTTTAGCTCCAAGGGGTTTAAAGGTAACATCTGAAAAATATTTAGATATTTATTATGCAGATGATAATTATGTTTCATTTCTTTGTGTCTTACAGGGTTGGATCGCCGAATGGTTCAACATGCTCATTAGATCATCAGGTCTGTCAGTGAGTCAAGTGGCATGGTTTCAATTACCAGCTTGTAAACAACAAAGAGTAGGGTCGCCTATCGAATCGTGTGGGTTTTCTCCGGGTCCTCCGGTTTCCTCTCACTGCTAAAGACTACTACACACAATCCAATTATCAAAATAAAATTAAACCATTTTAGTCGCTAAATGACTCTTCATCAAATTCGAGGGGTCTTTAATGTGCACACAGGAAAAGATAGGTTTTATACTCTCCAAAACGACTTGACAATGTTCTTTGCCAACACTGGGATTGAACTTTGGACCTTCAGAGCAGTGGATCATTGCCTTCCGAGCGACAAAAACCATCTATTTGAAGATGCAGATCTTTGTTCTGGCTTCAAATGTTATACAGAATTATTATTTAGATATTTATTAACACGACAGGCCTATAGTCAACTCTCTAGATCATTGGATGGCAGGGATTTAAACATCCAAGAGATTTAAATGGATTTGAACATTTAAAAATTTAATGATAAAATGGACAATCAAGACTTTGTCTCGGATTGTCAAGTTCCATTGCTACGATAATAAACAATCTATGCTACATCTTCCATCAGTCAAAACTTCGCCCAGAATAAAGTAATTTGAATGAAATTTTTCAATATGTTAATTTTACATTATCTATTCTTGAAGTATTATAGCAAGAAAGACCAGCTCTTTATCTAAATCTTGCATAATATATCTTTAAAAGATGAGAGACAACATACTGACCTGATCTCTGTTGTGCGTTAGGATTATCTGGAGCACGTGGTGGCCATGATCGTAAAGTTTTCTCCGTATTACCAGATTCTGATTGGGCTTCTGATGCTGGTTGCTCAACTGACGATAAAAAGAAAATCATGGCCATAACTTAATATAATTATATAACTTTATAATGCCTGTATTCTGCATTTTGACTTATAAATATCATACCTCTGTCGGCATCATTCTTCTGGCTTCCCTTGATCTTGGAACCATCCACAATGCATACTTGCAGATTGGCAATACAAATCTTGCCACCCAATTCCACAAAGAGTACCAGTAGGTTGGTGATAAAATCACTGCAATCCAAACAATCGTGGATCTCGCGCAAGACATACCTAGAGGTCGGTGATACAACCCTTCAAACCCTGTATCCTAGCCACAAGACATATATAGACATTGGTGTTACAATCCCCAAACAACCTGGAGGTTGTGGTAAAATCCTCTACCCAGTGCCCCTCTCACAAAACATACCTGGAGGTTGTGGTACAATCCTCTACCCAGTGCCCCTCCCACAAGACATACCTGGAATTGGTGATACAACTCCCCAAACCCTGTGTCCTTGCCACAAGACATACCTAGATGTTGGTGTTACAATCCCCCAACACTGTGCCCCTCCTACAAGAAAGACATACCTTGAGGTTCTGGTACAATCCCCCGACCCTGTGCCCCTCCCATAAAACATACCTTGAGGTGGTTGTACAATCCTCAACCCAGTGCCCCTCCCACAAGATATACCTGGAGGTAGTGGTACAACCCTTGACCCAGTGCCCCTTCCACAAGACATAACAGGAGGTGGTGGTACAATCCTTGACCCAGTGCCCCTCTCACAAGACATACCTTGAGGTTGTGGTACAATCAACCGACCTCGTGCCCCTTCCACAAGACATAACTGGAGGTGGTGGTACAATCCGCGACCCAGTGCCCCTTCCACAAGACATACCTGGAGGTGGTGGTACAATTCTCGACCCAGTGCCCCTCCCACAAGACATACCTGGAGGTGGTGGTGGTACAACAACTGGTGGTATTATAATCGGTGCCTTGATCGACCATACGATCTCCTCTTCCGGTAAATCATCCACTTCTTCTTCGTTTAACACATCATCTATACTGTCTTCTGATCGTTTGTTTATTATATGTGTTATTGACAGCAGAAAATGACTAGAAAAAAAAATCTGTAGGTTGACAGACAACGCAATATATGAGAGAGAGAAATGGGATTTAATGTCCACTCAACACAAACCAGATCATTTCAGGTTTCACTTTTATGTCAATTATTTGCTTGCGCATAGGATTAGGAGATAACCAGAGGACCCGAAAACAAACAGAGGTTGGACAGGCGACCCTACTCCCTTGTTATGAGCAAGTGGGAATCGAAACCATGACACTTGACTCAATGACAGTCCTTATGGTCTAAAATGCACTTGTTAGTTAAACCATTTGGTCCCCTAACCTTGGTCATCAACATCCCACGCTGTTTGAATTGTTCTAGCAGTGATCTGTGCACGAAGTTTTATAATCATATCTTGAATAGTTTACCAGATATATGCTCTGGAATAAATATTATATATTAAAATCTTCGTCAAACTTGTTTCCATGGACACACTACGCAAGATATGCAACAAAAACAAAAGGTCTCAGGGATTTTCATAAAAAAAAAAGATTTACCGTAATTCTTTCATCAGTTTATTGTTTCCTTTACTAAAGAACTTGGCGATCTCCTTGATGATTTCCCCATAATTTTCAGCATATTTTTTATCCACAAGAAACTCGTCTCCTTTCAGAACACAGTTCTCTGTATGAGGTAACATAACTCCACTGATGTGCTTTAACTTATAAATCACCTCCAACACGTCTGTCTAATAATTGAAAAAGATAGGTTGCCAGGCAATAAAATATACAGCCACAGCAGCTAAATCGTCCGAGCGGCCAACAAAAGTTGTTGTATATTTACTTTTTCGTAGATAATGGGAGTTACGAGACACATATATCAATTTAATACAGATCTGATGATAACTTTTATCGTTAGAGCATCAGATAAAGAGCTGACGGTTCTCGCTATCATAGTTATAAAAAATAGATAATGAAAATAGAATATGATGAAAATTGCAGCCAAATTGCTTCATTCTGAGATGTTAGCGATTAAATTTTAGACTAGCCTTGATCGGCATTAGTATTGTTGCTACGATAATAAACAAAGTCTTGATTAACCAATTTTACGTTAAATCATCCATCACAAAACGTATTCAAATCCACTAAATATCTCAGGCTATTGATGGCATCGAGAGTTGATTATGGTCTGGATAAGTTAATTAATAATTTAGATAACATTTCAGGCCTAAGGAAAGACCTGCAAATTGTCAGATTTAGCTCTTACATAATGTATGTTTAATTGAAATCATTATTTACCTCAATCTAATTAAAACACACATCCTACTTCAGTTCGTTTTTTATAGTTCAAAATTTTGTTTTGCTTGTCTACTACACTAGGACCTGGAACAGTTGTTATAACCCGCGTTCTGGTTGATGTGAGAGATTAGCCAATGAAACAGTCTGTTGCAGCGAGTTCTTGGCGTGCGATGCACAGAACTGTGAGTATCCTACTAGAAACATCAACACTGATTGGTTAATTAAATGACAGACGTCATACTGTCAATTTAAAGCAACTTGTTTGACGCTTGACGCGACCTTCCACTACAACTGGTCAGATCTTCATGTAGACGAGACCATTGAAAGTATAAAAAAAAAAAAAAAATGAAATATTGATCTGTATTTTAATCAGATTGTATTTACCTGAAAAAACTGTAAACTTGAGACAATCTCGGCCATGTTACTTTGTTTACATTCTGTGTAGATATCGTCATGGTAATGTGTGTAAATAAAACGCTGTATCAGTGGTATCACATGATGCATAAACAGCTGGACTTTAGGACAAGGTTGGAGTAATTTGGTCTGTGATGTGCTCTCCACGCTGTCGCTAAGATTTGGTATTGGGAACATCTTGATAAACATCATAACTCTAGGATCAACTGTGGTATCTGTAACAGAAATTCACCAGAAAATAATAATAATTTTTAATAATAATATCATTTCCTATTATACTATAGGCATTTCATCATAAACACAATCTCAATATGGTTCAATTTTATTTCAACAGGGGTCTCTAGCAGTAACTCAGCTCTAGACCTTATGCCCCTTGTCAGTGATGCAGGACGGAGGGCCTGACAAGGACAGCTGTCTAGTTGTTCGGATGGGACGAAAAACCAAGGTCCTGTGTACACATTGGCATGCACGTAAAAAAGATCCCTTGGCAGTTGGAATCGATATAAGAGTAGGCCGTAGTGCCACTGCCCGGGCAAAATTTCCCTCATAGCACACTGTATGGCGTATGCCCGTCTTCATTAGCCCAGTTTAGGAGCAGAACAGTAGGACGTTAAACCCCATTTCATTTCATTTCATTTCATTTCTAGACCTTATGATCTAATAAGCACAAGATAAACCATTCGGTAATCCAACTCCCCTTTAACAAGGTGCTCCAAGCTAAAGGCAATACTGTGAATCATTCAATGCAGTTTTGTAGGAAAATTTGAGTTTTGAGATGTTTTTTTTTTAAGTAGTCGAGGGAGGAAACATTGTGAATAGAAAGAGGGAAAGGAGTAGCATTAGCCAAGGTAGGACCAGTCCTCACAAGTAAGATCTCGGCTGAACCAAGAGACAAGAGTCATGAAATAATAAGGCTAAGCTACACAGGAATATGACCCCATGCAGTGTGCTGTGAAAGAAATTTTAGTCGGCAAATTCCATGGGAACTTGGTTTTTTACATCCCATCCAAATGACTAGACATTGTTCAGCAAAACCGACAAGGGGAAACTTCGCTGAGACACCTAAGAAACTTTTGCAGCCATCCTACACCACTGACAAGGGTAAACCAAGCTGACAAATCCAAGGAACTTTTTCGGCTCCCTGCACCACTGACAAACCCGAGGAACTTTTGCAGCAAACTCATGCTTCACATAAAATAAAAGAAAAAATAACATTTGATAGTTACCTCTACGTTTAAATTTAGTATTTTTATCTTTCGAGTCTGTTGTTAACTTCAAGAAATGGACGTTTTCCTCTCCGGCGAACTTCTTCTCTAATTCTAGGTTGTCTGCTATCATAGGTTTATCTGCCAACGACACCCAAATGTTGGCTTTGGAGCAAAAGATCTTCTGCTTGGATAAACGTTGAACAATCTTGGTCCGTTCGTTTTCTTTCATGGTACTTAATGTAAAATCATCTGAGTCGTTGATAGTTAGAGACGTTGCGATTAGAGAATAAATCTGTAGCACATTGCTAAAGATGCTTTTATGAGTCGGCAAATGGACCGTCGATAAAAGAACCAAAAGTTCGGCATAATCAGACATATTTGGATTCATCTGAACACGACAAATGGTTTGGAAAAATTTCTCAAATTCTTTGGTGGGGTAAAAACTGCTTATAATATGTTTGTTGGCGATGTCCAAATGATACTCTATGAGCAATTTATGATGGTATATGAAAAGTGATGAAGTGTCATTCCACCAAATTTCGTCGCGTTTTAACATCTCCCCAACGACCAATTTCAATGGATCAGGATCCTGCTTATCCTTTGGAACAAAAATCACCGAATTATCAATAAACAAATCTTGGGACTCTTTGCTCTTCAGATTATCGCGAAGATAAAGGTATATTGCTTGAATCTGTTTCAACGAACCAACAAATGTTACCGGTTTGTCTTCCTCGCTTCGTTTCCCCCATTTAATCAACAAATCTTTCAGCATGGACACTTCCAACGTCTTTTTAATTTCCAGGAATTTGGAAAACGAACTCGCGGCCAGGACGTTACACTGGATATAATTCACAGTATGTGCGAGAATTTTCTCGATTCCCGGATCGCGGACATACAGATCCGATGCTTTCATATTAACCTCTTTTACATTAACTTTGATTCTTTGATCTGTTTCGTCTGTGTTGAAATCTACGGCCGGGACCCACTTCAGTGACTTTAAATACAAACCAAAAGATGAGTCAACTGTTCGTAGAATCTGACCGTCGGCAGATCGGATTGAAGTTGTTTTAAATTTAGAATAAATACTGTCCCATTCCTGATCGAGTTTCGCAAACAATATCTTCATCTGGTGGTTGAATGTTTCTGGATTCCTATTTTTCGTAACCAAAGCTTGGAATTCGTCGCATATGAAGTCAGATATGATGTAGCCATTTAGAGATGATGGTAAAGTGTCACTTTTAACAGCCCATGGGGTTTTATCCTAAAAAAGAGATAACATCTATAAGAAATGTTAGAGAGTATCTAAAATCTCTGCATGGCATTCGCATATTTTCGGAAAATATAAATTTTCCACAGCTTATAAAGTCTGGGAGAGAGAGAGAGAGAGAGAGAGAGAGAGAGAGAGAGAAGGAGGGTTTAACCTCCACTCTACACAAACTAGGTCATTTCGGGACTAACATATGGTTCAATTTTATTTAAATAATTTGCAGTGGGAGGAAACCGGAGGACCCGGGGAGAACCCACGAGTTTGGACAGACGACACTACTTGTCAAGTACAAGCGGGGAAATGATATCACGCCACTTGACTCAATGACAGATCTTATGATATATCCCCATGAGTTAGTCCACTCGACCATCAACCAATAGATGATGACAGCAGACTTACCAAATTATCTGGCATAATGGTGATATCTTTCGATCTAACATCCAGGAAATCGATGACACCAAGTTTGGTGAGAAAATCCCGCCATTGTTGTGCTGCTAGTCCGACTGGACCCTGAGTCAAATATTCACCATCAACAAGTACCCAATCATAACCTGAAATTACATCAATATATTCATTAATTACTCACCACAGTTCAGGAAAGTAAACCCAACACTCATTAGCTAATGTGAGAGAGAGAGAAATGGGGTTTTACGTCCACTCGGCACAAACTAGGTCATTTCAGGACTAAGACATGCTTTAAATTTATTTCAATAATTCGCAGTGGGGGGAAACCGGAGGACCCAGAGAAAACTCACGAAGATAGACAGGCGACCCTACTTCTTGTCACGTACAACCGGGGAATCGAAACCCCGCCAGTTGACCTTATGACAGACCGTATGATACAGCATGCACGTGCTAACCATTCGGCCATCCACCCACCCCTCCATTACCTAATCTAGACAGACCATTTTATACTACGTGACAGTAGGAACCCAATATTTTTCAATGTTCCATTGTTGGCAGAGAAAGTTCATCAGGATTTTTTGGGCATGGTTCCCCCTTGTCAGTGATACAGGACAGAGGGTCTGGCAAGGGACAACATTTAGTCTTTCGGATGGACTAAAGATGGAGGTGCCGTGTACACATTGTCGTTGGCAGGTGGTATTCCATATAAGAGTAGGCTGTAGTTGCGCTGTATGGGCAAAATTTCCCTGATAGCACACCGTATGGTGTATGCTGTTCTTCATTAAAACAAACGTATGTTAAATCCAATTTCATTTCAATTTTTATAATATACTTACCCTGTAACTGTCACCAGAGCTCAAGCTGTTGGTCGCCATAGTTGCATTTTACGATAAAAATATGAAAGTGGCGATAATTGTTTTACAATAGGCCTACTGGAGTCATAAATTTGTTACGTGTTGTCTTTTTTATCGGAAAAAAATATGAACATTTTTTTTTATATAAAAATCATCATCTATTTTGACGGAGAGAGAGAGAGAAATGGGGTTTAACGTCCACTCGACACAAACTAGGTCATTTCGGGACTAACATATGGTTTAATTTTATTTCAATAATTCGCTTGCGCATAGGGGTCTTTAGCAGAGGGAGGAAACCAGAGGACCCGGAGAAAACCCACGAGGTTGGACAGGCGACCCTACTCCTTGTCACGTACAAACAGGGATTCAAAACCACGCCAGTCGAATTAATGACAGACTTTATGATACAGCGTGCGCACGCTAACCATTCAGCCATCCAACCCCCCCTATTTTGACGGAAAAAAATTGAAAGCCAGTGTGAGCCGTGATTGTCTCTGTAGATTGATTGGGTTGTTTTAATATACTTACCCTGTAACTGTCTCTGTAGATCAATTGGGTTGTTGTAACGAGCTGTAAAATGTATCGAGTCCTTTTTAGGGTTTTTAAACCCATGGTTTGTAGCTATTTGTACGATGGATTTCAGTTCCTCCAGATTTACAATTGATGGCTGGCGTTCGTATTGATCTTTTATATACATCACGTAGTTGATCAATATATCACGATCTTTATTCTAGAAAATAAAACATTGTTTGAGAAAAAAAAAACAGTCTCATCAAGCAAGATTATATAAAATATCACAATCTTTATTCTAGAAAATATGATCTGTACAAAAAAAAAACTCATTGCGCAACAAGGTTGATCAATCGTTGACGTGTCATAAAATATGTTCTATATATAAAGTAGTCTCTTATCAATTACTTACCAGTCATTTGATCATAATACAAGTAATGGATAGAATATAGTCTCTGACCTACCAGTCTTCCGAGTGTAATACAAGTATATATATATCTATAAAGTAGTCTCTTACCTTCCAGTCTTCTGATCGTAATACAGGTAATATATGATGGTGTATAAGATCGTCAGGTGATAATTGTTTCACGTCAACAAGTTGTAGTAATTTTTCAACCTGGGAATTTATTTCATTATCTTCTGTCGTTATTAATCCACTATCGACCGTATTCAAATCTTGTTCAATCTTCGACAGCGGATCTGAAATAAACGTAGCCATGTCTTCTACTAATTTTAAGTAAGGATATGATATGGTAAGTGGCATGAGGTGTTCAATATAACAATGACGAGCTCCCATAAATGTTAAATGTTATCAAACCAGTGTTGAATCAGTTTGTGTCAACATACCTTTTATGTTTTCATCATTTACTGTGAAACAAACTATTGCAGCTTTATGGATTTCAGAAGTTAGAGAGAGAGAAATGGGTTTCAACGTCCACTCGACACAAAATAGGTCATTTCGGGACTAACATATGGTTTAATTTTATTTCAATAATTTGCTTGCGCGTAGGGGTCTTTAGCAGTGGGAGGAAACCGGAGGACCCGGAGAAAACCCATGAGGTTGGACAGGCGACCCTACTCCTTGTCACGTACAACCGGGGGAATCGAAACCCCGCCAGTTGACTCAATCACAGACCGTATGATACAGCGCACGTGTGCTAACCATTCAGCCATCCAACCCTCCCTCAGAAGTTAGAAGTTAACCTAGAAATGTAATGGGGGTTTAATGTCACATTTGTTTGCATCAAGCCGTTACAATGAACATAGGCATACAGTGTGCTAAGGGAGACATTATCATTATTTTCATCATTAACATTATAATGATTATTATCATTATAATGATTATTATCATTATAATGATTATCATTATCATTATTATTATCATTATTATTATTGTCATCATTATTTTCATTATTTTTATTATCATCAGTATCATTGTTAACATTAGTATTATCATCATCATTATTTTTATTATCATCATTATTATTATCATCAGTATCATTGTTAACATTATTATTATCATCATTATCATCATCATTATTTTTATTATCATCATTATTATTATCATCATCATTTTTATTATCATCAGTATAATTGTTATCATTGATAACATTATTATTATTATCATCATCATTTTTATTATCATCATTATTATTATCATCAGTATTATTGTTAACATTATTATCATCATCATCATTTTTATTATCATCAGTATCATTATTTTTATTATCATCATTATTATTATCATTATTGTTATCATCATTATCATTATTATTATCGTCATCATTATTATTTTTATTATCAATATTATTATTATCATTATTGTTATCATTATTATTATCATCATTATCATTGTAAGCATTAGTATTATCAATATTATCATCATTATCATTCCAGTACCCACCATTCCTTCTCTTGTTTCGTGTTGATCTGTCAACTGGCGTAAGGAACACAGTCGTATTAGACAGCGATGTCAACTCTCCAGTAGATAAAGGTAATATCTTCATACATCTAATCTCGTTAAATATCTTTTCGTCAGTATTAAATTCATCTAGACTTCTATAGACACACGCCATCCATTTGGCAATGATTGTAACTCGCTCCGATTTCTCTACAAGAAGTATCAAAAAACATCAAATTAAATCTAAATGAAATGAAATGAGGTTGAACATTGAAATGAAGACGGGCATGCAATGTGCTGTAAAGGAAATTTTGGTTGGACATCGGCCTTTCCACTGACTCTTTGTTGTATTCCAACTGCCCAGGATTCTTTTTTATACAAGCCAATGTGTGTGTGGGACCTTTGTTTTTTTGTCCCATCCTAACAACTTGACATTATTCTCCTTCAGTCGCACCTTCCACTTCCTTTCTCCACCTCACCTTTGCTTTCCTTCTCCCTCTTACCTTTCCTTCCCCCTCTGACCTATTTCCTTCGCCCTTCTTCCTCTCACCTTCCCTTCTCCGTTTCACATTCCCTTCACTTCTCACCTTTCCCTCCCACCTTTCCTTCCCCCTCCCTATTTCCTTGCCCTTCTTCCTTTCACCTTCCCTTCTCCGTTTCACCTTTCCTTCACTTCTCACCTTTCCTTCAATTCTCATCTTCCCCTCCCACCTTTCCGTATTTCCTCTCACCTTCCCTTTTCCGTTTCACCTTTCCTTCACTTCTCACCTTCTCCTCCCACCTTCCCTTCTAACCTTCGCCTCTCCCTTTTACCATCCTTTCCCTTCTCCCTCTCACCTTCTCTTTCCATCTCTCTCAACTTCAAATCTCTTTCTCTACAAAAATAATTACCTGTCTGATTGCTGACAAATGTCTGTGACAAAGACCGTCCAATCTGTAGCAGGTGTTCTGTACGTATAAATTCTACTCCCAGATTCTGAGCCAGACTTGGTGTCAACATGGCCGCCACGTCTTTACATAAATAATGAAGATTTAGATGTTTCAGCAGCAGATCAGGGGAGATAACTTCTCTCAATAACGAGTCTTGTACTATCACGGTCTGAGATGGAATCTTCCACTGATAATTTCCTGAAATGGAAATAATACCACTTACAACAAGCTCTCTAACACCATCTTTGTGTTATTTATCAAGTCAGGGTCATCTTAATGCATGGAAATACTGGGTACCTGCCTGGGGTACCACAAGATTAGGAGCCCACATGCTGATATATGCATATTATGACTTGCTGTCAAGCGCAATCGGAAAATTATTTTTATTATTATAGATTTATATGGCCCCCTTTTTATAAGATAGGTTGCCAGGCAACAAAACAAACGCCCACAGCAGCTAAATCGTCCGAGTGGTCGACAAGGGTTGTCGCATTTTTATTCCTTTGTAGGTAATTGGGGGCCTTTACAAGACAGTTCCATACAGATTAGATTATAAATTTTGTCGTTTGAGGGTTTACAAGGTTCTAAAAACTGAAACAAGGGTCTCAACTCTGGAAGTAATCTACAGAAATTGTTGAAATTTGACAGGCTTTTTCGTTTTACTAATTTAAATAATGCATATAAATTTCATACATATCGGATAATAACTTTCATCAATCAAGCATTAACAAGGTTTAACAAAATGAAACAAGGGCAATAACTCTAGAAGTAATTATTGTAAATTGCTGAAATTCAATAGGCTTTTTCATTTCACTAATTTAAATCATGCATATAAATTTGGCGTTAGAGCGTTCACAAGGATCAATAAAGTGAAACAAGGGCCATAACTCTAGACGTAATAAATGGAAATTGCTGAAATTCAATAGGCTTCTTCGTTTCACTAATCTAAATAATGCATATACATTTCACAAAGATTGGGTGATAACTTTTGGCGTTGGAGCGTTCACAAGGTTCAATAAAGTGAAACAAGGGCCAAAACTCTAGACGTAATACACAGAAATTGCTGAAATTCAATAGGCTTTTTTGTCTCACTAATTTAAATAATGCATATAATTTTCAGAAAGATCGAATGATAACTTTTGACGTTAGAGCATTCACAAGGATCAATAAAGGGAAACAAGGGCCATAACTCTAGACGTAATAAACGGAAATTGCTGAAATTCAATAGGCTTCTTCGTTTCACTAATCTAAATAATGCATATACATTTCACAAAGATTGGGTGATAACTTTTGGTGTTGGAGCGTTCACAAGGTTCAATAAAGTGAAACAAGGGCCATAACTCTAGACCTAATTAACGGAAATTGGTGAAATTCAATAGGCTTTTTCGTCTCACTAATTTAAATAATGCATACAATTTTCAGAAAGATCGAATAACTTTTGACATTAGAGCATTCACAAGGATCAATAAAGTGAAACAAGGGCCATAACTCTAGAAGTAATTAACGGAAATTGCTAAAATTCAATAGGCTTCTTCGTTTCAGTAATCTAAATAATGCAAATAAATTTCAGAAAGATTCGGATGATAACTTTTGACGTTAGAGCGTTCACAAGGATCAATAAAGTGAAACAAGGGCCATAACTCTAGACGTAAAAAACGGAAATTGCTGAAATTCAATAGGGTTCTTTGTTTCAGTAATCTAAATAATGCATATAAATTTCAGAAAGATCGGATAACTTTTGGCGTTAGAGCGTACACAAGGTTCAATAAAGTGAAACAAGGGCCATAACTCTAGACATAATAAACATAAATTATTGAAATTAAATAGGCTTCTTCATCTCACTAATGTAAACAAGATATATCAATTTAAAAACAATTGGATGATAACTTTTGGCGTTAGAGCATTCACAAGAAATTGTGGACGATGGATGGACGGACGGACCGACAGACGGACGGACGGGGGCGACGGCAATATACGTCCACATTTCAATGTGAGCGTATAAAAATGTTCAAATACATCAATATGTAATTTAAGATTGAATTATTCAACAAAAGATAAAACATTAAAAAATAATATAAGCATATAGGTGCAAAAGAAATCTATATAAATATGATGTATTTATAACTGGAAGCAGGGCTGGGTATATTCCTGGAAACCAATATATCACAATATTTTCAGAAAATATCATAATGTTATCAGTATATCGCCCAATGATACATTAAAATGTCAATAATTACAGTTAATCACCCTCTAACTCTAAATAAACATGTATCAAAAGTTGGATACACCTTAGTCTGCTGAGTATACAATAACACTAAACAAAACTGAACTCCCAAATAAAAAAATAAAAAGATCGGTGTAGTCTCAAAACTAAAAGAACGATATTTCTTACGACCTAGAAAAAACAAATTATAGCCGAAGTGATTAGTAAGATCACAAAAATCGAAATAAACAAAACACTTTTACGGTATATGTCAATCAAAATATAGAAGACAACTGCTTACCATAAGCACATCAAGCAGCTATGACAGAAACAAGACCCCTGCAAGCAACCATGTACACTTACCATCTTTACCAGTGACCACAGGCAAACATTCTTTCGCTCGTAGTTTGGCTAATATTTGAGTGGCTACTGGTTTGAAGAAGTCGAGGATCTCATCTTCCATTGGTACAAATTGTAGAAATGCCAACAAAGCCTCAATTTCTGTAAATTCTTCATGGGCCTACAGATACACAATATGATGTAATGTAATGGATGAATTCTTAACACTGAAAAAATGTAAGGTTGCCAGGCAACGAAACAGAAATGAAATGAAATAGGGTTTATCGTCCTACTGTTCAGCTCCGAACTGGGCAAACGAAGATGGGCATACGCCATACAGTGTGCTATGAGGGAAATTTTGCACGGACAGCGGCACTACGGGCTACTCTTATATCGAATTCCAACTGTCAAGGGATCTTTTATGCGCATGCCAATGTGTACACGAGACCACAGTTTTTCGTCCCATCCGAACGACTAGACAGCTGTCCTTGTCAGGCCTTCTGTCCTGCATCACTTACAAGGGGGAACCAAGCCGGAAAATCTGGATGAACTTTCTCGGCCAATGCAGGAAGCAGCAGACAAACTTTTTCTATTGTAGGTAATGGGAGCATTTACAACTGATCAAGAGTAACAAACCATGAAGTAATTATCCAGAATAATCAATATGTGACTAACTACTGGACCGAAACAGCTGGACAAATACAATCCCCTGAACCACATAAACAACACACAGGTTATCTTAAAATATTATCTTTCAACAACTTTTGAGTATGGATTTTGAAAGACTTTTAGCTATTGATTTTTGGGGGGACTTTTTGAACACAGATTATCAAGGACTTTTGAGTGTGGATTTTCGATGATTGATTTAAAAAAAAAAAACAATCTCCAGAAACACATAAATAACACACAGGTTACCTTAAAAACCTCTAATGATTCTATAAATAGATTATGTATTTCATTTCTGATCCACTGGTTCCATGCGCTGTCTCTATCAACACACTCTCTGCTGGAAGGTACATCAAAATCTCCTGAAAACATAATTTCATCTATCATTAATTTTTGACCATGGATTTTCATGGACTTTTGACGTCTGATTTTCAAGGACATGTGAACATAAATTTCCAAGGACTCTTGACCATGGATTTTTAAGGCCTTTTGAAAATGGATTTCCAAGGACTTTTCAACATGAAATTGAATAACTTATGGATAAAAATCCTACCTTGAACAATAAATCTAAAACCATAATTTCTCAACGGGAGAAAGGCAAATACCAACTGTTTATCTGGTAAAACCTGGAAAGGTAAAATAAACATTACAAAATAACATTACAAAATAACAAGAGAGAGAGAGAGAGAGAGAGAGAGAGAGAGAGAGGAAACCACAATTAGAATGAGAGAATTTCCCCAATGAGCATGAAAAATATTACCCAATTAACATGAGAGAACTTCCCCAATAAGTATGAAATAAAAATTCCCAATCAGTTTGAGAACTTCCCTGTGAGTATGAGAGAAAACTTCCCCAATCAGTATGAGAGAACTTCCCTGTGAGTATGACAGAAAATTTCCCCTAGGTGTATGAGAGAACTTCCCTTTGAGTATGAGAGATCTCTCCAATGACTATAAAACAATTTCCCCAATGAGATAAAGCTTACATGTACCTGTAGATGTTTTTTATAGTTAGGTTTAAGAGGGAAGGCCAGTGCTATTTCTGTTGATTCTACTTCAACTCCAGACTTAGCCTGCAAAAAAACCCCAAACAATACAACATGGGAACCTCGTCTTTGATAGGCATTTAGTAACTGAACATATAAACACAAGGTACAATATATCCATTTAGTAACTAACATGTTAACATAATGTACAGAGAAAGAGAGAGAAATGGGGTTTAACGTCCACTCGACACAAACTAGGTCATTTCGGGACAAACACATGGTTTAATTTTATTTCAATAATTCGCTTGCGCGTAGGGGTCTTTAGCAGTGGGGGTAAACCGGAGGACCCGGAGAAAACCCACGAGGTTGGACAGGCGACCCTACTCTCTGCCACGTACAACCGGGGATTCTTAACCATGCCAGTTGACTCAATGACAGACTTTATGGTACAGCGCGCACGTGCTAACCATTCAGCCACCCAACCCCCCACATAATGTACAATATATCCATTTAGTAATCGAACATATTAATACAAGGTACAATATATCAATTTAGTAACTAAGCCTATCAACATAATAACAACTTATCCATTTAGTAACTAAGCACATTAACATAATAACAACTTAACAATTTAGTAACTAAACATATTAACACCTTATCCATTTAGTAACTAAGCATATTACCTGAATAACAACTTAACCATTTAGGAATTGAACATATTAAAGTACAATTTTACCAATACATAATTACAAAATCTGAATCCCAATAATTTACCATAGATTAAGCTGTAAAAACCTATATATTGTCTGAAAAATCACAATCAAGATTGGAGAATTTAAATTTGTCCGTTCAAGAATAAAATATTTATCGAAGTTATGCGGAGAAATTTTATCGCCGCAAGGGCTTCATTTAGCACAGAATAAATCAGCCTTTAGCTATGAAAAATTAGAAATTGTACAAAAATCCTCGATCAGGATCAATGATTTTAAATCTAAACTTGTCTGTTCAGCAATAAAATATTTAACGAACCTGTATGGATAGGTTTGTACAATCTAACATCTTTTTAACGACCAGCCATCTATCGGTTGTATCACCATGTTTTATTTCTACGATATTATCATAGTCTGTTCTCTTCATCTTCAATACGCTATCTTCTAACTGTAAACAATAAAATACTTTATTATAATATTCAATACACAACATGCTATCTTCTAACTACAACATATAAAATACTTTATTATAATATTCAAAACACAATACGTTATTTCAATATGCTATCTGTTAACTAAAAACAATAAAATACTTTATTTCAATATTCAATACGCTATTTCAATGCACTATCTTCTCACTACAATAATAAAACAAGCCAACAGTGAGGCTGATGTTCCCGGCCAAAATCCCAAAATAATTAGATGACACATATTAATTAATAGTATCGAGCAATCAAACTATACACTAAGTTTCATCACTCTCTATCAAATAGAATCAAGATTATGAAACTGATAAGCTCTGCTTAGCTTCAGCTTGAAATGTTAATCATTGAACTAATGAACATCTACATCAAGTTTAAACATTCTACCTCAATTAAAAGCAGAATTGTTATGTTCCAAAGTCTTGACCAATCAAATTGCTAATCGCTCCTTAACCTAAGCAGAAAATTGTCACCATCGAACTTAGTCAAGGTAATGATATAATGAATCTATATTCGGAGTTTTATAACTCTCACTTCATTATAACCAAAGTTATCATGCCCCAAAACATCAACCAATCAGATTGCTTATCTCTGCTTACTATAACCATACAATGTTCATCATCGAACTCCATCAAGGCATTCACCTAATGAAAGCCTACACCAAGTTTGAACATTCTACATCAATTAGAATGCGAGTTATTGTGTTCCAAAGTCTCGGCCAATCAAATTACTTATCGCTCTGCTTACCCCGAGCATAAAATGCTCATTATCGAACTTATTCAAGGTATTGATGTTATGAAACTATACACCAAGTTTCATCACTCTCACTTAATTAGAACTAAAGTTATCGTGTCCCAAAGCATCAAACAATCAAATTGCTTATCTCTGCTTACCCTAAGCAGAAATTGCTCATCTTCGAACTCCATCAAGGCCTTGACCTAATCAACACCTACACTATTGCAGGTCTTTTTTCGGGATTCAAATGTTATATAAATGATCATTTAGACATTTATTAACATGACAAGCATATGATGAACTCTCTAGAACATTGGATGGATAATATATTGAGGAGATTAAAAATGTTCGCCATATATTCGTTAAATGGACACCACACACCGAGTCTGCCAATTGTTTATTATTGTGACAATGGTACTTAATAATCAGGACTATTTATGTTATTTCTCGTCAATGGACAAACATTCATAAATTTGCTCAGAATAAAGTAATTTAATTCAAAGAGAGAGAGAGAGAGAGAGAGATCAATTTGGGACTGACATATGGTTCAATTATATTTCTATAATGGGCTTGTGTGTAGGGGTCTTGGGAGGAAACTGGAAATGAAATGGGGTTTAACGTGCTACTAGGGAGAAAACTGAAAGACCCAGGGAAAACTCACAAGATTTGACAGACGAACCACCACTTGACTCAATGACAGACCTTATGATCTAAAGTGCAGACGTTAGACTATTTGCTCCCCTCCTCCCCATCATTTTGCGATGTATATATATTATCTCACCTGATTGTCAATGGAGATTTCCTTCAACCTGTGTAAAAACAGAAGTAGTGAAGGGTGTATGTCGTTAAATTTAGCCGCCAGAGATCGGGACTGTGATATCATCTCCGGTTTAAATGGTAAGGCAATCTTCGTCATCCAACTAAAACAAAGAAACATTCAAATTATAAATACTTTACTTAAATTAGACATTCACTTGAACAAGACCGTTTGGGATACATCCCAGTTGGCCCATATCACCCAACAGTCAAGGGATACATCCCAGTTGGCCCATATCAACAACAGTCTAGGACATATCCCAGTTAGACCTATCACCCAACAGTACGGGATATATCCTAGTTGTACTAACCACCTCATAGTTCAGGAAATGTCAGTTGGAAGATCCCATCCAACAATCCAGGGATACATCCCAGTTGGCCCATACTAACCATCAGTCCAGGATATATTCCAGTTGGCCCATACCAACCATCAGTCTAGGATACATCCCAGATGGCCAATACCACTCATCAATCCAGGATACATCCCGGTTGGTCTATATCATCCAACAGTCTGGGATATATCCCAGTTGGCCTATACCACCCATCAGTCCAGGATATATCCCAGATGGCCAATACCACCCATCAGTCCAGGATACATTCAAGTTGGCCTATACCACACAACAGTCCGGAATATATCCCAGTTGGACTATACCACCCAACAGTCCAGAATATATCCCAGTTGGACCATACCACCCAATTTGTTCCATTTTTACTTAGTACACCTGAAAAATTACAGGTTTCAAAACCCATACAGAATAAACACGCCAACAGAGAGGCTGAAAATCCCAAAATAAATAGATGACACATATTCATTAATCGCACATTTATTTTTTTCAAAAGTATCAAGCAATCAAACTGATTATCAACTATACACTAAGTTTCATCACTTTCTATCGGATAGAATGAAAGTTTGAACATTTTTCTACCTCAATTAGAAGGAGAGTTATTGTGTTCCAAAGTATCGACCAATCAAACTGCTTATTGATCCTTAGCCTAAGCAGAAAATTCTCATCAACAAACTTAGTCAAGGTAATGATATAATGAATCTATACTCAGAGTTTCATCACTCTCACTTAATTAAAACCAAAGTTATCGTGCCCCAAAGCATCGAACTCCGTCAAGGTATTCACCTAATGAACTCCTACACCAAGTATGAACATTCTACCTCAATTAGAAGGAGAGTTGTGTTCCAAAGTCTCAGCCAATCAAATTGCTTATCGCTCTGCTTACCCTGAGCAGAAAATGCTTATTATCGAACTTAGTCAAGGTATTGATGTAATGAAACTATACACCAAGTTTTATCACTCTCACTTAATTAGAACTCAAGTTATCGTGTCCCAAAGCATCAACCAATCAAATTACTTATCTCTGCTTACCCTAAGCAGAAAATGCTCATCTTCGAACTCCATCAAGGCATTGACCTAATAAATACCTTCACCAAGTTTGAACATTCTAGCTCAATTAGAAAGAGAGTTATTGTGTCCCAAAAAGTGTGACGGACAGACGGACCGACAGACAGACAGACAGACGGACGAACCCATTTAATAGTCCCCTGCTTTCTTCGAAAGGCGGGAGACAATAAATAATTAAATAAATTTACTTACTCCTGAGGCTTTTCATCTTGAATTTCTAACCAATGGGGCATGATGTATCCCATAGGACCACTCTTTACATCGAAACAGAAATGATATCCATTCGAGTGAATCTCAGGTTTATCCGTGATACGAAATACAGATTTAAAACCAATACCCTTCTGACCTGTCAACAGAAATAAAAACCATGAGTGAATCACAAGTTGTTCCTTATTGTCCAGTCTAATTCTATTTTTATCTTGAAATAGAAAGTGTGAGAGAGACATGGGGTTAGCATCCACACAACACAAACTATGACATTTCGGGACTAACATATGTTTCAATTTTAATTAAATAATTTGCTTGTACGTCTTGTCTCAATGAAAACCTTGTGATCTAATACGCATGCATTAAACAATTCGGTCACCCAACAAAGATGACAGCTATTAAAATGGATCTCAGGCTTATAGGACACTGTAGGTTTTTTTTTCCCTTATTGCCACAAGCAAAGATAAGGGCTGTGTTTATTGTCTGGTATTTATCACACATTTTAAAATAAAAACTGGTTAAAACAGACTAGAATCAAAACTAAAAATATCACTCATTTAGCCACGATTAGAGGCTCTTCTTTGGTTCCTCTGCCCATCATTACTGACTGACACAAGAAAACTAAGCTGGTAAGTCCAAAACAGTCTTAACACAGGATCCAACCCGGAAACTCCTGATAAGAGTTAGTGCAATACTTATCAGGCCACTGCAGCTGCCATCATTTAGAGACAAATATATAAAGATAGGTTGCCAGGCAGTGAAACATGCGCCAACAGCAGCTAAGTCGTCCAAGCAGTCAACAACAGTTGTCACATATTTGTTCTTTCGTCAGTAATGAAAACATTTACAACACACTAAAATCTGATAAAGAGTAACAACCCATTTTAATAGTAATTATCAAACATGTTTAGAATTGGTTTGGCTTCTAGTTCTGCACCATGCTAATGTTTAGAATACAAAACATTTAATATCATAAATTTAGCTGTACAAGTTATCGGAAATCATTGCAAATCAACAGACTTTGTTGTGTTATGACCTTAAACATTGTGTATCTATTTTTGATGTTATCAGGGTCCATAACTTGGTCAGTAATTATCAATAATTGTTGGAAATCCATAGAGTTCTCAATCTCATGACCTTAAACACTGTGTATGTTATAAAGTCAATCAGATGATAATGTTGGTCTGTCGAGCGTCCATAAGATTTCGACGGACAGACAGCGGTGACAACAATATACAATCGTATTTCAATGCGAGTGTGAACAAATTGGATTGAATCAAGACTTACCTATATATCCATACTTATGTTTGCCTTTTGTACTACAACCCACGTCACACAGGGCCTTTATTTCCTTTTCTTTAAACCCTACTTCGTTATTCAACAGTGTGATACACGATTCGTCAACGACAAATTTAACTGAGGGACCCTGCGTAGAGTTTACGACCTCGTCACTGTACGAATTATCGTCAGCATTTTGTATAAGCTCTAGAACAAAATGTGTATCTTTTGAATAAAGATCTTTGGAGAGTCGATCGAGACTTCTTCCCTGTCTCTCCTGATGAATCTTTATTAATCTCTGTCCGTCTGCATTAAGTTCGATACCGACTCCAAATTCCTCTTTACGGATCAGTTCTACGAACGCTTGATGAGGTTCGACGAAAATCTCTTCTTCCTTCTCTTCTGCTTTTTCCTTTTTCTCTGCGTCCTCAACATCTCCTTTATCTCCATCTTTGATTTCCACATCTTCGACTTTTTCTCTCTCTCCATCCTCAAGTTTGCTGTCTTCGTCACTTGTTTTTTCTGTTTCTTTAGTCTCAAATTCTTCAACTGAAAAATAAAATATAGGTTGCCAGGCAACGAAACATACGCCCACATCAGCTAAGAGTCAACAAGAGTTGTTGCATATTTTTACTTTTTTCGGTAATTAAACATTTATAATACATTAAAATCTGATAAAGAGTAACAACTAATTAAGTAATTATCAGAAAACCATTAGAATTTGTTTGGTTTTTATAAAGTTCTGCCCCATGCTAATGTTTAGTATAGAAAACTTTTAAAATCATGGATTTAGTTGTTCAAGTCATAAAAATTCATTGAAAATCAATATACTTGTTCGTCTCAAGACCTTAAACTCTGTGTATCAATCTGAAGTCAATCTCTGCCATAACTCTGGCAGTACTTATCAGAAATCGCCGAAAATCAATAGGCTTCTTCGTCTCATGACATTAAACACTGTGTATAAATTTAAAGTCAATCGAATATTAACTTCAGCCTCTAGAGCGTCCACAAGATTTTTCAAAGTGATCAAGGGCCATAACTCTGGCAGAACTTATCAGAAATCGCCGAAAATCAATAGGCTTCTTTCTCTCATGACATTAAACACTGTGTATAAATTTAAAGTCAATCGGATATTAACTTTAGCCTCTAGAGCGTCCACAAGATTTTTCAAAGGGATCAAGGGCCATAACTCTGGCAGTAATTATCGGAAATCGCTAAAAATCAAAAGGCTTCTTCGTCTCATGGCCTTAAACACTGTATATAAATTTAAAGTCAATCGGATATTAACTTTAGCCTCTAGAGCGTCCACAAGATTTTTTGAAGTGAACTAGGGCCATAACTCTGGCAGTAATTATCGGAAATCGGATATTAACTTTGGCTTCTAGAGAGTCCACTAGATTTTTGAAAGTGATCAAGGACCATAACTCTGGCAGTAATTATCTGAAATCGCTGAAAATCAATAGGGTTCTTCCTCTCATGACCTTAAATACTGTGTATAAATTTAAAGTAAATCGGATATTAACTTTAGCCTCTAGATCGTCCACAAGATTTTTGAAAGTGATCAAGGACCATAACTCTGGCAGTAATTATCAGAAATCGCTGAAAATCAATAGGATTCTTCCTCTCATGACCTTAAACACTGTGTATAAATTTAAAGTAAATCGGATATTAACTTTAGCCTCTAGATCGTCCACAAGATTTTTTGAAGTGATCAAGGGCCATAACTCTGGCAGTAATTATCAGAAATCGCTGAAAATCAATAGGCTTTTTCGTCTCATGACCTTAAACACTGTGTATAAATTAAAAGTAAATCGGATATTAACTTTAGCCTCTAGAGCGTCCACAAGATTTTTAGAAGTGATCAAGGGCCATAACTCTGGCAGTAATTATCGGAAATCGCTGAAAATCAATAGGCTTCTTCGTCTCATGGCCTTAAACACTGTATATAAATTTAAAGTCAATCGGATATTAACTTTAGCCTCTAGAGCGTCCACAAGATTTTTTGAAGTGAACTAGGGCCATAACTCTGGCAGTAATTATCGGAAATCGCTGAAAATCACTAGGCTTCTTCGTCTCATGACCTTAAACACTGTGTATAAATTTAAAGTCAATCGGATATTAACTTTAGCCTTATACACAAAGTGTGCTCAAAGCCTCCAACTCATCCTTAGATACAAAGATTCATACAAGTCTAAACAGCTATGTCTTTAGACGAAATTTAAATTGACGCTTTTTTTTATAAACAATATCTTTATTCAGATTTGTATCTGAATAGGGATTGGGGAACAGGCATAGCCTACATGAAACCCCTCTCCCTAAAATTACTCAAAGTCGAAATGGATTCCAGTTTATCTGGTAAAGAATTCCATTTGTCAAATGCAGCTCTGTGAAAAGATAAAACTGTTTTAACAAACATACCTGTAGAATCTGGTTCATCTGATAAAATAATTGGTTTATCGTCTTCTGATAGTTCTATTGTTTCCACTACAGGTGGCACCACTGCTGGAGTTGATATAACCTTGTCACCTTCGTCATCAGATAAGAATGAAACATCGGAATCACTCTCAATTTCAATTGGTTCCTCATCCTACAACCAATGAATGAATGAATGAAATGGGGTTTAATGTCCTACTGATCTAAACTGACTGGGCTAATGAAGATGGGCATACACCATACAGTGTGCTATAAGGGAAATTTTGACCGGACCAACTGTTAAGTGTACTTTTACATGCATACCAAATGTACATAGGACCTTAGTTTTGTGTCCCATCTGAAGGATTAGACCCTGTTCTGGTCAGAACCACCATTCTGCTTATGAGAGAGAGAGAGAGAGAGAGATGGGGTTTTCCGTCCACTGACACAAACTAGGTCATTTCAGGACTAACACATTTTTCAATTTTATTTCAATAATTTGTTTTCGCGTAGGGGTCTTTAGCAGTGGAAGGAATCCACAGGACTCAGAGAAAACCCACGAGGTTGGACAGGCGACCCTACTCCTTGTATGAAACCAATGAAATGAAATGGGGTTTAACGTCCTACTTTTCTTAACCAAATGAGCCACCGCCGCTGCCATAAATGAAATCGACATACCTCTGATTCGTCCACCAAATCAGCAGCAAATTCATCACCAATTATTTCGATGTCACATTTTCTGGGTGTGGCTTTGTGTAGTAGATTCTGGCTCCATTCTCCGATACCGAACAGACAACCCATCTCTTCCAGGCACGTTTCCTGATGCTGGTTGTTACACGCCTTCAGTAATAATGTCTTTGATTTAGTTGATCCAACCACTGAACTTAACGGCTCCAAAAATATCTGAATTGTTAAGATAGTAAATTTTACAATCTGATTAAAATTTAGATCCTGTTTCGTTTCGTTCTTTATAGTTCTAAATTTAGTTTACTCATCTTCATTAAACTAGGATCCTTGCTATAAAACCCAAGTTCTGGTGGTGTGAAGGATCAGCCAATCAAATTGTCCGTTACGTCAAGTTCTTATCGTGTTGTGTATGTAACTGTGAGAAGACATTCACAGCGATGAAAACGAAGCAAAACAAAACGTGTATTTCCTTATAGCCATTTGGAACACCGACGCTGATTGGTCACATGATTGATGTCATAGGGTCTAAAGTCGCTTGTATTACCCCTCGTATGCATAAGAGACTGAGAAATGGGGTTTAATGTCCACTCGACACAACCTATATCATTTTGGGGCTAACATGGTTTAATTTTAGCAGTCGTTGGACAGGCAACTCTACTCCTTGTCATGCACTTAACTAAATGACAGACCTTGTGATCTAAAGCCGTCGAATGCCAATAGACAGATAGAGCCAATAGTTGGGACAATAAATAGATAATAAAATCTGATACCTGAGTGGCTGTAGCGTATAAAATCTGTTTAGGTAAAACACTCAAACAATGTAGAACAAAATCTACTGCTGGATCCCGATATTTCTCACCACCTGAAAATAAGGTTATCACACATTGTTATATTAATACATAGAGTGGGACCACACCACACACAAACAATTACACAAGACAAACCAACGGACAGGACACAATATATACAGATATTTTAAACAACATACTATAACATTCATAATAACACAACTTTATGGATTTACTACTTGTTGGTTTATTACATGCAACGTTTCAATACTCTTACAGGTATTTTTATCATTGTTTGATAAAGATACCTGTAAGAGTATTGAAACGTTGAATGTAATAAACCTAGAAGTTGTAAATCCATAAAGTTTTATTATTATGAATAGTATATCTCTACTTCTAAATGTTTTTCAAGGATATTAACAAACTATAAATCAAAACAGGTGTCACAAAAAAAAAAAAAAAGAAAAAGAAAAGTAACTCAAGAAATATTGGATTTAATATCCTACTGACTGGGCTTATGAAGACGGGCATATGCCATAAAGTGTGCTATGAGGGGAATTTTGCCTGGGCAGCGTCACTAGTGACTCAAGAAAAAAAGAGGGTGAATATTCTAGATGTAGCGGTGTACCATTTGAATGTTTCGGAAAATACAAAATTTTCCACGGTTTAATCCACACTGAAATTTATTTAAATTTATTATTCAACATTTAATTAAGAAAATAAAATAAAAATTTCAGTGGTAGATAATGTCCCGACTTGGATTCAATCAGATTAAAAAGAGGACCATCAAAGGGGTTTAGCCCAGATTATAGGTGGGGCTGTTTTTTCACTCCATCATGATTAGGTCATCTGCAGCTGATGCCAATCCTTTTAGAGACTAAACTTTACAAATCCCTTAAATGTCGTTCAGAGTCTTAAAGGCATAAAATTAAGTGCTTTGAAAAAAAACCTTTGAACATTGGATTTGGATGAAGTGACTGTAAAATAATTAATTGTATGTCAGTCTCAAAATGACCAAAATTTGCATGTAGAAGATCCCTTCGTAGTTGGAATTTGTTATAGTGCCGCTGCCCTGGCACCATTTGTCCCATCTCTGATAGTGCACTGCATGGCGTATGCCCGTCTTTATTATCCCTGTATTACATTTCATTTCCTTAAAAATGCCATGTTGATCAACAAACGATGACTAATATCACTCACCTTGCATGTGCGATGGAGCTTCAGAATGTAATTTGAATAATGTTGTTTTCATCTGATTGGCTAATAAAGCTATTGGAGTATTCTCTACGCCTTTGTTACACACAATTAAAGAAACAAGATGGCCACTCGTTTCTATGACGTCTGTCCGTTCCAATGCTTTACAGAATTGCTCAGTTGTTGATTGTCCAGATAATTTCAGTAGAACTCCTGGTTTGGTTTCCAAGGCGAATATGTCAGTTGTGATAATTTTTGAATCACCTGAAAAACAGACAAGTTTTAAACCAATTTTATTACTTTAAACGATGGCAGAATGGTTTAAGTGTGCTTTAGTTCATAAGGTATGTCATTGAGTCAACTGGTGTGGTTTTGATTCCCTGCTTGAAGTTGTAATTAAAACCACTCGTTGTTCTGTTCTAGTCAAACATTCTTGTCCAAAAGTCTGTTTTGCCTTTTATGCGAAAAGACAAAAATGAGACTTTGATCGTTCTTCCCCTGGACTCTTCATATGTTAGTCCGGAAATGCCATATTCTCTATCTCTTGTTATGTGTGTTGCGCCTGCAACTCAAGTAAAAACCGTGGCAGACGGTGGTGAAAATTCCTACAAACCTTCCAGCTTTATCATGTGTTTTCCTCCATATTTCTGTACAAAATCTTTCAAGGGACCTAACTCTGGTTCAAATACGAGTGACCAGTGTGTCCATTGAATCATATCAGTCAACAGTGGACAGTTGTGTAGCATCAATAAAGCAGTATCTTTTGTCTGGTGTCCAAGGCAACCCATTTGCTTGGGACCAGCAGATGTGGATCTAAAACAATAAAAATAGAAAATGAGAATGACACCTGGCGTTTGGGGAGTTTTATTTTCTTGCTCACAATGTAATTGAAATTTTGAATGCCTAAAGCACAGGCACTTGAAGGGATTAAAATAAAACTTATTACTACTGCTTGGCTATATATTATAGTATATAAGAAGGTATTTCAGCCGCCATCTTTGTTTTCACGTCTTCAAGGCATTTCGTCTGCTAACATCTCACAATACTCACTAGTTCTAACACTACCCGTCGTTTTTATTGCCAATGAGGCCTTATTTGATCATTATTCAGCTTCCGATGTAATTAAATTGGCCATTTAACAGCGTTATTAATTACAAATCAAACTTGAAGTGCTGTCACTTGCCGATATTTGTCTTCATCAGCCCGGAAATAAGATTTGTTTGTAGCAGTCTGTATCACCCAGTCCCTTATAAACCTATCCGTTACTCGAAATTTGGTCGGTAAATGATCGAGCCTACGAAGCGAGGCCGCACCACAGGTGCAGTCTGGATCACCCAGTTCCTAGGAAAATTTCGAGTAACGGATAGGTTTATGAGGGACTGGGTGATACAGACTGCTACAAACTAAACTTATTTCCGGGCTGATGAAGACGAATTTCGGCAAGTGACAGCGCTTCACGTTTGATTTGTAATTAATAACGCTGTTAAATGGCCAATTTAATTACATCGGAAGCTGAATAATGATCAAATAAGGTCTCGTTGGCAATAAAAACGACGGGTAGTGTTAGAACTAGTGAGTATTGTGAGATGTTAGCAGACGTAATGCCTTGAAGACGTGAAAACAAAGATGGCGGCTGAAATACCTTCTTATATACTATAATATATAGTCAAGCAGTAGTAAGAAGTTTTATTTTAATCCCTTCAAGTGCCTGTGGCCTAAAGGGCTTGGCTAGATACGTTAGTAACTATTCCTGCTACTCAGGCAATGCAAAATTTACAACAATCTGATTAAAATACAAATCTATATTTTTTTTCGCTTTTTTTATACTTTCGACGGCCTACACTACATCAAGATCTAACCGGTTGCAGTAAAAGGTCACACCACAGGTCATACGAACGGCTTTTGACCCTTTGACGTCAGACATTTGATTAATTAATCTGCGTTAATGCTTTTAGTTGGTTATCTACAGTTCCATGCACCTCATGCCAAATTCTTGCCATAACAGACCGTTTCATTGGCTAATCCCTCACATCATCCAGAACACAGGTTATAAACAACTCTTCCAGATCCTAGCGTAGTAAAGATAAGTAAAGTAAAACGAAATTTTGAACTATAAAAAAAACGAAACGAAATAGGATCTGTGTTTTAATTAGATTGAATTTGCAAGGGATCAATGGAAGGATTTCAACGATTAACGGAAGACGTTGCAATAAAAATGCGACCACATCAGTCTAAACATTGAGTATAACAATGTGCACACGACATGAACTCTTTTAATTGGCTGATAGGGAAATTTCTGTGTGCTTTTGTGCCATACGCATACTGTCTCTAAGCCGACACCCTTTGTCGAGTTGTCATTTCTATAGTAACTTGGCCATTGTTTTGTGCATCATGTTCATATTTGAGCAAATCTAAATACTGTAACTTTGTATTCCCTGATATTCCTTGTAAATACTGAATAGAATAGCATCATTTTTAGTACTCATATTCCTATTATGACACAGGAGTTTGGGTTGCCGAATGGTAACCTGTGTGCATTGCATTATAAGGTTTGTCATTGAGTCAAGTAGCGTGGTTTTCATTCTACACTTGTACGTGAAAGACAGTACGGTCTTCTGTCCAACCAAATGGGTTTTCTCTGAGTCCTCTGGTCTCCTCCTTATGCTAAAGGCCTTGGGCACAAGCGAATTATTGAACCATATGTGAGTCCCGAAATGACCTTGTTTGCGGATGAGATGTTATTACCTGCTGGCAGGTGTCAGAGATCCTTCGTATATAACCATATAATCATTAGCTCGATGTCGACCCGATTTACTTGAGGCTGAGATAAGGGTTGACGTACTACCATATCCCAACTGTTTAACTTCTCTGACTTTAAACTGATTACAGAGAGCATTCTCGATATCTACTGCCTAAAAAAAGACAAACACAGATTAAACATACATTATGAGAGAGAGAGAGAGAAATGGGGTTTAACGTCCACTCGACACAAACTAGGTCATTTCGGGACTAACATATGGTTTAATTTTATTTCAATAATTCGCTTACGCATAGGGGTCTTTAGCAGTGGGAGGAAACCGGAGGACCCGGAGAAAACCCACGAGGTTGGACAGGCGACTTACTCCTTGTCACGTACAACCGGGGATTCGAAACCACGCCAGTCGACTCAATGACAGACTTTATGATACAGCGCGCGCACGCTAACCATTCAGCCATCCACCCCCCCCCATACATTATGAACTAAAATGTTTATTTAAGATAGTTTTTCTGACTTCTAATTTAAACATACATTATGCAAGAGCTAAATCTGCCTATTGCAGGTCTTTCATTAGGCCTGAAATGTTATCTAAATTATTAATTAGGCATTAATTAACTTATCCAGACCATAATCAACTCTAGATGGCATCTCTAGCCTGCGATGTTTATTGGATTACGTTCCGATTTGCTGTTCGACTTCCATTCATAATTAAATCAAAAAATGGATAATCGAGACATTGTTTTTTAACCTATTCACTCGCTAAAATCCTTGTTCATAGTGGATCAATTTGACTGAAATTTTCAGCAAATTGCCTTTACGTTATCTAGTTTTTAACTATTATAGTGAGAATTGCCAGCTCTTTAACTAATCTCCCATAATGTATCTTTAAAGTAGCTAAATTGCTAATATTTGGGACTTAGAAATTTACACAAATGGGCCGCAACGCATATAATAATGTTCGGCGAAATACTAGCATGGAACTGTGCGTGTATAAATGTAAATATTATTATTAAAGCAACAATTTCATATTTTTAAGTTATATTTTTAAAATGTATTAAAATAAAGCCTCAAAATAGATGGTATCTATAAACAGTCCTACCTTGTTAAAGAATAATCCTATTAATCCTATAATTCACTATTGCCAGTTGAGAAATTGGCAAAAATATCACTTTCAGCATCAAATAGTATTAAAGATAGTATTCCATGGGGGGAATAGAAAAACAAGGGAGGAAATTATGTTACTATTTCCGGGGTCAATGATTTTTAAGTGTGAGAATGATACCGATGATCATATAATAGTGAGTTGACAACGTATTGAGCAAAAGACATCGAAATAATTATGTTTTGACTTTCTTAGAAAATATGAAATTCTCGCTTTAAATGGGACGTTAAATAGAGTCCCAAACTAACCTATTACAGCACCTAGACTTGGTAGCGCCTTGAACATACATCATAGCATTGAAATATATAAATCTACATATTACTATGCTTACCTGTTGAATACCTGAGTTAGAACATTGTCTAATAAAAACCAGAACATCCGAGTGAGATGGTTTAAATACTCCGCCAGCTGTATCAACACCAGACATACTTGATCCTAAAATACTTCCTCCACACTCACTCAATAACTACAAAATACAATATAATACTTCCTCCACTTAATAACTACACAATACAATATAAATACAATACTTCATCCATCACTCAATAACTACACAATACAATATACAATACAATACTTCATGCATATTCACTCAATAACTACACAATACAATACATACAATACTTCATCCATAATCACTCAATAACTACAAAATACAATATACAATACTTCATCCATAATCACTCAATAACTACACAATAAAATATGAGCGTACACAATACAATACAATACAATAAATTTTGCTATGTCAGTTTCCACCTATTATTAATTGTATTGCAACTGTCAAGGGATCTCTCATGTGCACACGAACAAGTAAACAGATGTAGCCAATAAATAGACACCTATTCTTTATTGAATTGCAACTGCCAAGGGATCTTTTACATGCACACCAACAAGTAAATGGGTGAACTGAATAAATAGACACCTATTCTTTATTAAATTGCAATTGGCAAGAGATCTTTTACATGCACACCAACAAGTAAACAGGTGGACCGAATGAATAGACACCTATTCTTCATTGAATTGCAACTGCCAAGGGATCTTTCATTCAGAATGACTATACACTATTCATCCATGCTGCACCACAGACACAGGGAAAGCAGACTGGATATACGATGTAACTTTCTCGACCAAAAGTGGGATTGAACATCGCACTTCATGATTAGTAAGCCAGCACTTTACTCCAACTAATGCGAATTCGATGCCGCTGTCTGGGCAAATTTCCCTCATAGAACACTACCTGGAGTACGCCCATCATTACTAGCCCAGCTGGTCAGATATGTTAGGGGAAATAAATCAAATATTTCTAACATTTTCTCCAATCGATGGTGGAGCCACGATGGCTCAATGAGTAAGACGTTAGTTCACTAACCTGGTGGACCCGTGTTCGATCCAAGTGTTGGTAGAGATTGTTCATTTGGATTTTCCGTCTTGGTTCCCCTTTGTCAGAGATGCAAGATAGAGGACCTGGCAAGAGACAACATATAGTTGTCCTGATGGGACGACAAGCCAAAGTCCCACGTACACATTGGCATGCACGTAAAAGAACCTTAACAGTTGCAATTCGAGTTGGATAGCACCGCTGTCCAGTCAAAATTTCCCTAATAGCGTACTGTATGGCTTATGCCCTTCTTCATTAGTCCAGTCAGAACAGAACATTAGGACGTTAAACCTCATTTCATTTCATTTCCAATCGATGGTTGTATATGTATAGATATTAGAATCTGAATCTGTAAAAAAAATTATCTTACATTTTTGGCGTCAGCATCAGTTGTGATAAAAGATAGAAATCGTCCAAATCCAACATCGCTGAATTCCGACGCTCCCATCTCGCTCGTCATCTTTTCTTCAATACGACATAAATTAGCTAATGTTAAAGCTCCATGCTGTAGACATCTTTCTAAAAATTCTTTCAAATACTCCAACACTTTACCTAGAAGTTAAAATACAATTTTAAATACACAAACACTTTTACCTAGAAGTTAAAATACAATATTAGATATTTGAACACTTTACCTAGAAGTTAAAATGCAATTTTAAATACTTCAACACTTTACCTAGAAGTTAAAATACAATTATAAATACTCCAACACTTTACCTAAAAATACAATTTCAAATACTCCAACACTTTACCTAGAAGTTAAAATACAATTTTAAATACACAAACACTTTTACCTAGAAGTTAAAATACAATATTAAATATTTGAACACTTTACCTAGAAGTTAAAATGCAATTTTAAATATACTATTCAAAAAAAGTAGGGGACATTTGATTTTGGGGGCATAATACTAAAATATGCAAATGACTACGAAAAAAGTCACTATAGAACCTAACAGAAGAAACATTTCCAGTTACATGTGACGCCCAAACGCACCAATAGCTACCGCATGGAATGCAGGTGATGCTTGGGATCATCATGGGGGTCCAACTCAAGATTTGCACGACTCTGACTTTGAATGTTACAGTCATTGTGGCATTGAATTCCAGGGTGGAAACATCAGTTTAATTGTTTTAGTGACCAGAAAACAAATTTTGATATGCGTTGGCTTACCCAAAATGAAAGGTTACGTGCCCTTGGCATGCTACAGATCGGCACAACACAGGCGGTTGTGGCGCGGACGATGAATGTTTCTCAGTCTGTCATAAGCAGGCTATGGTCCAGATACTGTGATACACAATCTGTACAGGACAGACCACGCTCAGGTCGACCAAGGGCGACAACTCAAGCCCAGGATCGATTTATCCGTACCTTGGCCTTAAGAAATCGTGTCATCACAGCAAATCAGATCAGCGCTCGTCTTCAAACAGACACTGGTGTGAGAGTGAGTGGCCAGACGATTCGGAATCGACTGCATAGGGGTCACCTTCGCACCCGACGTCCTCGCGTGATCCCTTGTTTGAGAGATCATCACATTCAGGCAAGACGTCGTTGGTGTAGGGATCGTCAACACTGGGATAATCGACGCTGGAGCAATGTGATGTTTTCAGATGAGTCAAAGTTCACTGTTGATTTTTTGGACAGACGTAGGAGGGTGTGGCGTCGTCGAAACGAGCGCTTCCAAGACGTTAACGTCATCAGACATGATCGATTTGGGGGTGGTTCTGTTATGGTGTGGGGAGGCATCACTGTTGCTGGAAGAACGGCTTTACATGTTGTTGCAGGGCGTGTTACAGGCCAGTACTACCGGGACAACATTTTGGCAGTCCATGTTGTGCCGTTCGCACGACGTCATGGCCGCCGTTTCATCTTCCAGGATGACAACGCAAGATGTCACAGGGCCAGGATCGTTACAGGTTACCTCCAACAACAGAACATCACCACATTACCTTGGCCAGCACTGATCCCGACCTCTCCCCCATCGAGCATGTCTGGGACATGCTTGATGCTTGGACAGAGGTTACGTCAACGTCAACAACGTCCTGCCAATGTCCAAGAACTTGCTGCTGCGTTGCAACAGGAATGGGACAATCTGGACCAAAATGACCTTAGACGTCTCATTAGGAGTATGCCACGTCGGATCAATGCTTGTTTGGCAAACAGAGGAGGATTTACCCGTTACTGACTTGGTTGTGATGCTGTGGTAACTTTGCTGTTTGACCCCAGGTATCATTTTACCCTTATAATGGTCAGTCTGTGCCTTACTTAGTCTAACGATCATTTGGAATAAATCGATGAATGTGAACTTCATTTCATTTTGTCATTTGTTTCTTCGTCAGTTTCATTAGGTGACTTTAATAACACTTAAAAATCAAATATCCCCTACTTTTTTTGAATAGTATACTTCAACACTTTACCTAGAAGTTAAAATACAATTTTAAATACACATACACTTTTACCTAGAAGTTAAAATACAATATTAGATATTTGAACACTTTACCTAGAAGTTAAAATGCAATTTTAAATACTTCAACACTTTACCTATAAGTTAAAATACAATTTTAAATACTCAAACACTTTACCTAAAAGTTAAAATATAATTCTAAATACTCCAACACCGTAAATCCAAGCCGACAGATTAACTCCCATTGAGAGTTTGATTGTTGTCTTAATTAAATGTTAAATAATCAATACGATATTAGCATGGATTAAGCCGTGAGAAATTTTATATTTTCTAAAAAAATGTCAATGGCCCCAAATCATAATCTACAATTTTAGACATTTTTTAAAAATTATACTGTTAGTAAATTACAATTAAATAATTCGTACTTCGAGAGGGTCTGTTCACAGGGTCCGGAACAGAGTTGTCAGTGTCCTGGGACTTGCTGGTCTCGCCTGTATCCTTTGATTGGTCACCTTCTGCTTGCGACGCCATCATTTCAAACGCTGATTCTTTAAGTATCGAGTCACTAGCGCAGATTGCGATGTGAAATAAAACCTTCGCTAAATCATCATCTCTCATCAGACTGATAAAATTTTTTATCCCTTCTTTCATCTTGGCCTGTCGTCTCATTTCCGCCCGAGTTGTTGGGTTCTCACAAGACATGAGAGTATTATACTTTTTAAATATTTCCATCAAAACATTCTGGAATAATAAAAGAGAGAACAATAGGGTTTAATGTCCACTCAACACAAACCTGATCATTTTGGGACTGACATATAGTACATTTTTATTTCCGTGGGAGGACCCAGAGAAAACCCACGAAAAAATCCTAGTAATATAACAAAAGAGAGTGAAACGGGGTCATTTTGGGACTTACATATAGTTAATATTTATTTCTATAATCAGCTAGTATTTAGGGGCCTTTACAAGTGGTGGGAAATTGGAGGACCCAGAGAAACTTGCACATTCGGCCACCCAGTCCTCAGAAACCAGAGGACGAGGACTGGGAGAAAATTCACAATGTTAGACAAGTGAAACTACTCCTTGTCACGCTTAAGCAAAAAATCGAAACCACGTCACTTGACTGGGAGAAAACCCATAGGGCTAGACAGTTGAACCTACTCCTTGTCACGTTCAAGCAAAGAATCCAAACCATGCCATGTCACTTGATTCAACGACAGACCTTGTAATCGAACCAAGACACGTTACATCATTTGGCCACCCACATCCCAGAAACCAGAGGACTGGGAAAAAACCCATGAGGTTAGCTAACATATACAGAACCAGGATCGAACCCACATGTCAGACCTTATGAATTAAAATGCAGATGACTCAGCCAGTCAAAATATACATTACATACACATGTGATATCAAATAAATCTTGCTGCTTCCAAACATTTTTGATACTTTTTCAGAGGCTGGATGTCCATAAAAAAAAACACTAAGAGTTGTCAATGCCTATCCTGATGATGATCAAAATGTTTGGTCTCCAAATCTTTCTGACCAGCAGTAAAACCATCTGAAAACACTAAATTTTGTTTTAATTTCATTTTTACAAATTTTTACGATAAAACTGACATGGCCGTAGCAATTTTTCATATTTACCTCTGGTGTCATCTTTAAATAATGTGAACGTATCTCATTTTCTCCTGAATTTGCTGGTGCCAACATCACAGTACGGAATTTCCTAAATGCTTCCGATATCTCTTTCTCTGCATTTTGTTTATAATGTTCGTAGACAGATTTCTTGGAATTGGCTGCATCCCTCTGAGCTTTCTTCAGGACCTATACAAATATAGATTTTCGACAAATTTTGAGAATCTTGAAAAAATATTGAAGTTCTATCGGTCATATTTAAATCTGTGCCAGATGTTTATTAAAAAGATATATAACAAAACTGAAAACAAAAAACCTACAAGATTAGACGGACGAGCCTACTTCTTGTTGTGTACAAGCTTAAACATACATTATGCAAGAGCTAAATCTGATTATTGCAAGTCTTAATTTAGGCTTCAGATGTTATAGAAATTATAAATTAGATCTTTATTTAAATAACAAGACCAAAATCAACTCTGTAGACCAGTGATGGGATTTCAACATTTTACTTGTCAGACATTTTACCGAAAATAAAGGGGCATAACTCTTATCGTTATTTAAGCAGACGAATTCGTACCACAATTAAAAGTCACATGTCAAAATATTCAAATGGCTCGGCTACAGCTCGGATTTAAATAGGATTTCACTAACTGATTAAATCAGATAAGGGGTAACCTGATGAAAATACGTCAGTTAGATCGAGGCTAAATGATAGAGTGTACTTAGCAAGGCCGCTGTAAAGCGTTTCCGTATGCCATTGAAAACGCCTGTCAATCAAACGTTCGGCGAAGGTGAAGACACATTTCGCTACCATTTCTAGGCAAATATTACAACGATGATAACTATGTTCAGAATAAAGTATAGCAAGAATGGCCAACTCTCTATAAATATCTCCCATAATGTATCTTTAATTGAAACCACTCCACTTGACTCAATGACAGACTCCATTAATAATACATCATTCAAGAAATAAATCTGTCTATTGAGTGTTTTTCATTAGGCCTTTAATGTTATATAAATCATTAATTAGACATTTATTAACATGTCAAAACCATAATCAACTCTCGCTGCCATTGGATACTCAAGATTTTAACTAGACTAGAACGGTTAGGCCATTTTATGATTTAATTTTAAAAGATGCCTCGAATATACCAGTACCGTAGTTACGACAATGCAAAATCAATACACATATCTTGTCAAAACTATAAAATGTGATAACTCGGTTCAGAATAAAATAATTTGAATGAATTTTTCAATATATTTATTTTGCATTATCTATTTTTGAACTATTATAGCAAGAACGACCAGCTCTTTATCTAAATGTTACATAATGTATCTTTAAAGAAATAGTCTAACAACATACTTGAGCGGCTAACGGCAAACTTTTTATCCCAATACCCAGATGATATCCACTGGCCGCCTGTCGTTCCTGAACGATGAAAGTCATGACTGCGTCCATTTCCAAGCGTTCCGTCCATTTATTATTCTTGGTCATAAAGTCGCGTATATATTCTAAAATATCAATCGTGGTGATCTGTGGAATTAACACGTCTTGAGGAAATTTAAACATATCGTAGATGACTGGAAGACGTTGCAGAGGTCCAAGATGGAGTTTCTCAAAGTCTCCTTTTTCTGGAACAAATTCTCGTAATCTTTCGTATAATTCATGTAAGCTGTATATTGAATGAGTTTTTATGAATGCATGGACGTATGCATTGATCCGCGATACTGTGCGTAAATGTTCATAGACACACTTTATCTGATCAATCTTACGTAATTGAAGCTGATTTAGATTGTGTAAGTTCAGTCGCTGTAAAAGTAATTTCTCTATTCTCTCGATCGAAACATATTCATTGGCATCAGCAATCACCTCAATACAGTCTTGAGCTATCTCTTCAATTTGAGCTCTCCCTGGTAATCTCCCTTGTTGGAAGTTGATTCGTCCCACATGAATCTCCTTTCTCTCCAATTTATCAACTTTGGGAGGGGAGACAATCTGAACATCCTCTTCATCCTCACTACTTTTACTTTCATCTGAACTGACAACTACTGGATCTGACGATACAGATCTGTTGTCTCCTCGATTACTGATAGATCCTTGGAGCATGTGACTTGGGCCTTGTTTAGCCTGAAGGTGAGAAATGGGGGATAAACCTGTTTGTGTGGCTTGAAGTTGAGCCAGGGGAGATAAACCTGTTTGTGTGGCTTGGAGTTGAGCAAGGGGAGAAAACCCTTTTTGTAAAGACATTAATGGTGATATTTGTGGGATAGGACATGTCTGGTACTGCTGGTTACCAGTCTGGTTGACTAATTGACCATAACTTGAAACAATGGTTGACTGTATGGCCGAATTGTTTCTGTTTTCAAAAGTCAGGGTCTTACGACCAATGGTTCCAGCATTTTGTTCAAACCAACTTTGTCCAGGTCTTTCCATATTAGTGAATTGTGGATTTGTGCCAAAAAGTCCCACACCAGGATTCGGCAACAGACCTTCACCACTAGGTCCAGGTGATGCTCCTGAATACGTCTTGGATGGTCCTTGAAAATGGGCTTCTTTCGTTTTTTGGTGTTCCAGACCTTTCCGGCTCGCTGCATATGCTTCCGCTTCCTCTCTCTGTATTTGGAGGAAATCTGATTGTGCCTTTGGTATGGCTCCAGCCCCCCAGGGTCTAGAGACTTCGTCTCGTGACATACTTGATGATCTTGAGCTTGACGGAGTTCCTTTAGGTTTCAACCATGGTCCAGGGGCTTCATCTCTTGAAATACTCGATGATCTTGACGGAGTTCCTCTTACTTTTAAGTATTCCTTTTTATCTTTCTTAAAAATAACAATCCTGTCCATTCCCTGTAACACATCACTCATATTCAAGACATGAAAGTCGCGAGTTCTGGGGCTTTTTTTGTAATATTTTGAATAAAGCTGCCATAAATTCGAAGACAGAACTTCACCTCCATTATCGTTAATAATCTTAATCACTTCCTCTTCTAAATTTTCTAATTTCTCTTTCTTTGATGGTTGTTTTGGTAGGTTTGGAGTTTTCGGGAACTGCGAAGGTCCAGCTGTGTCCTGCTCATCCCCTTCCGGTCTAACATCAACCATACTTCCTTTGATAAGAAAACAGGAACTGTAAATATCAAACAACTTCTTCACCTTGGAAACATCATAATATTCTCCTGCCTGTCTTGTCAGATTTAATTTCTTGGCCACAGCATTCAGTAAAGCTCCTTTATCCATTTGTCCACACTGTTGTAAGATGTCGAGTGCCACATCTTTCCAAGCCTGTCTACGGCGTTCAATTTCATTCCTTTTTAGATCCATATTTCTAGAAAAAAAAAGAGAATAAGTAGATATCTATAGCTGAGTTAAATGATAGATTGCCATGCAACTAGACATGCGGTGAAATGGGGTTTAGCGTTAATTTCCTACTTCTCTGCTCCATCGGGGCTAATTAAAACGGATGAGCATATGTTATGCTAAACGATAGGTTGCCATGCAACTAGACATGAGGTGAAGTGGGGATTAGCGTTAACATCTTATATTTCTGCTCCATCGGGGCTATAATGAAAACGGGCGAGCATATGTTATGAGCGCAATAGGGTTTTAACGTTGTGTAATGAAATGAAATGGGGTTTAATGCCCTACTGTTCTGCTCTGACTGGGTTAATGAAGACGGGCATACATCATACAATGTGCCATGAGGGAAATTTTGCCCAGCCAGCTATGGCGGTATATTAGATTCAAAATTCTAACATGCTATCGTCTAATTTCTTACTTCTACTCATGTAATTTCTAACTTCCATTCATGTAATTTCTAAATTAAGACAATGTATAATCCAACTTCTTTATTTGTTCAGTGTAAATTTTAATTCTGTTTCATCTTATTTCTATTATTAAGGCGACAAATGTCTAGCGCTTTACATGTTAAGCATGAACGGCAAACAAATTTAGAATTTTGATACTTCTTTAGCAACCATCATTATGACGTCGTTTGGTGTCGCCACCGTGTGCTCAATTTGCGATTGAGCACCTGATCGGGACCATTCTGTTGATACAAACGACTCGCTCTTCGTCCGGTTGAATGGTCTGGCGAAGTGTTAAAAAAAAAAACTGAGAGAGTGAGAGAGAGAGTTTAATGTCCACTCGACACAATCTAGATTCGGTATTAACATGGTTCAATTTTATTTCAATAATTCGCTTGCGCATAGGGGTGTTTAGCAGTGGGAGGAAACCGGAAGACCCGGAGAAAACCCAAGGGGTTGGACAGGCGACCCTTACTCCTTGTCACGTACAACCGGGGAATCGAAAACACACCAGTTGACTCAATGACATACATGTGTACCTTATGGTACAGCACGCACGTGCTAACCATTCGCCCCCCCCCCAACATTGAACGCGATATATATGTATGGTTTGCAAATACTATTTCAAATACGGTGGCTAAGTGGGTAAGACGCTGGCTCACTAGCCTAGAGGTCGGGTGTTCGATCCCTGCATTGGCCGAGAAAGATCATCCAGATTTTCCGGCGTGGTTCCCCCTTGTCAGTGATGCAGGACGGAGGGCAAGTACAGTTAAAATATACATAAACAGAAGTTAGAAGTTAGACGAAAGCACGTTAGAATTTTGAATCTAATATACCACCATAGACAGCGGCAATACAGCCTTCTCTTATATCAAATTCTAACTGCCAAGTGGTCTTTTACGTCCATGCCAATGTGTACACGGGACCTCGGTTTTGCGTCACATCCAAACGACTAGACAGCTGTCCTTGTCAGTACCCCCGTCCTGCACCACTAACAAGGGGAAACCATGTCAGACAATCCTGATGAACTGTTTTGGCCACCACCGGCAGCGAACCTTCGATCGACCTCCAGGCTAGTGAGTCTTCATCTTACTCACTTAGCCTCTGTGGCTCCAATGTCCTATGTACTGTTCTACTCCATCGCGACTAATCGATATGCCATGCAGAGTACTATGCCGGACATATTACACAGGCTAATGGTGCTGCGGCCTATACTCTTATTTTGACTGCCAATTGTCAAAGGTTTTTCGTCCATTCCGAATGGACAGGCCCTTTGTCGGTCCGTACCTGGAACTGACAAAGGAAAACTATATTGGAAAATCCTGAGAAAATGTTTTGGCCAACACCTGGATCTATTGGTTAGCGCCTAACACACTGAACTACCGCAGGTTCATCTGGAACAGAGTCCAGTTCAGAAACAATTTTTAAAACGCTCTGAGATGACATATACAACATAATATACTCTTAAAAAAGTAGGGGATATTGAAATGCAAATATCTATGCAGTGTGATATGATAAATAAATAGTCATGGACACTTGACATACTTTAAGAGTATGTTCACAGATGAAGAACTTATCGCCCCAACAGAACCACTGATCTGCACAAGCGACATGCAATAGCGCCATACGCGTGGGAGAGGTTCATTGTCAAATTTGACACTTCAAGGAAGGGTTGATGAAAACTGGCACTTGCTGGTTTATCCTATCCATGTTTGCTTTCCTATCGGTTCTTGCATAAGATTTACTGTTTAGCATATCTTTGCTTTAGTGTCTTACGTTTAATTTGATCGGGAGACGTGTTCGTTAACAACACTGCAAGAATTGGCTGTGGCACTGGAAGAGGAGTGAATCAGATTGTCCCAAATCGTGATTGGACGGTTGTTTATGAGCATGCCACGACAATTGCTGAATGTCTGAGGATTGGTGGAGCAATTACTCATTATTAAGACAAAAATCAACCAGCGGTTGCAAGGCAGGATACGCCCACATTTTCGAGAGATGGATAGAGAACAAGCTAAAAAGAAAGTGATTTTTCCTACAATCAAGGGCCATTATTCAGGAATTACAATTCGATATACGCAAATATCGAAGGTAACCGAGATCTTTGTGTTATAAACTTACATTTCAAGTTTCAACAAAATCGGATAACCAGCGGCTGCCAGGCAGGATACGCCCACATTTTCGAGAGATGGATAGAGAACAAGATAACAAGAAAGTGATTTTTCCTACAATCAAGGGCCATAATTCAGGAAATTACAATTCGATATGCGTGAATATCGAAAGGAACCAAGATCTTTGGGTTATAAACTTACATTTCAAGTTTCAACAAAATCGGATAAAAATTGTGACCTCTATAGTGTCCACAACCTTGATATACCATATTTTTACGCTATTTGAGAACGAACGGCGGCCATTTTGTCTGTCAATTTTAGGCCATCCTTAGGGTGTAACGGTGATATAATAATACGTTTTTTTAAATCAGATAAAAATTATGACCTCTATAGGGTCAACAAGCTAAAAACGCGATTTTTCGTACAATCAGGGGCCATAATTCAGGAAGTTACGGTCCGATATGCGCGAATATCGAAAGGAACCAAGATCTTTGGGTTATAAACTTACATTGCAAGTTTCAACAAAATCAGAAAAAAATTGTGACCTCTATAGTGTCCACAACCTTGATATACCATACTTTTACACTATTTGAGAACGAACGACGGTCATTTTGTCTGTCAATTTTGGGCCGATTTCACGAAATTCGAACTCAGCCATCCTTAGGGTGTAACAGTGATATAATAATACGTTTTTTTTTAAATCGGATAAAAATTATGACCTCTATAGGGTCAACAAGCTAAAAACTCGATTTTTGGTACAATCAGGGGCCATAATTCAGGAAGTTACGGTCCGATATGCGCGAATATCGAAAGGAACCGAGATCTTTGGATTATCAACTTAGATTTCAAGTTTCAACAAAATCGGATAACAATTGTGACCTCTATAGTGTCCAAAACATTGATATACCATATTTTTACGCTATTTGAGAACGAACGGTGGCCATTTTGTCTGTCAATTTCGGGCCAATTTGCACGAAATTCAAACTCAGCCATCCTTAGGGTGTAACGGTGATATAATTGAAGGTTTTTTAAATCGGATAAAAATTATGACCTCTATAGGGTCCACAAGCTAAAAACACGATTTTTGGTACAATCAGGGGCCATAATTCAAGAAGTTACGGTCCGATGTGCACGAATATCGAAAGGAACCGAGATCTTTGGATTATCAACTTAGATTTCAAGTTTCAACAAAATTGGATAAAAATTGCGACCTCTATAGTGTCCACAACATTGATACAGTTCCTCCCAAATTTTTGGGACCGAAATCGCCGCGACGAGGTGAAAAAAACCTCTCAGAATTCTCTTAGATTTCATGGTGAAATTTCGCTTGATTCCGCAGCGATTTTTCTCTAAGATTCGCTAGGAATTCACTGTGTTTCCCTAGGAATTCGCTGTGTTTCTCTAGGAATTCACCGTGTTTCGATAAGAATACATCGTGTTTTGCCGTGCTTCCCGCAAGGAATTCGAGAGCCTACCTTAAGCTAGGGTCGAACTAATATTGTCTATAATAAATTAAAGGAGTTGTAATATAGTAATGCTCCCGGGAAACGTGTACATGTATAAGGAGTTAGGTAATCTCGGGAAGACATTTACCGGCATTCTGTATCGGTTAGGATTTTTTCCCCAACGCACTTTATACATACATAACGCCGGCCAAAATGTATGCAAACTATGAACAACTTACAATTTTTTAAACATATCAATTCATCTTCGTTTATAACTTAGATGTAATCCGTCAATTTGGGGCTGCTATCAAATCCAAACTTTAATCTATATACGATGAGCTTTTACACATTACTTCATTACTCGCAGCTTCGGTTAATCTAAATCAATCATCCATACAGCACGTACAGTAAATCACTCTGCGGGTCGCTTAACGGTATGTTACGTGGTCAGAAACGCGCCAAACGATTGGAACTACATGTATATTCTTACGCTGTTTTACTCGGCGAATAATATCCGCTGTGACAATATACATCTACTTTATGTCACCCAATTCATTTTGGTGGGAGCAGATATTGAATAAGGCCATTTCACACACAAATACGTGTACATTACATGCGCCTCATATATTTATACAATATCCACGAGTGTGTTAATTCTCGTCTTCACCCCGTTATAGTTTACTTATTTTGAGTACACTTTCTGAATGATTCCATTCTTTTGTACGTCCAACTTGTCGATTTCCTACTGCATATACATGTACCCTGCAGTCCATGCGAAATGATATTTTTTTTACTGGACATTTGGGCAGGTATTATTCCAACTATTGCTGGACCGAATGAGATTTTACTGGTCCAAAAAAGTTCATACCAAAAATATGCATAAAATAAGTAATAATGGCCTAAAACTCGAAAAACAACAAACAGTATTTTCGTTCTATTGTTACTTAATATTATCTATGATACACGTAAATCATTATTATTTTCTATCAACAATAGCTTGGACTTATAATTAAATTTTTATCGCGCCAATATTTACAATCGTTTTACTGTTCTATAAATAGACCGCGTAAAGAAAATATTATCCCTTAGATGACAATCGAGTCTACCAGAAGCCAATGTTATTAATACAATATTAGTCTGGATTAACCTAGCCTACTACTTACTAGACTAGCTCGATATACGGTACTATGTACTCGAGATAAGATTTTGTTTACATTTTAAACAATAGTGAAATTAACACAATAAATTAAACGAGAATTCAACAGTCTGTGCACGAAGTGCCGTCAGTCAGTGCCAATACGGCGATGATTTAATATTTGTAAGTTGAGTGTCTGTTAACCCGTCCACAAGCAAACCCGTCCACGGTTAAGGTAATACCGGTACTTGACTTGTATATTATTTAATTGATTAAAATAGATCACTTTTACTCATTGGTTGTTTATATTGTTTTATTAACCTAATAATCAACTAGCTTGGCTCGCCATCCCGACAGCGATTAGTTCGAGTTCAAATTCTTTATTCCTTTAAGCCAAAGACTCATCAGGTATAACATATAGTACAAACAAATAAATAAATACAATATGTACAAAAACAATATAGTTCACCGATGTTTTTGTAATAAAGAACAATAGTATTGTTTGTTGATTAGCGTTATGATTTTAGACAAAATGGTAAGTTCACCAATGTTTTTGTAATAAAGTAGACCCGTATTGTTTGTTAATTGACTTTATCCCATGATTTAAAAAATTGGCGATGGTTAATATTGGCTCAAAAATAATTCCTTAAATTGCGCCGGAGCCCCTTTTAGATTAATTGAATTCGCATAAAAACAACAAAGAGTGGCTACGTGCGATTTTATTCTTTGATACACGGGACATTTCTGTTATTCAAACAAATCTGCACGAGAATGACAACATACAAATTGACAGTTACCATTGGTTTGGGGTTCATGAAGAATAGGCTTTTCTATCGAGCCTACAGTTATTCTTTTCTAAAATAAAATGAGTGCCTTGGATTTTTGTGTGGATTTGATAGCGGTTTTACTTTACTAATATTCTCTGACATCGGAGACTTGTGTCGCGTTCATTTCATTTTTGCGGTAAGTACGAGCTTCTTATGTCTGATTTGAAAGCGCTTTCGACTCCCGTTGCAAGTTCTATTTATCACTTTTGTGACTTTCGCAGTGTACCCCCTCCCACCCATATTATTTTAATACGTCATAATACATTATTATCATATACCGGTGACAGTCAAGATTTGCTAAATACTTTTCGCCAAGTAACACAGCGTAAGAATATATAGTCCCTGTGTCGAACCCAACATCTCATGTTTTCGCGCGTTTCTGACCACGTGACGTACGGTTAACCGCATTGCGGAGTGATTTACATGTATGGCACTGTGATTTATGAATGGTTGATTTAGATTAACTGAAGCTGCGAGTAATGAAGTTATGTGTAAAATCTCATCGAATATAATTTAAAGTTTGGATTTGATAGCAGCTAATAAGATGAAATGATAAGTTTAATAAATTGTAACTTATTCATTGTTTGCATACACGTACATTGTGGCACCACGTTATACATGTACAGTGTGTTAGAAATACGACCGTAGCTGCCTCGCCAACAGTTAACATATCTTGTATTCAGCTTTAATAAATTACATTTTTCGTCAACATGCTTACATCAGGATGATATCGGCACTCAAGCGATTCACCGTGTTTCACCGCGAAACACCCTATTTCGCGGTGATTTGGCTAGCTGCCGTTTCGCTAGCGATTCCCCAAGATTCCACCGTGAAATAGAGTGTTTTTCCGCGGTGTTCGGCGATTATAGTCCCAAACTCCAGCACTGTAGTGTATACCATATTTTTATGTTATTTGAGAACGAACGGCTGCCATTTTGTCTGTCAATTTTGGGCCGATTTTCACGAAATTCGAACTCGGCTGTCCTTAGGGTGTAACGGTGATATAATAATACGTTTTTTTTAAATCGGATAAAAATTATGACCTCTATAGGGTCCACAAGCTAAAAACGCGATTTTTCGTACAATCAGGGGCCATAATTCAGGAAGTTACAGTCTGATATGCGCGAATATCGAAAGGAACCGAGATCTTTGGGTGATCAACTTACATTTCAAGTTTCAACAAAATCGGATAAAAATTGTGACCTTTATAGTGTCCACAAGCTAAAAACGTGATTTTTCGTACAAACAGGGGCCATAATCCATGAAGTTTCGATCCAATACATGCCAATATCGAAAGGAACTGAGATCTTTTGGAGATAAACCTATATTTCAAGTTTCGTCAAAATCGGATAAGAATTGTGACCAGGAAGTTTTAAGCAATGTCTAATTTCAATAGGCCCTACAAATAGAACTAAGTAAAATACGATAATAAACTATAACACATACTTATGGAAGAACAATTACTGATTTATTTGGGCGACGTTTCGAAGAGTATTCTTTCAACGTTTTCAAGCAAGTACAGTAACAAATGTATAGAGCAATTATATATAGACAAGCAATAACAACAATTCAGAAACCATGCATGACAACAACAAGATCAAAGGAATAAAAACAACATGATCAAGGGCAATGTACATATGAAGGATTAGTGAAACCACTGATAGGTAATTATAGGGGTAAATAATTTTAATTAGACAACCAATCATGACAAATGAGAAACCATACATGATGTGAATAAGATAGAATTCCAAACCAGTTGATCATGGTGGAATTCCGAAGAGGGCATTCAAAAATAACAGCAAAACAAAACAAAATTTTGCTTTTTACCTTCCTTCTCTGAGAAATAAATCTTCATTCAAATTAATATTCGTTAAATGTTTTACTAGTTGTTGTTCCGCCACTCATTCAACATCGCTAGCCGTGCTGCAGTGCAGTGGCTATCTGGTATCTTGAAATTAACTTTACGTCTTTGTCGCCACCCTGATCTCCAAGAAGTCACTGCATTCATTTCCAGGAAATGATTGCTTCCTGTACAGTTATTGTTTACTTCTACTTTCCTAGCTTTATTTTCGCTTTCGGGACCATGTGGTTCAAAGGGAAATAACTCCAATTTTGTTTTTGTTGTCTTAAAATCCAGACGGTTTTATTTTCATTTTATTTCGTTATAACCGTTTATTGATTGACAGATATCCAGCATCATCGGTTGTTTTTAGAAATTAGTTATCACAACGTTGTAGAACACCCATGGACCCTACAATAGTATGATAAGTTCCAAGTCAAATCTGAATGAAGGAAAGTGTATGTCGTTCACGTTGTCGAGTCATTCGGGTGGACGAAAAACCGAGCTCCCACACACCAGTCCATTTGAAGATTTCTTAGAAATCTGCATTCTGGACATCTGAGACACGCTACCTGCGGAGAAAAAAGCTGGCCACCAATTAATTTTCGTACGTTAGTTACGTACGAGAAATCTGGTTTTAGAGCTGACATTGAACTTGGCCCGCCTCATTACCATATAACGTCCTTGTCATGGCCTTAGCCTCGTTGTGAATGTCTCACCTGGCTGGTCGACGCTTACCTTTTTGCCCAATTCTTAACAAAGTTGTTATTTTCATTTCCCACCCTCCCTCCCAGTAGCATCACTTAGTAGTAAGGGCTGTGTGTTTTCTTGATTATAAACTTTTCATGTACGTATTGATATGTCATCGCGAGTTCATATTTTACAATATTAATGAACAATGTATTACGTTGTATTAATTTGTATGTTTTTAAAGTTATGCTTGCTTCGTTCTGTAATAAAATTGCTGCCAATGACAAAATATGTAGTCCTCAGCGTGCATTTTGAGAAAGGTCATAAGGGTAAAAGTGCCAGCCCAGGGCCCAAACGGCCGTATGTTAATTAAAGGGAGGCTGAGTGGGTTGCGGATAGGGCTACTAGTACATTTTTTCGGATTCCATTGTCTCTTGCCAGTCCCCCTGTCTTGCACCATACTGGCGAAGAGGAACTTCTTGGCCACCACCGGGATCCAACATGGGACCTCTACGTTAGCAAGCCAACTTGTTACCTACTCACTGAGCCACTGCAGATCCCAGAATTTGATAAAGACGAGGCGGAAACGTCACTGTTTGAGCACAATTTCTCATGTCAAAATGAGAAATAATAACAGGAAATCACTTTACATTGATGTACAAAAATTTATTTCTAAATGAATATTTTTATACAAATACAACCTCAAAGCTACATGTAACAACTTCTAAAGGTTACGCTGAAAAAAGTCAGAATGGTGTCATGACGTAGAAAAAAGACCAACATCATTTAGAGAAGATTGTCCAGTGTGGCTAGTTCGCTGTGCATTATTACTTCAAAGACAGAACTAAATTGTATGTCTCTTGTTTGCCATTCTGTACCTCCCAATCGATCCTCCATCAAGAATTAACATTTCATTATTGGCTTTCACACAATAAATAACTTTACATAATGTTATATTCAGCCATAACATGAACATCAGTAACAACAAATTCATGTCTTAAGTTTTAATAATATTTAAATATATTTGTGTTCTTTTCAACATTCTTGTAACACTTAGAGTCAAATAGCGTATATGTTAACCCTTTTTATTTGGCAGCTAGACTTGCCGAAACTAGAGCCTCCTCTCTGGCACCTCAAAAAGACTGAGCCACATAAATAACTGTGTATTATTTAAGACCTAATACTTCTATATTCGTGACTTAGGTTTTTTAAGTCTGTTTAGGGAGCAGTATATTTTGGTGGTTTGGAAAATGAGCTACCAAACTCAATGTAAATGTGCATCACTCTGCCCTAACTTCCTTCAAGAAGCCAACGAACGGCGGCCATTTTGTCTGTCAATTTTGGGCCGATTTTCACGAAATTAGAACTCGGTCGTCCTTAGGGTGTAACGGTGATATAATAATACGGTTTTTTTTAAATCGGATAAAAATTATGACTTCTATAGGGTCCACAAGCTAAAAACGCGATTTTTCGTACAATCAGGGGCTATAATTCAGGAAGTTACAGTCCGATATGCGCGAATATCGAACGGAACTGAGATCTTTGGGTTATAAACTTACATTTCAAGTTTCAACAAAATCGGTTTAAAATTGTGACCTCTATAGGGTCCACAACCTTGATATACAATATTTTTACGCTATTTGAGACCAAACGGCAGCCATTTTGTCTGTCAATTTTTGGCCGATTTTCACGAAATTCGAACTCACCCATTCTTAGGGTGTAACGGTGATATAATAATATGGTTTTTTAAATTGGATAAAAATTATGACCTCTACAGGGTCCACAAGCTAAAAACGTGATTTTTCGTACAATCAGGGGCCATAATTAAGGAAGTTATACGGTCCGAAATGAGCAAATATCGAAAGGAACCGAGATCTTTGGTATATAAACTTACATTTCAAGTTTCAACAAAATCGGATAAAAATTGTGACCTCTATAGGGTCCACAACCTTGATATACCATATTTTTACGTTATTTGAGAACGAACGGCGGCCATTTTGTCTGTCAATTTTGGGCCGATTTTCACGAAATTCGAACTCAGCCGTCCTTAGGGTGTAACGGGGATTTAATAATACGTTTTTTTTAAATCGGATAAAAATTATGACCTCTATAGGGTCCACAAGCTAAAAACTAGTCCAGCTCTGAACGTAGGTCTCATTACACTCACCTCTACGTCCAGGGACCGTGTTATTGAAGCCTTGGCGAAAAAGTTTGGCTTCCCAGTCAATTTTACTGGGCAACTTTTTACTGCGAAACGCTCGCGTGTCAGTCCCTGTGAACGCCTGAGCAATATAAATGAATATCTTAGTGAGAAAATAAGACCTTGCTTACCTCGCTCGAGTCAGTATGAGCGACACAACACGCTGTTAAAAAATACGTCTCCGTCTTCTAACCGACTTGGCAGACATCATTGAAAGGGTAACGCACAAATTTAAGAACTCGGCCATATAAGATGAAACGAAATTTAAGTAAGCCTGGTGCGAAAAAATTGGGATAAATGAAAGAATTTGATTGTAAATTATTGTAATTTAGCTAGGCAAAGCAATAAATCACTGAAGATTCTCAACTTTTCAAAGATTTCATTTTTTTTGTGACCTGTAGAGTGTCCACAAACAAATTGTGGACGGACGGACGTCCAGGGGAGACAACAATTTTTTATAAGTCCACATGAAAATGTGGGGGTATAAAAACGTCCATTTTCACTTTAATTGACAGTGTTATCTCTTTGCGAGTGAAATGGGGCAGTCAGATAAGCCGCCCATATGAACTGTTTATGTCCATGTGTAGGCAATTGGCCTGTTATTAACATACACTGGTTACCTCTAATAAAAACAGCAGTGCATTTCCGCAGTTTTATATTGTTTCTATATCCCCTACGACAGTTTACTATATATAGTAACTTCAGGCTATGTTATTATTATGCACATGCCTGGATTCCTAAGGCTTCTCTGGCATGCGCATTGAGTACCATGCCATTGTATAACGTCTCACTGTAGAATACAAGACGGTCTAATACTTTCATTTACGAGTTGTGTTGTGTTTGAGGTATTGTGAATGGTCTTTACTAACGCTACTTTTTTTGAAGAGTACATGTAACCGAGCAGTAGGATCGAAAGGATTGCCAACTCAAACTACAGGTTGTAGACGTCTATTATGCAAGCAAATCACAAAGAACAATGCAGCAGTGCTGTCGGCTTGTCTCGTAATCTCTCTGATTCTCCCTCGTCTCTCTGTCGTCAGTCGCACGCTTGTCACGTGACTTCTCCATACGGGTTCAGACCACTAGTGAGTGACAGGGTGTACAAGCATGTACAACAACAAACCCATTCGGCCACATACATATACGGTAAATTGGTGAAGGGAGCTGATGTATAAAGTTGTGTCATTTGACATCTTTGTCAAGCACCAGGAAGTTTTAAGCAATGTCTGATTTCAAGGCCCTACAAATAATAGAGTACTAAGTAAAATAAGATAGAATTCCAAACCAGTTGATCATGGTGGAATTCCGAAGAGTGCATTCAAAAATAACAGCAAAAGAAAACAAAAAAAAATTGCTTTTTACCTTCCTTCTCTGAGAAATAAATCTTCATTCAAATTAATATTCGTTAAATTTTTTACTAGTTGTTGTTCCGCCACTCATTTAACATCGCTAGCCGTGCTGCAGTGCAGTGGCTATCATCTGGTATCTTGAAATTAACTTTACGTCTTTGTCGATGTAGTAAGAATTAAAAATTTCAAAGAAGCCACCCCGATTTCCAAGAAGCCACTACGCATTATCGGGATTAATCACTTCTGGCTGATTCAAGGAACTTGTTTTATCTTGCATACATTTCCAGGAATTGCTTGCTTCCTGTACAGTAATTGTTTACTTCTACTTTCCTAGTTTTATTTTCGTTTTCGGGACCATGTGGTTCAAAGGGAAATAACTCCAATTTTGTTTTTGTTGTCTTAAAATCCAGACGGTTTTATTTTCATTTTATTTCGTTATAACCGTTTATTGATTGACAGATATCCAGCATCATCGGTTGTTTTTAGAAATTAGTTATCACAACGTTGTAGAACACCCATGGACCCTACAATAGTATAAGTTCCAAGTCAAATCTGAATGAAGGAAAGTGTATGTCGTTCACGTTGTCGAGTCATTCGGGTGGACGAAAAACCGAGCTGCCACACACCAGTCCATTTGAAGATTTTATAGAAATCTGCATTCTGAACATCTGAGACACGCAACCTGCGGAGAAAAAAGCTGGCCACCAATTAATTTTCGTACGTTAGTTACGTACGAGAAATCTGGTTTTAGAGCTGACATTGAACTTGGCCCGCCTCATATAACGTCCTTGTCATGGCCTTAGCCTCGTTGTGAATGTCTCACCTGGCTAGTCGACGCTTACCTTTTTGCCCAATTCTTAACAAAGTTGTTATTTTCATTTCCCACCCTCCCTCCCAGTAGCATCACTTAGTAGTAAGGGCTGTGTGTTTTCTTGATTATAAACTTTTCATGTACGTATTGATATATGTCATCGCGAGTTCATATTTTACAATATTAATGAACGATGTATTACGTTGTATTAATTTGTATGTTTTTAAAGTTATGCTTGCTTCGTTCTGTAATAAAATTGCTGCCAATGACAAAATATGTATTCCTCAGCATGCACTTTGAGAAAGGTCATAGGGGAAAAAGTGCCAGCCCAGGGCCCAAACGGCCGTATGTTAATTAAAGGGAGCCTGAGTGGGTTGCGGATAGGGCTACTAGTACATTTTTTCGGATTCCATTGTCCCTTGCCAGTCCCTCTGTCTTGCACCATACTGGCGAAGAGGAACTTCTTGGCCACCACCGGGATCCAACATGGGACCTCTACGTTAGCAAGCCAACTTTTTACCTACTCACTGAGCCACTGCAGATCCCAGAATTTGATAAAGACGAGGCGGAAACGTCACTGTTTGAGCACAATTTCTCATGTCAAAATGAGAACTAATAACAGGAAATCACTTTACATTGATGTACAAAAATTTATTTCTAAATGAATATTTTTATACAAATACAACCTCGTAGTCTCGGTCACCCAGAACCTCCTAGTCTTCAACATACGGAGGGTCTGGGAAGGTTGTCAATATTTGACGTACAGTCCATTGCCCATGCGTAACCGGGAGTTTGGTTTTTTAATGTGGTTGATTATCCAGTCTCTTAAGCCAAGTCACGTAAGAGTTGCGCCCCTTTCCACAATAAATCCCATAATTCTTGCAAACAAACATGAATCGTGACGACGAATTAGGATTAATTTTAAAAGCATAGATATGGCCCATGAAGAGAGAAATTTTACAATAAAAAATTAAGAGTGTTAGATATTGAACTCGCATGCAATCAAATGGATTTTTTTAAATGACATTCTTAAATTAACATGGGCGTTAACATCTTGTTCTAAGAGGAGTTACCTCCCTTAGACATTGTTTACAATAATGTGAAAGACCGGATTATCTAGTCAATTTTTCTCAAATGTTGACAACCTGTGCAGACTAATATTCGTAGAATATTTTTCTGGATGATAGAGACTAACAACCTCAAAGCTTACATGTAACAACTTCTAAAGGTTACGCTGAAAAAAAGTCAGAATGGTGTCATGACGTAGAAAAAAGACCAACATCATCTAGAGAAGATTGTCCAGTGTGGCTAGTTCGCTGTGCATTATTACTTCAAAGACAGAACTAAATTGTATGTCTCTTGTTTGCCATTCTGTACCTCCCAATCGATCATCCATCAAGAATTAACATTTCATTATTGGCTTTCCCACAATAAATAACTTTACATAATGTTATATTCAGCCATAACATGAACATCAGTAACAACAAATTCATGTCTTAAGTTTTAATAATATTTAAATATATTTGTGTTCTTTTCAACATTCTTGTAAGTCAAATATAAGCGTATATGTTAACCCTTTTTATTTGGCATCTAGACTTGCCGAAACTAGAGCCTCCTCTCTAGCCCCTCAAAAAGACTGAGCCACATAAATAACTGTGTATTATTTAAGACCTAATACTTCTATATTCGTGACTTAGGTTTTTTAAGTCTGTTTAGGGAGCAGTATATTTTGGTGGTTTGGAAAATGAGCTACCAAACTCAATGTAAATGTGCATCACTCTGCCCTAACTTCCTTCAAGAAGCCAGGGTGGTCACCTGTCACAGACATTGGTAGACACAAATTACCACACAAAGTATATATTTTAACATATAGACTTCGAATATTACGGCTCATAATTCATTATTAAAATTCATATGCTATAATCATAAATCAGCTTTTAAAAAATAACAACGGACGTAACTCATCAATAATATTCATTCACAATAATTTTAGCTCAGTTTTTCAAAAATAACAAAATTTGATTAAAACATTAACTCTAGAACAATAATAAGTTATGTAACATCTGCTGTGAGGAACATTAGCATGTTGCCAAAAGACTACTAGTCGACATGTTAGCACAATTTAAGCAAATCTACCATTATTTCAACTCAAATCATTAAAATATATATCTATATTTGATAATAAAGCGATCTTTATGCCAAAAAGTCAATTTTAATTAAAAATTGTAGCATTTTATGCGATTTTTTCCCAAAGAACGGTATATTATCAAATATAGATATAAATTATTGTCAAATGAGTTGAAAAATGGTGGATTTGGGTACCCATGTCGACCTAGACTATAGTTAAAGTTAACCTGGTTAACCAGACAGTGGATACGAATAAACAATAACAGGTGTTATATATTTAATAACAATAACGTTTTTAAACAAGAATTAAACATGCATTATGCAAGAGCTAAATCAGCCTATTGCAGGTCTTTCGATAGGCCTAGAATGTTATATAAATTATTAAACATTCATTAGCTTATCAAAATCATAATTAACTCTCGTTGCCTTCGTTACCCTGCGATATATAGTGGATTTGAATATGTTATTGTGATTGATAATTTACCATAAAAATAGATAACTGAGACTTTGTTTATTATCGTACTAACGGTGGTCGAGGCTAGCCTAAAATTTAATTGCTAATATCATGGTTCAGAGTGAAACAATTTGACTGAAATTGACAGCATATTCTGTTTTCATTTTCTATTTTTTAACTATTATATTAACTGTCAGCTCTTTATTTAAATCTTACCTAATCTCCCTTTAATTAGGCACTGAAATACTCAAGCCTCATTCACCACGGTCTATAGAGCTGATTATAGGCTTATTATAGAACATATAACAATTGAAGCTAAAATAAAGACCTGCAATAGAGAGAGATGGGATTTAAGGTCCACTTGACACAAACTAGGCCATTTTGGGTCTAACATACAGTTCAATTTTATTTCAATAATAACCCTACTCCTTGTCATGTTCAACCGGGGAATCGAAACCACGCCAGTTGACTCAATGACAGAGCTTATGATACAACGCACACACGCTAACAATTCGATCACCCAATCCCTCCAATAGACAGATTAAGCTCTTACATAATGCACCTTTAATAACCAATAATATTCTGTAACAGGTATAGGCACTGAGATATTAAATTATTCATAAATAAAACAGTTTTTATCTTTGAATTTGATCATGAACAAGAAGAAGGAATGGTGGCAAGTTTGAATAATAGAAAACAGGTAACTACACACATCCCAAAAAATCATTAACGAGGTTCTTTTCTTTTCCTAAGACTAGAGCTTGATCTTTTCTGCTTGTAAGAAGACCTGGTGCCTTTTCAACAAATAGATTAAGGATGCAGCCTTTTCATTGGTTGAGAACTTAAATCCAAGGTTCTAGGAGAGAGAGAGAGAGAAATGAGGTTTAATGTCCACTCAACACAAACTTGGTCATTTTGGGACTAACATATGGTTCAATTTTATTTCAATAATTTGCTTGCGCGTAGGGGTCTTTAGCAGTGCGAGGAAACAGGAGGACCCGCAAAAAACCCACGAGGTTGGACAGGCGACCCTACTCCTTGTCACGTACAACTGGGGAATTGAAACCATGCCAGTGGACCCAATGACAGACATTATGATACAGCACACGTGCTAACCATTTGGCCATCCCCCCCCCCCCCTTGTCAACCAAAAGATTACATTTTTAAAATGGTTAAGCTGAATAAGGCCCCACATGACTAGACTTTGATAAATATTGATCACTAATGTTGAGAAACACCTACAACATTTTCAAGTCTGAACATAAGGCACCCGTCACAAACTTGGTTCGACAATTATCATCACGCAAAGTATATATTATAATATTAGCGTTGTATTCTAATTTTTACCTTATAAAGTTTGTGACAGGTGCCTTATGTCAAGACTGGATCATTTTGTCCCATAGAGGTCAATACAATAGATAATATTGTCACATAATGGATTTGAAAATACATCAATTCAATCAAACGTTGTATATTCCTAGAGAGTAATGAATTGAGATTTAGCATCCTACTGTTCTGCTCCGACTGGGCTAATGAAGATGGGCATACACCATACAGTGTGCTATGAGGAAAATTTGCTTGGACAAACCTAGAGAGTAAATATTTATAATATTAATAATAAATAAAATAACAACAATATATAAAAATATCCCACACCAAGAGTTTCAGCCTCCTATAATTATATACAACATTATCATCAGCAACAAATACAATATATTCATCACACAGTAGCAACAAATACAATATATTCATATCAGACATCAGCAGCAAATGAAATATATTCGCATCAAACATCAGCAACAAATACAATATATTTGCATCAAACATCAGCAACAAATACAATATATTTGCATCAGACATCAGCAAAAAATACAATATATTCACAGTAGACATCAGCAAATACAATATATTCACAGCAGAGATAAGCAGCAAATACAATATATTTACAGTAGACCACATCACCAAATACAATATATTCACAGCAGAGATCAGCAGCAAATACAATATATTACAGTAGACGTCATCAGCAAACACAGTATATTCACAGCAGAGATAAGCAGCAAATACAATATATTTACAGTAGACCACATCAGCAAATACAATATATTCATCAGGCATCAGCCGTAAATACAATATATTCACAGCAGAGATCAGCAGCAAATACAATATATTTACAATAAACATCACCAACAAATACAAAATACTCAGTCGTAAATACAGTATATTCATAGCACACATCAGCAGCAAACAATATATTCATCAGGCATTAGCTGTAAAAACAATATATTCACAGCAGACATCAGCAACAAATCCAATATATTCATAGCATACACCAGCAGCAAATACAAAATAATCATAGATATAATCCCTAGTAATTATCAGTCAATAAGTAAATACAGTAAACTTAGCATAAATCGGATCTAAGTGGACTGACCAATTTTATCTAAGTTATGCAAAGATGTGAGTTAGCTAAAGACCGAAATTCAATCCTAGCTCGATTAGAAATAAACTGCAAGAGCCGGATAATAACTGATTCAATGGCACATTTCAAGCTTTTGTTCATACATGTGAATAGATAACTTCCGTGTTGGTGCGAGTAGAAAACTTCTGTTTTGTCGTCATCTTTGAAAATTGTCCTAAATTTTCCCGGAAAGTGTCTCATACATCAGAGAGCGAGTTTCAAATTTATTGCGTCGCGTCAAATATGCTGATTTGAGCTAAAATGACAGTGGAAAGTATTTTGGGGCTCTGTGCATGGAATACCTAACCACGTTTTAGACCATTGGGACGAAAATGATTTAGTCAAACTCTGAACATACTGCCGATCTGACAGGCGAAGGAAAAAAGCCGGAATTAGATCAAATGGACCAAACATTATGATCCGAGTTGAGCAAAGATCTGACTTAGGAAATCTGACTTACGTGTTGAAATTTAATAAGAAAAACGTGCAAGATCAAAGGGTCCAAACGATTTTATCCGAGTTCAGCGAAGATCCGACTTATACAAATCTGACTTATGCAAAGTTTACTGTCAATTCATTTACATTTTAACAAATCATGTCTGTTTCCTCTCAAACCGTATAAACAATCTGAGCAAGAAGATTCAAATGAATTTACACGGAATATTAAGGCTTACAAACTGAGCTGATGCGAAGACAAGGGATGGCGATTATATAATAAAACGACAGGGTTACTAAATATAGTCAAGGTGAACCCAATAGTTTAGGGGAAGGCACTACATCACATATTGCCCAGACCAGCAGAGTATTTAATTTCATAAAATTTTTGATATATCGTACAAAACTACAATGAATAATGGTAAATGAATTCAATGATTTTCCAATTCAGTGAACTAAATGTCAAGTTTCCAATTCAAGGGAACTCAATAACAAGTTTCCAATTCAACGGAACTCAATGACATGTTTCCAATTCAACGGAACTCAATGAGTTTCCAATTCCGGGAACTGAATGACAGTTTCCAATTCAAGGGAACCAAATGAGTTTTCATTTAAAGAGTACTAAATGATTTTCCAATTCAAGTAACTCAATGACAGATTCCAATTCAGGGAACTCAATGAGTTTCCAATTCAAGGAACTGAATGACAAGTTTCCAATTCAGGGAATTCAAAGCAAGTGGATCTAAAAATAGAATTTATTTAATGTGTGCAAGAAATCGATGTAGCCGATCGCATTAATTGCAATGCAAATCTCAGTTAACAAAATCAAATGTGGCGACTTAAGTAACGTATGTGACCAAGAAATTAATGATAATAAATTACAGACTAAATTGCGGCCACCACAATACAAGAAATTAATGTAATTTGAAGGAAATTTTCAATATATTCATTTTTCATTATCTATTTGTGACCTATCATAGCGAGAATGGCCAGCTTTTTATCTAATTCTCAAATAATGCATCTTTAATTTCAGCATTAATTACATTCTTGTTGCGATAGCTAGAGTTTTATCTAAAATCCACCACCAATAAAAAAAAGAGGGTTTATGACTTTCACGGCTCACGATAGCAAAATGGAATGTATATCTTAATACATGTACAAAAAAATAATTTGAAAAGATTTTCTATAAAAATATCCTGATCAACTTAGTTTTCCTAGTTCGGCTTTTTTGAATATTTCTGCAGCAGAGAAAATCAGAGAATCTAGAATTCCTGCAACTGTGAAAGTTCCTCCTACAATAGCACAAATCTGAAATAAAATCAAACAATCAATATCAATAAATCCAAACATTTTATATATAATCTATTCATAAATCCAAACATTTTATATATAATCTATTCATAAATCCAAACATTTTATATATAATCTATTCATAAATCCAAACATTTTATAAAATAATCAATCAAAAAATCCAAATGTCTTTTTAAAAAAAACAAGTACATCCTACTATGGACCAGGAACTGACATGACCAAGTTGTTGGATGAAATTCAAAAATCAAATTCAGCAAATCAATGCAGAAATGTGTAAAGAACAAGCATGCCAATTTTGATGTCGATCGGACATTAATTGACAGGGCCTTAGGCTTTATCGAAGGGTGTCATCCCAAGAAGAAGAAGAGTAGTGGTTAGCGACCAGTTCCGGGTCCAAAAAATACTGTGATTGGCTGTGTACAAAACTTCATACGGATATATGTTTTTGAGATATGCTTCGGAAATAAAAACCAAAACAAAAGGATGGACAGAGCCCATTTAAATATTCCCTCCCTTAACTTCATTCGACACGCGTTTATTATTCACTGTCAAACACTAACTCACTTGTCATAAGTTTTTGAATTAGTGCTGACGTTCAGCCAAATTCACGCATAGCATAATTAGTAAATTACAGCTCTCATTTTTCGGGTCGCGGGTTTGAAAAAATCCCTTGGCCATTGGAATTCGATATAAGAGTAAGCTGTAGCGCTGCTGTCCAGACAAAATTTCCCTGATAGCACACTGTAAAGCGTATGTCCGTCTCCATTAGCCCAGTCGGAGCAGAAAAGTAGGGAGTTAAACCCCATTTCATTTCATTTTATTTCTCCCCCATTCAGGTTGTCGTTCCATCAGTATTAAATGAAGAGAGTGAAAAAAAGTGAAAGAGTTTAGTTTATCTCCTGCACAATAAAAAACACCCAACCCCACCTTGTCTTGTTCCGTCTTCATTATGCCAGTCGATACAGAACAGCAGAACATTAAACTCCATTTCATTTCACCCAGTTTCGTATGGCTGTGATGTTTCAGGCAAGAGAGAGAGAGAAATGGGGTTTAACCTCCACTCGACACAAACTAGGTCATTTCGGGACTAACATATGGTTTAATTTTTTTTCAATAATTTGCTTGCGCTAAGGGGTTTTTAGCAGTGGGAGGAAACTGGAGGACCCGGAGAAAACTAACGAGGTTGGACAGGCAACCCTACTCCTTGTCACGTACAACCGGGGATTAGAAACCACGCCAGTTGACTCAATGACAGGTCTATGATACATCACGCACTTGCTAACCATTCGCCCATCCAACCCCCCTGTTTCAGACAAACATTGGTGTTTTACTTATTGAAGTAAGAAAGTGTTCAAGTTGAGTCTATCCCTTCACCTTTCGTTTTCCCAAAAGGCTAATGCAGAGGGGCATATATCATGCTGTGTGGCATGATGTACTTTCAGCACCAATCTGGCTAATGAACATAGGGTGCTATCACCATTGAATTCCAACTGCCAAGGGTTCTTTTACGTCCATGCCAACGTGTATTTATTAAGGTACTTACCGTGGTTAAGAATGTATAGAATGGTTTCCGTTTTTCCTTGTAACGAACTGTGATTGGACTAAGATCGTATCTGAACCATATAGCTGGTATCGACTGACCACCATGATGGAACTGTACTATATCCTGAAAACAATATAAACTATATAAGGAGCTATTCAACAATATTTAAAGCAATATAAGGTCTTCATACATTAAGAATAGGGTCCATGGTACAGGCGCAAATGCTCTTCTACTTTCCAAAGCATGAGGCAATTACCCTTAGTGTTCCCGGCTGTTCTTTGAAATGTATTAGTGATCTTTACAAGCCTTAGTGTTCCCGACTGTTCTTTAAAACGTATCGCCGATGTATCTTTAAAGCCTTAAGTGTTGCCAGCTGTTCTTTAAAATGTATCAGCGATCTTTACAAGCCCTAGTGTTCCCGGCTGTTCTTTAAAATGTATCAGCAATGTATCTTTACAAGCCTTCAAGGCTGAGATGTATCAACGCATCAATCTTCAAGATATTTGTTAGGTCGACTTCAAAGTGCACCAAATCAGTTCTTGTTTCTAGTGATCTGACTTGCATTCTGATCTGAGAAAGTTTAAATGGTAACTGGGTCCGAAGGTATATTGATAAGTTACCTATACGAATAGGTATATTGATAAGGTACTCATCCTATTGATAAGGTACTCATCCTATTGATAAGGTACTCACCCTATACCAAAAGGTATATTGATAAGGTACCCTATACCAATAGGTATATTGATAAGGTACTGAACCTATACCAATATGTATATTGATAAGGTACTCACCCTATACAAATACAGGTATATTGATAAGGTACTCACCCTATACGAATAGGTATATTGATAAGGTACTCAACCTATACGAATAGGCATATTGATAAGGTACTCACCCTATACGAATAGGTATATTGATAAGGTACTCAACCTATACTAATAGGTATATTGATAAGGTACTCACCCTATACAAATATAGGTATATTGATAAGGTACTCACCCTTTACAAATAGGTATATCGATAAGTTACCTATATGAATAGGTATATTGAAAAGGTACTCACCCTATAAGAATAGGTATATTGATAAGGTACTCACCCTATACGAATAGGTATATTGATAAGGATATCTAATATTTCCACTGATATCTTCGTAAACTGTTGGTACAACTTTTACTATGTAATCATGAGTAGATATAGCTACAAATATACAATTCAACATTATACTATAGAGCTAGAAAACATTTTGTATTTAGTAATTGAACACATTAAAGTAAACACAAAGAGTCCAGTTTGCTCCAACTACTAAAGACGCCTCCCTACGCGCAAACAAGTTATTGAAATAAAATTGAACCATATTTTAGTCCCAAAATGACCTAGTCTGTTTCACCGTAACAGACCGCTTCCCTCACTTCAACCAGAACACTGGTAATATAACAACTCTTCCAGACAAGTGAAACGAAATTTTGAACTATAAAAAAAAACCGAAATGAAATAGGATATATGTTTTAATCATATTGTTTCTACTGAACAATTGCATAGAGTTTTAAAAACTTTTATGTGTGAAGAACTTTTTCCAGTATCTCTGGAGAATGTTCACTAGAAATTGTGGTCTGAATTGACCGCACCTTGACAACAAGATACATCCCCATGAAATCGAGATCTCAATTCGCATGCACCTTGACAACAAGATACAGCCACATGAAATAAAGGTGTCTAAAAATAAATACCTACGTTTTGCTTTTGTTTTATCAACATTAGCTAAGGAGTTAAATGATCCTTTCACATCCTGTAAACAAAAAACAACATATAGATTATGTTAAAAAAAATCTCAAACAACTCATCTGTCATTTTGATTTCAATTTATCAAAATTATTTATTAAGGTTTTATCCTTCAATGTGTCTACAGTGCGATCACATTGCTGATTCTCATTTTTCTTGTACAGTAGAATCTGTATGAGCAGCCACTCCTATTCAGTGACATCTCCTTGTAAGCGGACACGATAAATTCCCCCCGTAAAAATTCTGTTGTTTCATCTCTTTATTCAACGGTCACTCCTCTAACGCGGTCACTATTTTACTAATAAATTCAACAAAACATCGTCCATTCAACGTCCATTGTTGAATGATACCATCTTGTTGTTCTTTGTAACACCCCGCTAATCCCGTGAGTAGTAGTTAATTAACTGGACCCCCGCTGATCAGGTAAAAAGAAATGTAAAAATAACAATCAACCCGGGATTATCTGTTTAATTAATCTTTTGTTTTATTAAACGACTAACCTGTTCATTGTTTTCACGCGTCACGACACATTATTTGATACTGATTGAATAAAATGAAAGTAACGCATTTTTTCACGATCGTCCAGTATCTCTTTTCCATTGTCACTTTGTTGTTAAACAGACGTTTTAGCGCCTCCTATAATATTACATACAGAGTTACACCCCCTGTAAATAGGTGATAAAATCAGCGATGGTTTTTTGTTCATGTTTTTTTTTGATAAAATAAAATGAATTTATCGATTTTCTTCACCAAAATGGATAAATATTATCCAATGCATCACAATGGTAGACAGTAGTATCGAAGGATGGTACAAAATGACAAGTTTACAGAAGTTATGTCCGAGATTTGAGTGAAGAATTTTCGTTCACTGCAAGATTCAGCTACGGTCAAATTTACCGATGCAAGTATTAATGTTCGCTTCCAATGCATCCAAGCCAGTGTCCGAAACAAACATTTTCCAAGCACAGGCCCGCAGGACCTGTGTGACACGTGATCATATGGGTCCTTCAGGTGACACGCAGGCCCAACCAATAATAATAATAATATTTATAGTTTCCAAGTGAAGCGCAGAACGATCAGAGGAAAGGAAGTACATATAAAGCCAGTACACCACAGAAGGACTAAGGGTTTAGTAACTTTCATTTTAATTTAATGGAAACAAATCTATTCATGGCTACATAATTTAGGGCTTTTCTCATTAAACTAGTTAAACTTCAAACAGTTACACAAAAAAACTTGACGCCTGGCGATAACGTTGAGGAATGGCGTTGGCATAAACTCGCACAATAGTCCAGAATTGAGTCAAATGAGGTCCCGTAGGAAATGGTTTTAAAATTATAAGCTTCCATTACCTTTAATAACAGGTAGGCCTACAGCTACACCGGTCGGGAAATTTTCCATATTCACGTTCCGGCTTGAAATTCGTGTCAGTAATATTCCTGAATAAATTACTGTCTTTGTTTTTTGGATGGATATAAAACGATACAGCGCCGTGGTATTTTTCATAACACAATTTGTAGTTTTTGTCTATCACGTAACTGACAAATATGTTTTTATTCATTCGACCATTAGAGACACAGGGCACAGTGATCACGTGACAACCATAATTGAAATTGCTTTAAAATAAAATTCCATACGACTATGCCATATAGTTTTCAAAAATAATAACGACAATATGTTTAAAATTTAGCATCTGCCAGCATGTGTATCAAATAAAAAATCATAACGGTAAACGCTACTTAAAACTAAACCTAACATCGCTGGCTTATTGACCTAGAAATTCCAACTGATGTCACGTGTCATCGGCGGATTTGGCATTGAAGATTTTGTCGGAAAAATATATTATTAATGACTGTTTCTCGGTGTATTTGGTGTTCTATCAGAGGATTATATTAAACTGTAACTACTGGTCAGCGAAACCATTAAATGTATGATCCAATTATTATTTTATTATCTACCGGTACCTGGAATCTATACGGAGCGTCGAAGACGCGCGATTCCCGAGCGAGATTCGCAATCCATACCGAGAGGTTTGACTGTTATTGTAGCCAACAAGCAAGTTGATTGACTACTTGTAACTTAATCAAAAAGTAATAATTAACCCGTTAAATTTAGACGAAAGTAGATTGATTTATGATACCATAGTGGCCGATTGTTCATTGCCGTAGCAATGGTAACTGGACAACCAAGATTTAGTATTGATAATCCATATTTTCGTTACATTATTAAACCTTGCTGGTGTTCAAAACCATTAAAATCTCAATCATCCGATGATCTAGAGAGTTAAAATATAGGCTGAATAAAAGTCTAAATAATAACTTAATATAACATTTGAAGCTAAAATAAAGACCTTCAATATAATGCATCTTTAATAAATATCATATTGTGGGCTTCTGTTACCATAGTAACAGAAGATGTTGTAATCAGAAACCATAATACATTGATAAGGTTTCAATGACAAATGAAATACTTTTTTGACTTGTTCTGACAGGATTGTTCTTAATTAATAGTCATAAATACAAGCCAGTCTTGAACATAGGTTGACAGGCAATGAAACAGTTGCCATGACAATTCTGGTACCGGTATCTGGAGAGTTTAACAACTACATGCAGGAAGAGACAATGACAGCTACAGGAATCAAGACATATTCGTTCCAACACATTGAATAAATCAAAGATTGTGTTCATGGCAGAATCAGCAACTGTCAAAGAGTTGAAGCAGATAATTCTGACACACAAAAAATAACAGACTAATTTGCTTGTATGTGGAGGTCTTTGTTCATGGGACGAAACTTGAATACCAGGAGGAACCCTACAAGAAAAGCCATACAACCCTACATACCTTGTCATGTACAAGCCTGGGATCAAAACCACATCATCTGACTCAATGACAGACCTTATGATCTAAAGCGACATGTAAGAGCACTCTGCCACCCAACCCCACTAGACTAGTAAAACATATATATTTAATGCATGCAAAAAAAAACATTCATTGGTCCTAAACCTTCATAACTAAATGTAGCTACCCACAATAATATTAATAAACTCTGCAGAAATAATGGTTATTAGTATCTTTTTGTGTAAACAATATTTTATTTCAAATGGATGAATAAGGATCAGAGACTAGGCATAACCTACATGTATATCAACCCTCATATTAGTATAGTCAGGGTGATGATTTTCCGTTTCCGAAAATGGCAAATTCTGTTTTAAGTATTTTGAATTCCGTTATTTTCCATATTCCCTTACTATAGTATCACACAAATAATGTTAGTTCACACTTAAACAGTACAACAAATATACCATATTAGTGTTAACAATGAATATTCAAGTTGCTAGTTGTAATCATAATTTCCATTTTTCAGACAAAATCTGTCTTTTCAATGTTTAAAGATACATTTTATAATCCTAAGTTATCACTATCATGATTCATGCAGCGATTGAAATCGTGGTTTTAATCGTGGAGTAACCGTAGTAATCCTATCAGGTCTATCATATATCAATTGTGTTGATGGCATCGAAAAGTATCTGATCGTATCCGCATGGACGCAATAGGGACAACCCTATCATAACGCATCGCACGACAGTTGGAACCTAGCCCAAGAATTAGATAAAGAGCTGACTGTTCTGGATATAATAGTTTAAAATCAAAAAATCAAAAATGAATATATTGAAAATTTCAGCCAAATTACTTTATTCTGAGTGATGTTCTTTTGCCAAGAATAGCAGGTATCTTTAAACGTTGAATAATCAACTCGAGTAGATTTTAGCATGGATTAGAAGATGATCAGCAGCTTTACAGGTAATAATCTACGTTTTAAAATAGATGGAAAATAACTTTAGCATTGAGAGACAAAAAGGGGCCACAGAAGATTCAAATACACAGCATGCACACAGAACAAAGAAAGCCACAACTGATCTTTGACCCCCAGCAACTTCGACATGAACCTGTATCTTACCTGTGCCTTTAAAACCTTTCTCTGCAAATTATTAGTAACAGGTGTTTTTAATGATTTCTTACATCAGCTGTCACAAAATTTCAACAGTTGTGTCCAAAAGGATAACCTGCGGATATAACTTGATACACCTGCATTTATCATATGCACGTTGTACAGGAAATGAAATCAAATCTGGTTCAACGTCCTACTTTTCTTCTCCAACTGGGCTAATGAAAACAGGCATACGCCTTACAGTGTGCTATGAGGCAACTGCCAGGGTATCTTTAACATGCAAATCAAAGTGTACATGGGACCTCCGTTTTTCATGCCGTCCGAACAACTGAATTAGACAGCTGTCCTTGTCCTGCATAACTGACAAGGTGGAAGCCACACCGGAAAAACCTAATGAACTTTCTCGGCCAACACCCGGATCAAACCAGCGACCGTCAGGCTAGCGAGCCAGCGTCATACTCACTGAGCCACCGTGGCTCCCACGTTTTAAAGGTACTACTCATAAAGTAACTAGAGTCAAGCTGCCTCCATGCTGTTACAGTGTCTTAGGTTACTTCTGTTTCCATTCTCTTTAATAATCCCCATTAATAAGTCTCTTATGTGTAGCACAATAACGGCCTCCTACCTGCCCATTCGAGTCGATAGGGAGGTCACGGTGGCGAAGTTGGTAAGATGCTGGCTCGCTAGCCTGGAGGTCGGGTATTCGATCCCTGCATTGGCCGAGAAAGTTCATCCAGATTTTCCGGCGATGTTCCCCCTTGTCAGTGATGCAGGATGGAGGGCCTGACAAGAATAGCTGTCTAGTCGTTCCGATGGGACAAAAAAAACAAGGTCCTGTGTACACATTGGCGTGCACGTGAAAGATGCCTTGACAGTTGGAATTTGATATATAAGAGTAGGCCCTAGTGCCGCTGTCCGGGAAAAATTTCCCTCATAGCACACTGTGTGGCGTATGCCTGTCTTTACTAGCCCAGTTCTGAGCAGAACAGTAGGACGTTAAACTGCATTTCATTTCATTTCATTTTCCGAGTCGACGGAGTTAGAAAATGTTGACAAATTTGACTGATATTTAATTTATCATTGTCTATCTGTGGTGTCTTCAACCCACCCACTTAGTTCCGCTGAGTATTCTTTCGAATGCAAGTGTTGAAATTTTTCGACAGTCCCTAAGTTTTAATGATCATGCTAAATGATTGATAACTAAGAAATAGATGCACTAAATCAATTTTAAAACACAATAGTTCTATGGAAACCATAGAGCATGACATATATACCTCATTAATTATGTGGTTTCACTGATGTATTAATTGATCATAGTATATATTTCGTTCTTTCTGAATGTTCACTATTGTGCTTGAAAACCACAAGAGAATCATTGGAGAGAGAGAGAGAGAGAGAAATGGGGTTTAACATCAACTCGACATAACCTAGGTCGTTTCGGGACTAACATATGGTTCAATTTTATTTCAATAATTCACTTGCGCATATGGGCCTTTAGCAGTGGGAGGAAACCGAAGGAGCTGGAGAAAACCTATGAGGCTGGACAAGCGACCCTACTACTTGTCATGTACAACCGGAGAAGAAACCATGCCAGTTGATTTAAAGACAGAGCTTATGATACAATGTGCACGAGCTAACCATTCGGCCAACCACCGTAGCTCCGATTAAAATACAGTAATTGGTTTCCATAGAACTCTTGTGTTTAATTTAAATCTATAATTTGTGAAACTAGGTCAATATCCATGCTAAATGTTTTATTAATCAAAGATGAATCTATATACTACTTCTATTATAAGCTTAACTCAAATAAACTATTATTATCATTATTTTGATCAAGCTTAACTCAAATAAACTATTATTATTATCATTATTGTGATCGAGCTTAACACCAAAAGTCTGTATCTTAAAAATATCATCACACATGCAAATAAACTCAAACTATAAAAAAAACATATTTATAGACATGTCCCATCTCAATCAGAACATCTTTACCCAGATCCCTTTTTAACCCGGTCTTACCTTTCCTTCCTGTAGGTCCATACCGAATCTCAACCTGTGCACAATATGTGTCATATCAGGTTCGCTAGGCTGTTGTTCGGCGGAATGCGTTGATACGTGAAAATTACCAGGAACCTACACATAAATATTACATGGTTTATAAAGTATTTTTTTTCAAGTGATTACAAAATGCTAGCTTTACCCTTTTTTTTACATACAAAATACTAGATATACATTTTTATGTACAAAATGACATAATTTACCATGTTAATTAACGAAGTTATTCTCACCTTGCTAATTAACAATTCCTGTTTTCATCTTGTTAATTAACGATTCTATTTTCACCTTAATTAACAATGCTATTTTTAGCTTAATTGTCAAACATTATTTTATTTAACCAGTTAATTAATGATGCTAATAAATAAACCAATTCCATCCAGTTAATTAATGGGGCTATCTTTTTCTATCTGGTTGATTAACTATGCTATTTTTAGCACTGTTCTGTTTACCTTGTTAATTAAGAAATGAGACTCAAATCGACATCCTCCTTCACCAACAGGTACCTTAACGGTGTTGTCACGGAAACCAACTTCATGTCTTCCCATATCATCTTGAATATCCAGTCCTATAACTGAAATACATGTCCATCATTATTGACAGGGGTTCACACAGGTTGACATTACTACTTAAAGAGGAGTTCTATGGAAACCAATTAGTATATTTTAATCACGGGTACTTTTCTACAAAAGCTCTGTCTTTGAATCAACTGGCACGGTTTCAATTCCCCAGTTGTACATGACAAGGAGTAGGGTCGCCTGTCCAACCTCGTGGGTTTTCTCCGGGTCCTCCGGTTTCTTACCACTGCTAAAGACCCCTACACGCCAGCGAAATACTGAAATAAAATTGAACCATATGTTAGTCCCGATATGACCTGGTTTGTGTTGAGTGGAGATTAATCTCTCTCTCTCTCTCTCTCTCACAGCTACCTTTGATATTTAGTTTTTGTGTTCATAATTTAAAGTTTAATAACCAATCTGAGTATCATTTACAGTGGATTAAGCTGGGAAAATTTTAATAGTGTCAATAAAATGACGATCAGCTGATTTTTCAAATAGATAAAGAGGACTGTCAAGTATAAGAATACCACAAATACACAATACAAACCCTTGAGAAAACCAATAGAGCTTTATTTACAGAGTGAACACTCAGTCAATATCCCGGACACCAGAACCACAATACATCAGTTAGTTACATCTTTACCGTAGTTAACTTAAAACAATAACCCTCCTGATTGCATGAAACAAAATTGGGGTCAAGCTGTGTCAGCCTGAAGCCCTTGGCCTCAAGATCTAGGGCAGTGATTCTCAACCAGTGATCTTCCTAAGTGTGCCGCGAAATTTTGAACGACACACTAAGAAAATGTGAAAAACCATGTGATCCCAATTGAATATTCACTGGTGTCTACTAATAAATTCATAGCTGTGTTTCTCTTTATTTAGTTTGATTCATTCAATGTGTCTATGACTATAGTCTCTGTCTACGGTTGTATTCCGTCTAACTTAAAATGTTTTTTTTTTGCAAATATCGAATATTTTTCATACATATTTAGCCAGGTGTGCCGCTATCTTTTCATGTGTTCCAAGGTGTGCCGTTGGCAAAAAAAGGTTGAGAACCACTGATCTAGGGGCTTTCTGTCTGAGGTGTATAATAGTTTTATTTCATCATAGGCTCAGTTGTTTAAAACACACCTCTTCTATTCCTGGGGGAGAGGGATTGGGAGGACTCACTTCATCTAAATCAGGGGTGTCAAACTCATTTCGATTCAGGGGTCACATGAACTATGAATTTACATCAAGTGGGCCAGAGATACACAAAATAATATTTTAGACTGGTTTCCAAATTGCTAAGGTATATTGAACACAATATTCTCCTGTATTACACACAATTTAGATATCTATGACATACAGTACAGAAGTCAGCGTTTTACTCAAACCAGAAAACAATAATAAATTATTTCCACCACTAGTTTCTAAGAATTATCGACACGTCAGTTTATTGAAATTTTTTCCACGGGCCACATTTAAACCCGTGGCAAGACGGATCTGGCAAACACACCGCATGTTTGACACCCCCTGATCTAAATCACACTGTTGTCCAATATTGTCAACCTTAATCTGATGAGCACAAAAAGAGAAATAAATAAATGGCTGCTTTCAGTAAAAGATGATCGCTTATTTTAAATTCAATGGCCGACATCCCCTCCCCTTTGTCAGACAAGAAGAGAGAGAGAGAAATGGGGTTTAACGTCGACTCGACACAAACTAGGTCATTTTGGGACTAACATATGGTTTAATTTTATTTCCATAATTCGCTTGCGCGTAGGGGTCTTTAGCAGTGGGAGGAAACCGGAGGACCCGGAGAAAACCCACGAGGTTGGACAGGCGACCCTACTCCTTGTCACGTACAACCGGGGATTCGAAACCACGCCAGTTGACTCAATGACAGGCTTTATGATACAGCGCGCACGCGCTAACCATTTGGCCATCTAAACCCCCTGTCAGACAAGAATTACAGGGGTAATATTGGTGCTTCGTGTAACATCCCCCTTCCACGGAGCCATCAAAATCACTGTTACATGTACATACACTTGAGATTGAGATTCTAAAATCCCATAATTGTTCACAAAACAAAGCCCTGTACACTTACACAGACAATTTGACAAATCAATACGATCGCATGATCTGAATACCGTCTTCTAAGAAAATATGTATAATATCAATGTTGACCAAATGGGGTTGCTTCAAATTTATAATAATAAACAGGCACATTTTGGAACATTTTAAAAGAGAGAGAGAGAAATGGGGTTTAACGTCAACTAACGTATGGTTCACTTTTATTTCAATAATTTGCCAACGTGTTGGAATCTTTGGTAGTGGGAGGAAACCTGAGGACACGGAGAAAACCCACAAGGTTTGACAGGTGGCCCTACTCCTTGTCATGTACGAGCAGAGAATTGAAACCATGCCACTTGACTCAATGACAGACCTTCTATTCTAATGCTCACATGTTAACCATTTTACCACCAAACCAACCCCAACATTTATCAAAACAGAAGGAATGTACAAAATAATGTTTATTTAACCAATCATAATACGGTCTTTCTGCTTCACCTGGACTAATGAAGATGGGCATAGATATGTCATACAGAGTACTATATCAATTCCAACTACCTAGGGATCTTTTCTGTGCACAACAATGTGTACAAAGGATCTTGATTTTACGTCCCATCCAAACTACTAGACAGCTGTCTTTCCGGGCCCCCTGTCCTGCACCACACCAGAAAATCCCTATGAACTTTCGCAGTCAACACCGGGATCGAACCCGCAACCTCCAGGCTGGGAACCAGGATGTTACTCACTTGGCCACCGTGGCTCCCTGATCATTTTACAAACAATTCACTGTTTATTATGTAATAGAGAGAGAAATGGGATTAACATCTATGACACAAAACAGGTCATTTTGGGACTAACATACGGTTTAATTTTATTTCAATAATTTGTTTGCTGCGGGAGGAAACGTTTTATTATGTAAACTACTGTAGACAAGTTAGTTACAAGTAATGATAGTTCGACATGTCTGGTCTCTACACATCATGGATTACAGAAAAACTAACTGTCATCTGTCAATCTATACCAAATGTCACAAATAACCAATACAATTTACAAAGCAAATAAAATTGTCATCATAAGTTGAGAGAGAGAGAGAGCGAGCGAGCAATGGGGTTTAACATTCACTCGACACAAACTATGTCATTTCAGGACTAACACATGGTTTAATTTTATTCAATAATTCTGTTGCGCGTACAGGTCTTTAGAAGTGGAGTAATATTACAGAAAAGACTAATATTAATACAGAACAATACTTACAATCACAACCTAGTTTAGGTAGTGTAATATTAATAAATACTGGAATCTTCTCAGAATGGCGGACTGGATCTTCTACAGATAATTCACTTGTTCTGAACAAACAAAAAAAAAAAAAAAAAAATAGATAATTTATTTGAATAGAGCAAAAAAATAAAATGAAATGCAGTTCAAAGGGGCATTATGGGAGATTAGATAAAAAGCTGATAGTTCTCACAATAATTATTAAAAACTAGATAATATAAAGGGATTATGCTGAAAATTTCAGACAAATTGCTGCACTCTGAACTGAGATATTAGCAATTAAATTACTAAAGTTGATATGATAAAAAAACATTAGTCTTGATTATCTATTTTTGGAATTAATCACCAATGAGTGTTGAGCAGCAGATCGGATTCAAATCTAGTAAATATCACAGGCTAGCAATGACATCGAGAGTTGATTATGGTCTGGATAAGTTAATTAATGTCTAATCAATAATCTAGATCACATTTAAGGCCTAAAGAAAGACCTGCAATTGGCAGATTGAGCTCTTACATAATGACAATGTATGTTTAATGTTCTACTGTAACTGGATTATTAATACGGGCATATGCCATACAGTGTGCTATGAGGGAAATTTTGCCAGGACAGCGACGCTACAGCCTACTCTTATATGTGTGCTATGAAGGATATTTTGCAGTCCTTCACGTTTAATTAAGGGGAGCTTTTGCTCCTGCTCCTCTCGACGCACGTCGGCTTTCCTTCCTGCAAATTAGCTAAATCGCTCTCCTAAATATTGAGATTAATAAACTACTTTCAGTTTTTGTTTACTTTTAAACTGCATATATTCAAGGTATCAGGAGCTTTTTATGGCTCCCGCACAATTTTATAAACATGAAGGACTGATTTTGCCCGGATAGCGGAACTACGGCGATGGCCTACTCTTAGATCGAATTCCGATTGCCAAGAGATCTTTTACATGCAGGCCAATGTGTACCCGGCACCTCGGTGTTTCGTCCCATCTGAACAACTATATGTTGTCCTTTGCCAGGATCTCCGACGTGCATCACTGACAAGGGAAACCACGTTGGAAAATCCTTATGAACTTTTTTGACCAACACAGGGATTGAACAAAGGACCTCCAGGTTAGCGAGCCAACATTTTATTCATTAAGCCACCTAGACTCCCTATTAAATAAGAGAAAAAAAAACTATTCAAAGTCAAATACCCGAAAATTTTGTGCGAGTACAAAAACTTTACAAGACTCGTTCATTCTCTTTAAAATCCAAAGATCAATATTAAACCATTGTAAAATATTATTTGAATTTATATAATTTCTCAGTTTCTATGCAGCTGCTGCAGGAATATTATTAAGCAGCAAGCAAGCATATTATGAAATGGTAATGCATTAAAAGTGACAGAAACCATTCAATTTACTTACATGCACGATTAATTGCAAATATAAAATATAATACCGCTGAATATGTATTTGGTATATGAAGTGTACCTGTTGTAATTGTATTTTGTGGTATACTAATAAATAAGGTGAGGAATTAATATAAGCCTTTGGCTGATCTTTGAATCTTTATTTTTTGACAATGTATGTATATAAACCTCAATCTCATTTTAATATACAGTAGAATCTGTATTAAGCAGCCACTCAAGGGAATTTTCAGGAGTGACCGCTTAACAGTTTCTTAATAAAATCTCAGTGGTTTTTTTTTTGTGCTGACATCATTTAAATATTACGCTTTGATGCATTGGAAGCAAACATCAATACTTGCATCAATAAATTCGGCCGTCGCTGAAACTTGCTTGGAACGAATATTCTTTGACTCAAATCTCTGACATAACTTATGTAAACGTGTCATTTTGTACCAATATTGATACTACTGTCTACCATTGTGATGCGTTCAATATTATTTATCCATTTTTGTGAAGAAAATCCATGAATTAATTTTATTTTATCAAAAAAGCACATGAACAAAAAAACATGGCAGAATTTGTCAGGGGTGTAACTCTGCATGTTATATTATAGGAGGTGCTAAAACGTCTGTTTAGGAACAAAGTGGCAATGGAAGAGAGATACTAGATTATAGCGACAAAACTCGGCTTCGTTGGTACATTTAGTTCATTCAATCAGTATCAAATAATGTTACGTTATGTGTGAAAACAATGATCAAAGATTGTCGTTTAATAAAACAAAAGATTAATTAAAGATACATTATGGGAGATAAGATAAAGAGATGGCAGTTCTCGTTATAATAGTTAACAAGCCAACAGTGAGGCTGATGTCCCCCGCCGAAATAGGAAAATAATTAGAGGACACATATAAATTTATCACAAATTATCTTTTACAAAGTATTGAACAATCAAACAGTATATCTTTACTTATAGTCTAAGCATACAATGTTTTTGATGGAATAATTATAGCATATTAAGGGGAAAACATGCTCTATGCCTACAGATCTAGAGTTTGGTTGTATCAACAGGTCTATTTTCCATCTTGCTGCAAGTTGTGCAAAGTTCACTGTTTTCTTTCTGTCATTAAATGTCAATTCATTATTGCATACTACATATTTAATTAATTTATAATAGTTTCTTTTTCAATTTGTTTTTTCCATTTATTTGTTTATTTACCTTGCCTATATTCATTGTATTGGATTGTATTGGAATTGCTCAATTGATGCTTTTATCAATACCTGGTTATAATATTATGACATGTAATGTGGCAAGTTGAGTCGGGACATGTAGGCTATAATGTAACCTAAATGTATACATAAGTGGATTTCGTTTCATTTTTTTCGAAAATATTGTACAGATAAAAGAGGAGGAATTACAGGGGTAATACATTGGAAAGCTTCTTCAAGAACTAAAGCATAAACTATATAAACGAGCTTATTACCCTAAGCGGAAAATGCTCATCTTCGAACTCCATCAAGGCATTGACCTAATCAACACATACACCAAGTTTGAACATTCTAGCTCAATTAGGAAGAGAGTTATCGTGCCCCAAAGTATCAACCAATCAAATTGCTTATCTCTGCTTACCCTAAGCGGAAAATGCTCATCTTCGAACTCCATCAAGGCATTGACCTAATAAACACATACACCAAGTTTGAACATTCTAGCTCAATTAAAAGTTATCGTGTCCCAAAGCATCAACCAATCAAATTGCTTATCTCTGCTTACCCTAAGCGGAAAATGCTCATCTTCGAACTCCATCAAGGCATTGACCTAATCAACACATACACCAAGTTTGAACATTTTAGCCCAATTAGGAAGAGAGTTATCGTGTCCCAAAGCATCAACCAATCAAATTGCTTATCTCTGCTTACCCTAAGCGGAAAATGCTCATCTTCGAACTCCATCAAGGCATTGACCTAATAAACACATACACCAAGTTTGAACATTCTAGCTCAATTAGGAAGAGAGTTATTGTGTCCCAAAAAGTGTGACGGACAGACAGACGGACAGACAGACAGACAGACGGACGGACGAACCCATTTTAATAGTCCCCTGCTTTCTTCGAAAGGCGGGGGACAAAAACTAGATAATGTAAAGGTAATTTGCTGGAAATTTCAGTCAAATTGATCCACTATGAGCCGAGAAAGAAGCGGGTGAAATTTTTGCATAGTCTCGGTCATCATTACTAAAATCATTAATATAAACAGCATAGTCTCGATTATCCACTTTTTCTGATTTAATTATCAATAGCCGTTAGCAGCATATAGGAATCTAATCCAGCCAACATCGAAGGCTAGCCTTGACATCGAGAGTTTATTATGGTCTGGATACGTTAATGTCTAATTGATAATTTAGATAACATTTCAGGCCTAAAGAAAGACTTGTAATAAGCAGATATTGCTCTTGCATAATGCATGTTTAACAGATAATCCCAGGTTTATTATTTTCATATTTCTTTTTACCTGATTAGAGGTGGGGGGTCCAGTTAATTAACTATTAATCACGGGATTAGCGTGGGTGTTACGAAGAACGACAAAATGGTATCATTCAACAATGGCCATTGAATGGGCGATGTTTTGTTAAATTTATTAGTAAAATAGTCACCACTGGCCACGTTAGAGGAGTGACCGTTGATTAAAGAGATGAAACAATAGAATTTTTACGGGGGGAATTTATTGTGACTGTTTACAAGGAGATGTCACTGAATAGGAGTGGCTGCTCATACAGATTCTACTGTATCATTCAAATCAATATGTTTAAACAGTAATAAGAGGTCTACAGGTATTGTATGTACATATATATACATTATATATATATATAAAATTACATTGAAAAAAGAAATTACACCTGTTCTGTTGAATCTCTTCAGGCCATATTGATATAATATTACATTATATTACCGGTATATCAATATGGCCTGAATAGGTTCAACACCAAACTGAAAACGTTAGCCATAAACATGTGTATATTTCTCTGGGAGTAGTTCAAAGAAACTTTTTTTTTAAGATATACATGTATATATATACTCTTCCCAAAAAAATAGGGGATATTCAGAAACAATACAAAACTGCGGAAATGCACTGCTTTTTTTTATTAGAGGTAAACAGGCCAATTGCCTACACATGAACATAAACAGTTCATATTGGCGGCTTATCTGACGGCCCCATTTCACTCGTAAAGAGATACACCGTCAAAAGTGAAAATGGATGTTTTTGATTTTTGTCTTAATAACGAGTAATTGCTCTACCAATCCTCAGACATTCAGCAATTCGTCGTGGCATGCTATGCTCCTAATCAACCGTCCAATCACGATTTGGGGCAATCTGACCCACTCCTCTTGCAGTGCCACGGCCAATTCTTGCAGTGTTGTCCGTGGACGTTGACGTCGATGAGCACGTCTCCCGATCAAATTAAACGTAACACACTAAAGCAAAGATATGCTAAACAGTAAATATTATGCAAGAACCGATAGGAAAGCAAACATGGATAGATAAAACAGCAAGCAGCAGTTTTCATCAACCCTTCCTTGAAGTGTCAAATTTGACAATGAACCCCTCCCACGTGTATGGCAGCTCAGTGGTTCTTCATCTGTGAACATACTCTCAAAGCATGTCAAATGTCCATGACTATTTATATCACAACCTGCATAGGTATTTGCATTCCAATATCCCCTACTTTTTTGGAAGAGTATATATAAAATGATCCAAAACATATAAGTAAAATTCAAATATTAGAAAAAAAACACTAAAAATTAAATTTTTGGCTAGTATTTGCACCGTTATCAACCAAATCGTCAGGCCATTTTAATAACATTTGATAACGATGCAAGATCTAGCCAAATTTAGTTTTTACGTGTGTTTTTTCTCTAATATTTGAATTGATATAAATATAAAATTGATATTAAAGATGGCAAAATAAAACTACATTTTTATGCTAATGTTTTCAAAGCGATAAAACATTACCATAAAAATGACAACACCGAAATATATCAGTAGACTAGAATCTTGTCTTAAAGACATTCGAGGATGGATGACCAGAAATAGGCTAAAACTTAACGATGACAAATCCGAATTTCTTGTCATATCATCAAAATCACAATCCAGTAAATTATTTAAACCGGATTCCATTCAGATCGGTGATTGCTCTTATATATCCCAAGAAGCAGGCTAAAAATCTTGGCTATGTGACTGAAGAATTCATGTCCCCAGTTCTCCACATCAATAGTATCATACGGAAAATACATCTTCAAATGAGAGCTATTTCGAGAATACGCTCTAATCTTAATACTGATGCTTGCCAGAGTGTTGTTAGAGCATTAGTAACATCGCATATGGACTATGCAAATTCTCTTCTATTAGGAGCACCAGAAACAGCTTTAAACAGACTACAAATAGCTCAAAACAATGCTGCACGTCTCATAACTAGAATACAAAATTTTATCATATATCAGCTAAGTTACAGAAACTCCATTGGCTTCCAGTTCGAGCGAGGGTTCAGTTTAAAGCTCTTGTGAATGTGTTTAAATCAATTTATTCTGACACTGCACCCAATTATTTAAAAGAACTCTTTGATTTCTATACTCCCGGGCGATCCAACCTTCGTTCTTCAAGTGATCGTAGCATATTGAGGATTCCTAAATATAATAAACGTTCTGGTGAATTTGCTTTCTCTGTCAGATCTGCTAAAATGTGGAATGATCTTCTAAAAACTCTTTGAGTGTCCTTTTCCATCCAGAGCTTTAAGACTAACTTAAAAACATTTATTTCAAAAATGTTTTTGAACTGCTTTGTTGTGAATGCGCTTAGAAACACTCATGTGTAATGGAGCGCTATATAAATCGAATAATAATAATAATAATGTAGTTTTATTTTGCCATCTTTAATTTCAATTATATATTACCAAAGAGCAGCTTTGATTAACTATTCTACTATACATGTATATATATATATTAATGTAATATATATATATATATGTGTGTGTGAAAAGATATAAAATACTTAAATTACATATCAATTGATAGGAGTGTTAGATATCCCTTCTACAGTGTACTTGTCACATGGGGAATCACAACCACACCCCTTGACTCTATGACAGAGAATATGATCCAAGGGTACACCTTAAACCATTCGGCCACCTATCCCCTCTATTAATAATAGATCTATGGGTATCGAGTATCGTATATGGCTGTTCTGTTTCACATATACTTGTAATTATGCTAAAGATGAATAATAGGAGTGGTATTGTTAAATGTATCAACCCATACAAAGAGAGAGAGAGAGAGAGAGAGAGAGAGAGATGGCGTTTAATGTCCATTCGACACAAACAGGTCATATCTGGACTAACATATGGTTCAATTTCATTTCAATAATTTGCTTGCACATTAGTGATGAGCGGTTTTTCGGTTTAACCGAATAACCGCGTTTTTTACATATAAACCGAAAACCGAACCGATAAAACAAAAAATAACCATGCGTTTCGGTTATTTTTTTCCAAATTCCTAAATTTTAATTTACCTGTTTTTCGTTTCGGAAATGTTTGAGAAATTCCTAAATTTTAATGTAGCCACCACTTCCGTTTTTATTTTCGATCAACCAGGCCTCCTATGTATAGAGTGTTTAATAAGTCTGGACGGCCTAGACTATTTATTTTCTCAATTCGGTTCGGTTTATAATCCAAAATTTTATACAAGCCTTAGCCGGTTGTCAATAGTTATGCACGATGGCTTCCTCAAGAAGTAAAATGTCTTCGACTTCGAGTCTATGGCTCTCTCACTACGAAAGATTGGATGACACTGTAGAACAAAATGTTAAGTGACAGACGATGCCGACTGAAACCAAACCATGCAGAAATGCTTGTTTTCTGAACCATAATTTAAGACACTGAGTCACTGACTGTTTCGATTTGTTGGATAAGTTCTTCGGATCTTTTATAAGCTTACAGTAACTTTATTGTTTCTGGACATTGGTATTATGTCGTTATGTTAATTTATTATTGTTATGTTAATTTATTATTATGGTGTTGTGTAACTTGTTTGACAAAGTTTGTCAGATCTTTTTTTTACAGTAACTTTGTTTTTACTAGTCATAATTAAAGTCATATAACAGTAAAAAAAAACTTGTTGTTTACAATTTACATCAATATGTTTTATATTTTTTCTAGCTTCCAAGTATTCATATAAGATAACCATAAATCAGTACGTTCATAATACAGTGTTTAAATGAATAAAAAAAACGAAAACCGAAACCAAGGTTTTTTGCCCCAGAAAAACCGAAAACCGAAACCGAAAGAAAAGTTAAAAACCGCACAACACTAATGCACATAGGGATCTTTAGCAGTGGGAGGAAACCGAGGACCCGGAGAAAACCCACGAAGTTGAACAGGTAACCCCACTCCTTGTCACATACAACCGGGAAATCAAAACCATGCCAGTTGACTCAATGACAAAACCTTATTATACAACGAGCACACGTTAAAAACACTCAAATGATCCCAAGGAACTTTCTTGGGGAACACCAACTGAAGGAAACCTTTGACCTCCTGGTTAGCAAGCCAGTGTCTTTTTCACCACCGCAGACCCCCAATTGATATAGAGAGAGAAATGGGTTTAACATCCAATGGACACAAACTAGGTCATTTCGGGACTACCATATGGTTCAATTTTATTTCAATAATTCGCTTGTGTGTAGGGGTCTTTAGCAGTGGGAGGAAACCGGAGGACCCGGAAAAAACCCACGGGGTGGGACAGGCGACCCAACTCGTTGTCGCGTACAACCGGGGAATCGAAACCCAGCCAGTTGACTCAGTGACAGCCCTGATGATACAGCGCACACGGTAACCATTCGGCCACCAAACCCCCCTCTAATTCAGTAATTGATATAAAGGTAACATTATTTATTACTATACTTACACGTCAATGGAAATAAAGAGCAGCAACTCTGAGAGAAATAAGAATGTTATAAACAACACACTGGATACTGATATACATGCTCCCACGAAAGTTGGCTGCGTTAAATCTTTCGGGACCTTCCGATAAATATCTAACCTGAAATATATTCAAAATATTACATTAAATTTCGAATCTCCAAGGCTGTCGATAAATACTGCAATAAGATTGTCTGCATTAGACTGTATGATGTCTGTAGTTGTTCTTGGTGTTAAACATCCGCTTCCACCGAGGGTGATATCGCAGACAAGTTGTCTTATTTTACTCTGCTTAGTGCACGCGCAGGGGTCTATCCTGTGGGAGGAAACCGGAGTACCTGAGTAAACCCACGAGGTTGAAAAGGCACCCCTATCTCCAAGCCACACACGCTCACAGTAGGGATCGAAACTTCAGTCGAAGCGGACGTTACATAAAGCTATTTCACACACACCAAGCCACATACATTCACAGCAGGGATCGAAACCATGGCCGCAAGCTAGAGGTGACCGGCCTGGTAGAGCTTGATGCACAACACTCTAGACCACTTGTCCATTCCAGACCCTCTATCAATTCATTTCATACATACATATTTTATATCAATTCATATCATCCATACATATTTTATATCAATTTATTTCACCCGTACACATTTTATATCAATTTAATTCACCCATACATATCTTATATCAAATCCATATACATATCTTATATCAGTTTATTTCACCCATACATATCTTATATCAAATCCATATACATATCTTATATCAGTTTATTTCACCCAGTTTATTTCATCAATTCATTTCACCCATACATATTTTATATAAGATTATTTCATCAATACATATTTTATATAAGATTATTTCATCAATACATATTTCATATCAATTTATATCATCCAATTCCATATGCATATCAATGTATTCTATTATTATAATAGAATAAATTGATATGAAATATGCATATGGAATTGGATGATATAAATTGATATGAAATATGTATTGATGAATTATTCTATAATTTGGGGTGCCATTTGTACTGAACTAAGAAAAATATATTCTGTAAGACCATGCAGAAGTAATTAGTAATACATGTAAATGATTCACAAATGGCAAAATAATAATAAAACATGTAGAATAGATTAATCAGGTGTAAACAACTGTGTTCACTGAACATAATTGATTAGAAATTACAATATTTTTTTTAAATAATTGAATATAAATACATGTACACTTTATATATACATTTATTATGAATTTCATATTACATTAATATATGCTTTTAAACCCATTTTCCTCTATTTTAAAGCTACGTTCCCAGAAAAGAATTTATCGGGTGGTTATTTGCAATAAAATTGTGGCAATTTTGGTATATATGGAAAGTAGAAATATCCAATCTTACTAGAAAAATACTGGATTCCTGACAAACACTCATGGAGCGCATACAGGACAAAAACGTACGGGTTTCCCTAATCAACAGCCCGGCGATTAGGAGTGTCTGCATGCGTTATGAATTTGATATAGGAGAAGGCCGTAGCAACGCTGTCCAGGAAAAATTCCTCTCATCATAGCAAACTGTATGGCGTATGCCTGTCTTCAATAGTCGAAGAAGAACCGTAGGATGTTAAACCCTATTTCATTTCATTTCATTCTATATCAATTCACAGAACTGTAAATAATGATTTTAGTTCTAGCCTACTGTACCTAACAAAATGTCATGCACTATTAAACCAGTACTTGACAATTCTATCATTATTTATAATTTATTCAATAAACAATAACACATCATAGATGCGGTACATGTATAATTATGGGATCTGAAAACAAGCTGAATATAAAGTCGTCTCTGTATGAATTACTTTGTATTAAGCTACGTTCCCATAAAAATATTTATCGGGTGGTTATTTCCAATAAAAGTATGGCAATTTTGGTATATATGGAAAGTAGAAATATCCAATCTTACTAGAAAAATACCGGATTCACTGAAAAACACTCATGGAGCGCAAACAGGACAAAAAGGTAAAGGTTTACCTAATCGACAGCCCGACGATTAAGAGTGTTTGCACGTGTGACGTTGAAGGATGCACGCGGAGATTGAGCGCTTGATGTACATTTTGATAAACTTTATGAAGAATTAGACGTATAACACTTTCTGAGATAAAAATCACGGAAAAAGACGCGGGCAGTGGATAATCCGAAAAGTTAATTAGGCTTCGATATTTGTAATAAATAGTCAGCGATTAAAGACAATCGTCTTGTGTATGCAATGAATTCTCCTTCGACTTCGCTTGCGTTGCTAGGTACCGAGAGAGGTAAGTCACGTGACACAAACATGACATCTTTTGATCGATTTTTTATAGCCAGGGTATTCCCTGAAAGTTGTTTTGAGAAGGATTTGAAGCAAAATTATGATAAATTAATTAGTTTGAATATGTTTTTAGTCCAAATATACCATCAAATCACCCAGTTTGTACCCGGGAATGTATCTTTAAAGTTATACTCATAAATTATAAACAGGTTTTACATTACAAAGGGGAAAAAGTCTACAAGGTGTGTTACATTAAATTTTCACTGTGTCTTAAATATTGGATTTATAAGATAACAACATCAACCTTGATTCAAATTGACCATTAAGTCGTGTTTGAAATGTTAATGCTTGAAATGGGGTTTAACGTCCTACTGTTCTGCTCCTATGCTGGGCTAATGAAGACGGGGGCATTCACCATACAGTGTGCTATAAGGGAAATTTTGCCCGGGCAGCGGCACTATCGCCTACTCTATCGAATTCCAACTGCCAAGGGATCTTTTACGTGCATTCCAATGTATACACGGGACCTCGGTTTTTCGTCTCATCCGAAGGACTAGACAGCTGTCCTTGTCAGGCCCTCGGTCCTGCATCACTGTCAAGGGGGAACTGGAAATGTTGATCACTGTGGATGATATTGAGTTAAAGACTTGCCTCCTTTAAACACTTTTCATCTTTGTTTTCATAAACTGAATACATCATATAGAATAAAATATAATACTAATAATACACAATATATATAGGACTAATTGCCTCAGGAATAAGATAAGGTTATGGGGTATTCTAATAGTAATAATTAATGTTCTCCTTGACTAGTTTTATAATATCTTTGTAACATCACTTAGGGCCTAATAGACTGTACAAATACATGTATGTGAATGCTCTATAATATTGTTTTATGATACTGTGTATCGGTAATAATATTATATTTGTAGTAAATATTATTCAAGCATATTACAATACATTTATTAACATTAAAAACCCCATTATTGATGAATCAGGCTTCAAATAAAACAAATTGTATGTATTCATGGAGTTTATTCTAAGGCCAATTTTGAAATCAGAATTTTTTATGGCGATTGTAAACACAAAAATATAATTGCAGAACATATTAATGTCTGAAGTCCTCAATAATTTATACAATCTCTGGTTAAGCTGTTGTTTAAATGCATTTTAATGAACTAAATGACTGAAAGTGTGTTTAGTTTTGAATGGAATGGAGACAACAATCAAAATCTTATTTCTAAATAAGGGTTTGGGTGGCCGAATGATTTCTACATGCACTTTACTTTCATTTTAGGGGCACCACTGAAAAGTGTTAAGGGGTTTGAGTCGGGTGGTCTAATACATGCCCGTTAAATCATACGGACTGGCATTGTTTTAATTACCGCCACTTGTACGGAACAAGGAGTAGGTTAATTGCCTGTCAAACTGCGTGGCCGTCATGTGATATCTCTGGGTCCTCCCACAGCTAAAATAAATCTATATACAAGCAAACTTTTGAAATAAAATTAAACCATATGTTAGTCCCAAAATGACCTAGGTTGTGTCAAGTGGAAGTTAAGCACCATTTCTCTCTCTATTTCCAAACAAAACGAAAGTAGAGTTAAAATATCAATATGAGAAATTTTGTATTGTAATATCGATATTGATATATTATCATTTCAATTCTTTTTGACAGCTCTATTAATTACTAAATTAGCCGATTTAAATCACAGGATTATACAGTAATTTACTCTATAATTAAAAATATAATCTTGTGGCATAAATCATCTAAACCTGTGATGAAAATACCAAGTTAGAACACCTCTTTGGTAAGAAGAAACGATGAGCTGGCTAACACATGGATATACCCTATATACAGATCTATCTCTGATTCTATTTTAAAATTTAGATTTATTAAAACAAACTTTGTTTAATAAATTAACTGTTAGGCCATATAACCTCTCCAACGCTTGCAAAAAAAAAAACAACCAACAACAACAAACGAATAAAACCAGCAAACACATCCAAAAGATAAAGTCGGATTTGATGTCTCTTCTTTTTTCTTTTTTTTATTCATTTTATTTACTTGTGGCCACGCATGCAATGTCAACAGTCCCAAGTCTCCTCGGTTTTGCAGTGTCAGTGACATTAGACTGGAAACCGCATCTGTTTATCTGCGTTTAAACCGTTAAAGATACTGAATAACTGTAAAATACTACCTGCGAAGGTCGAACTGCATGGCTCCTGGATTATAATTGGTGAATTAAATGCTTGTAATTTGTCAATTTACCGGTAAACTACAAGTTGTTCCAGATGTTATCGAATTTTAGCAGAACACCTGGCAGACATGCGCATCGACGTGTGTAACTTTTATTGGATGAAATTTAATTTCTAGTTTTAGAAATTATGGAGATGGGAGATAACTCCTCTAGGCTTAATTTCGGCAGGTGCCCGTTTCGTTTCGTTGCGTGTAAAGTGTTTCCCCACTTCTCTCTTCGGTGCCTGTAATGATGGAACGGTGAGTTAAAATCACGTTAACACAATATCTGTTATTTTGAGACTAACATATGATAAGTTGTACATTCCTATGGTTACGCCCGTCTCCATTAGCCCAGTCGGTGCAGAACAGTCACACTGATCAACTGTGAATATTCTCTAGGACGCTCAATGACATCAGTGTGGCTTAATAAGCCCCCAATATTAACTTTTTTCCTTCTGCAAGCAAATTAAGTTCTAGAACATTTTTTAAAGCATTAGAAAAGTAAATAAAGGTGTTTGAAGTATATGTAGGTAAAAAAAGATGTGTCCTATTTAGTGCAAATGAGTATGTAAAATGAGTAAAGGGCACCATTCTGCCCGGATCATGATGTGACGTCACATGTTGAAAGTAGTCATCTTTTACAGAGTTATTAGAAGACTTTAGTAATCCTCTGTGAAACAGCTCGACGTTGAACACCAGGGCCTGACAAGGACAGCTGTCTAGTCGTTCGGATGGGACGAAAAACCGAGGTCCCGTGTAAATATTGGCGTGCACGTAAAAGATCCCTTGGCAGTTTGAATTCGATATAAGAATAGGCCGTAGCGCCGCTACCCGGGCAAAATTTCCCTCATAGCACACTGTATGGCGTATGCCCGTCTTCATTAGTCCAGTTTAGGAGCAGAACAGTAGGACGTTAAACCCCATTTCGTTTCAATTCATTTCGAACTTGGGATCATCTGGTTTGAGTCAACGTCATATTCACAAAGACATTTTACCCACCTGCCTTTATATATAAATAAAAACTGGATTTGGTGTTAAAATACAGATACATAATAGAATTCTAATTTCCATATCTATTCCCCACGAACGGTGTGTTTCTAGACTACATATTTAACCCTAACTAAATCAATTTGTCGGCCCTAAGTAAATTTGTAGTCCTCCGCCGATCAACGTACAATGTGATCCAAAGCAGTTGAATAGACAAACTTAATGAGTTTATATTTAAATGGAACAAACCCTTTAATAGACGTAGTATGCTGTGGGTAATGAATACTGTAAGAATTAAGTTTTCTTATTGCGAGTCTTTCTTTTGGCTTCAAATGTTATACACTTTTAATTGAGCATCTATTCACATGACAAGCCCATAACCAACACCCTAGACCATCTGATGCAAGGGCGGATCTAGTGGCGGGGGGGGGCGGGCGGCGCACGCCTCCCCTATCTGGATTTCTGACTGAAAAAGTCCCATTACAATGCATTACTTTAGAACCGGATTCTTGTCTCAGATCGAAAATTTTCGGGGTAGGCCATAGGCTACCCGGACCCCCCCCCCATCCCCTTTGCGCGCCACCCACAGCCTCTGGACCCGCACTTGGGATGGCCATGATTTTTAACGGATTAAAACTCAATCACCATTTAATTTAAAAAAAAGGATAACCGAGACTGTGTTTATTATCACAGGAATGCTATACTTCAAAGGCTCTTATCTTTGTTCAGAATAACGTAATTTGATTGAAATTTTTCATGATCTATTTTTGAACTATTATAGCAAGGACTGTCAGCTTTTATGGCACATTTCCACGATAGTATTTATAGTGTAGATAAAAGTATGGTAAATTTGGTATATATGGAAGTAGAGACACCCAATCGCACTAGACAAATACTAGATTCCTTGAAAAACACCAAGTGGCACGTCCACAGGACACAAATATAAGGGTATCACAAACTGGTAACCTGTCGGTTATGTGCCAAGAGAGAGAGAGAGAGATAGAGAGAGAGATGTCCACTCACTAGGTCGTTCCGGGATGAACATTTGATCCAATTTTATTTCAACAATACGATTGCACGTAGAGGTCTTTAACAGTGGGCGGAGGTGACCCTACTCCTTGTCACATACATGTGGGGAATCGAAACCCCGCACTTGATTCAATGACAACCCTTATGATTTAACGTCAGGATGGAAGGCCCGACAAGGACAGCTGTCTAGTCGTCCGGATGGGACGAAAACCCGAGATGCCGTGTATACAGTGGCATGCATCCGAACCACTACATGACTAGACACAGTGTGCTATGAGGGAATTTCTTTCCCGGGCAGCGGTTATATCGATATAAATTGTATATATTATTCATAAAGATGTTGAAGTTGTATAACTATGAGGAAGCAGACTAGGTGTAAATATTATGTATATACGTGATAATTAGGATCCAATTATCCTGTTATTCCTAACTATTTCTAGTGGTCTTGTAGACGTGTACTAGTATCTCGCTAGATTTAAAGTGGCGTTCTCTGGTTATAACCTTAAATGAAATGAAATGAAATGGGGTTTAACGTACTACTGTTCTGCTCCGACTGGGCTAATGAAGACGACATTTGGCCCGGACAGCGGCACTATGGCCTGCTTTTATGTCGAATTCCAGCTGCCACGCCAATGTGTACACGGGGCCCCGTATATTCGTCCCATCCGAACGACTATACGTTGTTCCGTGTCAAATCTGATTAAAACACAGATCCTAATTCGTTTCTTTTTTCATAGTTAAAAATTTCGTTTTACTTGTCTTCACTACATTAGGATATGGAAGAGTTATTATATAAGCCGCGTTCTGGTTAATGTGAGGGATTTGCCAATGAATCGGTCTGTTACCCCGAGTCCTTGGCGTATTGTGCACGGAACTGTGGGTAAACCACTAGAAACGTCAAAGCTGGTGATTAATCAATGTCTGACGTCGTAGAGTCAAAAGCCGTTCGTATGACCTCTGACGCGACCTCCCATTACAACCGGACAGATCTCCATGTAGAGTAGGCCATCGAAAGTTTAAAAAACGAAACGAAATATAGATCTGTATTTTAATCAGATTGTTCCGTGGAAGAATATAATGGAGTTGGGTCAGTTTGAGACTAACATATGGTTATTGGTAGTCTATGGGCACATGTTATAGATTGCTAGAGAGTTATCTTTACCCGAACAGTGGTGTGATTACCATCTCTTCACCAACTGTCAAGTGTTCTTTTTCATGCACGCACATGTGGACAAGCGATCTCCCTTTTTCGTACCACCCGTAAAACTAGACGTTGTTCTGTATCCCCTGAAAAAGCGGTAATCAGACTATAGGACAACAGTAGATCAATCGTGACGTACGTTAGTAATAGTCATATAAAATTCACGCTAGTTTCAGCTGATTTAATGGCGTCATCCCTTTGATCTTACAAACATGCCAGTTGAAGATTGAATGATCATCCATTTATGTTCACGAACATTCATTCATTTATTTATTCATTAATTCTAAGAAATGGATACATGTACATTAATTTGGAAGAAAAAGGAAATATGAAAAGAAAGATTCAATTATATGTCATGAATAATCGGATTACTGCGTCAAGAACAGTTTTCAACCCATATTTTTGTTACATCTAAATAAGGAATTGTTTATTAGCAATCTGGTGCATTGCGGCTTTAAATAATAAGTATACACTATCGCTTTAAATCTCCTGAAGGCTAGAATTTGGATATCGATTTTTGTTAAGACTTGCACCCTTACCGCCTTGGGCTTATCTCAATGACAGCTCCTCGAGACACACTTAATATCATATAAGAAGATTGGGGTCGAGTTGATCACCGGCGGAAAAACGTTAATCAACCTTGGGGCGTGTTATGTAGGAAGGGTAAAATCAACACCAAACAACTAATGTCAACAAAACAGAAAGAGAGAGAGAGAGAGACACACACACACACACACACAGAGAGAGAACCATTGCGCGTGGAGGTTTTTAGCAGTGGGAGGGGGAGACCCTACTCCTTGTCGGGGAAACGAAACCGGGCAACATGACTAAATGACAGACCTTATGATTTAAAGCGAGAGAGAGAGAGAGAGAGAGAGAGAGAGAGGGGGGGGGGATAACGTCCACTCAAACAAGAAGTATATTACAAAAACATATGTTTGAGAACAGTGTTTTCATCCTGGGGTTCAAGTGATCAGTACGGGGGGTGGATGGCCGAATGGTTAGCACGCGCGCGCTGTATCATACGGTCTGTCATTGAGTCAACTGGCTGGGTTTCGATTCCCCGGTTGTACGTGACAAGGAGTAGGGTCGCCTGTCCAACCTCGTGGGTTTTCTCCGGGTCCTCCGGTTTCCTCCCACTGCTAAAGACCCCTACGCGCAAGCGAATTATTGAAATAAAATTAAACCATTTGTTAGTCCCGAAATGACCTAGTTTGTGTCGAGTGGACGTTAAACCCCATTTCTCTCTCTCTCTCAAGTGATGAGTAAGGGGTAAACAGGGAGAAAAAACTGGTCAGTGAAAAAAGATATCCAAGTAAATTATAGTATGAAATTTTTGGTATTGAATTGGGACAGTGAATTTCAGTAGTTGTTATCCGTCACATTTCCGCACAAGCGACCTAGTTAAGTTCACAATGGGGGTGGTGGGGGGCGGGGTGTAATTGTCTTAACATCCGAATTTATCATTATTTGTCAATTTTGTATTTACCGAGTAGTTTGGACGTCAACGTCAAAACCGCCTATCCGGATACGTAACCATTTAAGATTTCGATTCAATTTTTTCGTTGGGTGACCCGATAATTGCCGTTCCTTAAAGGCTCAATACTACGGAAGCGTAATAGGGCCACATTTTTTTTTATTATACTATTTTCAATTTTCTAGTTACTAACTTGAATTTTACTAGTAGTAACTTGAATTTTACTAGTAGTAACTTGAAAATTCAAGTTAGTATCTTGAAAATTCAAGTTACTAAATTGAAAATAGAATAATAAAAAAAAATAGGTGGCCCTATTACGCTTCCGTACACTACCACTCTTGTTGTAACTGAATAATATGCCCCAATCTTTATTCTCGTCAACAAATTGTACTATTTTACAAT